AGAAATAGGAAGGCACACTTTGAACTTCGTGATGCTTTGGTTGAGCATATGTGAGAACAATATTCTCATATTATTTATTTGGCATAATATATGGTGAAAAAATTACTATTAATTAATTACATAAAAAATTATGTAATTTAAATTTAATAATTAATATTACTAATTATTATTTAAATTAACGATCATATGCGTAAATTATAAAATTTTTTAAATGTAATTTATTTTAGTAATAGAATAGAAAAAAATAAAAATAATAAAATTTAATTTTACAAAAAAAATAAATAATAGAATACACTGAGAATATTCTTTTTAGAGGGATTTTATAGAGAGAATGGGTTGGAGATGCTAACACTGTTTAAACTGTAAAAGTAGTGGGATTTCACTGTTTCAACTCTAAATATAGAGTTTAGAGGAGCTTTGGGTTGGAGATGCCCTATGGTTTGATTTCTAGTTTGCCAATTTGGTCCTATGACCTTAAGGTGTTGCATTCCGTTATATTTTTTTTTTATAACTTTTTTTTTGGTATTAATATGTATTTTGTAACACAAAAATAATTGGCGTGTAGTAAAATGCAATGTAACAATTCAGATATCTTTAATTAATCAAAGCTACATGTACCTTCTTTCAAAAAAAACAATTATTGACCTTTCTAAGAGTGATAGCAAGCAGCTCATCGTGTTGAACTTTTATCACACATTTATATATTGGATGTTACATATCTAATTTAGTCAATCTCTATTATCATTGGGCTACTATAACTATTGCTTGTACTGAGATTTTTTTTTTTCCCTAGTTAACTCTTTTTTTTTTTTTTTGAAAAAGTCCTAGTTAACTTTAATGCTTGGATAAAAATTAGATTCCCCTCGACTTTTGCCTGGCAATATTGACAAATTTATTGCTAGTGATACAAGTGTTACAAAATATTTCCAACTACGGTAAAACTGGGAATTGGTTGGTAGTTCAATGATGTGGCCGAACCTAGTCCTAGCTTACAATCCATCCAGTGACTTGAGGGTTGAATGGACTCAAAGTTGAATTGGACTCTTTTACTCGCAGGAATATATATATACTAATGATATCTGGTCGCGCAATGCGCGATTCTGGCCTAGTATATCTGTAAATTTTAGAAATGTTTGTATTTGAAAAAAATATATTTTGAATTTGACCCGATATATTTTAGAAACGTTCAAAGAATTTAGAAATGTTTTATAAGTGTGATCATAGAAATGTTTGTGTTTGGCCAAAAAAGAAATTATATTTGGCACGTTACGTTTTGGAAATGTTTGAAGATCTTAGAAATATTTTATAAGTGTTACTTATTAAATATCAATAAACTTGATCAAATATATGTCTTAAAGTAAATGTTAGACAAAATGTAAAAGCATCCTAATAAGTTTAAATATTAGTAAGATGATTTATTGATGTTCTCCATTGGTCGTGCCAAATCAATACTTAGTTTTGGAGATTTATAATAACTTTGTAGTAAGCTTCCTTCAAAGAGTATACGCTTAAATGTTGGAACTGTTTCTTCCAAAGATTTAAAGGTAGTAAAATATCAAAAATATGGGTTTGAAACTGGTTAATTGTTTAAACAGGTTGATCACAAATATGAGAATGAAAATTAATTTAAATTTGCATAGGTTTCAAGTTATAACAAAAAAGAACTCACCTCACCGTGGCAAATAAAATAAATAAAAGAAAGTAAAAGATCCCATTAAAAATTGAGAAATTATTTTTTCCTGTAAAAATGATGTATAAAAACACAAATAAACGTAGAAACATTAGTCCTTCCTTCTCCACCTCAAATTCATAAAATACTTCCCCATAAAATAGTTAGAAGAAGTAACATGAACTATTTATATGATGAGAAACTCAAAAAAGTCCAAAAATCAAACCCAAAAAAGTATATTCTTGAAAGGCCGAACACACAAAAAAAAAACGCGCTTCATTTGCCAAAAAAAAAATAATAACAATAATAATTGGTCAACTGGGAGTATGAAACAAAATCAAAAGCAATTAAATAAAGAAAAAAACACACTTCAAAACTGACCATATACGAAAAAAACTGAGACTCCATAATTAAAAAAAGAAAACCACTCTAATAGAATGAAACATAAAAAAGAAATTAAAAAAACCACACTTTGTAACAAAAACCCAATTGATCAATTCAATCCAAAAAGAACTAAAATCATCCAAAAATTCTAGGCTAACTAACCATATAAGAAATCACATCATATTACTTAACAACCGCTACGGTAACTGTAACGGGTGGTCGCATAAAAATAATAGTAATAATACTATTGTTGAACGGGAAAAACAAAAAATAAAAAAAAAAGCCGAACAAATGATCTGTGAAAATAAAATCATTTAAATTTTAATACCTGTAATGGCACCACCACAACGGTCGAAGCAAGATGGATGAGATTTTTTTTTCCCTTGTATTTATATAGAGGTAAAGAGAATATTTCTTGAAGTCGAAATTTTATCCATTAGGATGTAGTTGATCATCATTAATGAAAAGATTGAACATGCTAATAAGAAAGGAGGATATTTCACCACATATTCTCAGTTGATGATTGATGAGGAATTTTCTTTTTTTTATTGTGGAGAAGGGATTGATTAGGGAGTCGATTGTCGTGGAGATGGGGATGAGGATTCGAGGTTTTTATGAATCCGTTAGTTTTTTTTTTTTTTTGGCGAAAATAGGAGGTGGAGGTGGATTTGGATTGCATTTATCTTTTAAGTCTAGGAAACTAATGTGTAAATAAAAATTTATTTTAAAAATATGATGTAAAAATGCCACATGCGAAATGGTGGTGCTTTTTCTTAAGTGTGGCTTTTGTTTCTAATATAGTAAAATATATATCCTACTATATTAGAAACAAAAACCTCCCTTTCAAACACCTCATATGATTGCCACGTGGCATGTAGAAAATACTAAATTGCCCTTTTGTCTAACCATAACTAAATTACTAAATCTCCCTTTGCACTTTACGTGACACGTTTTTTTTTTAATTTTTTCTTTATGTTTCATTCAACTAGAGTGGTTTTTTAAATTGAATTGATCAATTAGGTTTTTTGTTACAAAGTGTCAATGTTGTTTTAAGCGTATACCCTTCGGATGAAGCTTATTACGAAGTTATTAAAAAATCTTCAAAACTAAGTATTGATTTGGCACGGCCAATGGAGAACGTCAATAAATCATCTTACTAATATTTAAATTTATTAGGATGCTTTTATATTTTATCTAACATTTACTTCAACACATATATTCGATTAAGCTATTTATATTTAATAAGTAACACTTATAAAACATTTCTAAAACATACATGGCGAAATACAATTTATTTTTTTTTTTTGCGAAATACAAATATTTCTATGATCACACTTATAAAACATTTCTAAATCCTTCAAACATTTCTAAAATATATCGCTCCAAATACAAAATTTTATTTTTTTCAAATATAAACATTTTTAAGATCTACAGATAGACTGGGCCAGGGTCGCGCATTGCGCGACCAGACATCACTAGTATATTTATAAAAGAAAATATTTATTCCTTCCCATTCTATCTCATCTTGTCCAAGCCCTGCATCAAAAGATGGTTAACCAAATCAAGCTTTGAAGCAACCCCAATATAATCAGTTCGCCGTAAGTAAGCTTCAATCTTATGATCGACTATCTCAAATAATTCAAGCAACAACGCTATTGCATCTATCTCCACCTCCTTCTTCTCCTTGTCAACATTTTCCCAACCAGATTCGTCGAAAACATATGGAATTTATCAGAAAATAGAATTTGGCCTCTGTCCCTTTCCAAACACGAGATATGCCAATCGCTGGCCAACATCAAGCACACAGTCAATTCAGGCAGTCGTTGATGTTGAGTATCCTATATCGGTGGTGGGAGAGAGTTGATATCAATATATAAGTGTATGTGCTACTCCCCTCATTGCCAATTGGTTTTGAGGTGGAACCCCATGAGCTTCTATTTCTCATGGGCTTCTATATGGTATCATAGCCAGCCCGCCAAGAGTCGGACTCCAAGCCTGATGTGATAGAACTGGTAAGGCTGAGACGTGAGGCGGTGACTGGGCTGACAAGCCCAACTCAAGAAAAGACGTTGGGCTTGCGGGGGAGTGTTGAGTATCCCACATCGGTGGTGGGAGAGAGTTGATATCAATATATAAGTATATGAGCTACTCCCCTCATTGCCAATTGGTTTTGTGGTGGAACCCCATGGGCTTCTATATGATATCAGAGCCAGCCCGCCAAGAGTCGGACTCCAAGCCTGATGTGATAGAACTGGTAGGGCTGAGACGTGAGGCGGTGACGGGGCTGACAAGCCCAACCCAAGAAAAGACGTTGGGCTCGGTGGTGGGAGAGAGTTGATATCAATATATAAGTATATGGGCTACTCCCCTCATTGCCAATTGGTTTTGAGGTGGAACCCCATGGACTTTTATAGTTGATGTTTCAAGCAATTGAAAAATTTCTTGTTCGACTTCAACACGTTTTGTTTTTGACGCCCACAATGTCACAAGTTGAGCCTCAAAGGACGCTTAAATAGAGCACAATGGAAAATCAGCTTGTGAAGGAGAAGCTGGGGGTTCTATCACAGTTTGCAAACTCGCCATCCTGGATCGTATTGTTATCATTATTTTTTGTATAATTACTTTAGTTTTATATTTTGTGTTATTATTTAATTAATTTAGTTAAATTTATTTATAATTAATGTAATTAGTGTATATTGAAGAAGAAGAAAGAGTTTATGAGCAAAATTATCTAAACGTACTGTAAGTGAGTAATTTGAGGACTGCGAAAAGCAATTCAGGTGACGATCTTATTTCCCTCATGAGTTCTAAATCATCATCAAAGATGATTAAAATTGGGCTGACAATATAGTTCTTACTGGGTGAGCCTATTGGGCTAATAAATGGGCCCATCTGAGCCTTTTTAGTCCGGGCCTGCAATTAAACTAAAACGCCGTCGTCTAGCATAGTTCCCTCCCGTCCACAATGACAAAGGTTTTGCCGGTCCCGGAGGACGCAGTGGATTGAATTGAATTGATATTCTTTGCCGGTTTTCCCAATTTAGATTTCTCCTGTTAATCGCAACAGTAAACCAATGGTTAATTGAATTGGAAACTTCCGCAGCTGCGCCGCTGACATCCGTCGTACAACGAAGACGGTTAGAATAATCGGGTGGGCTCTATCTCGACTCTGCTGAAAAGGCTTTAGGTTTGTTATTCTTTAATTTTCTGTAACTCTTTAGGAGTTTCGATTTTTTTTTTCCGCCGATTGTTGGATTGGATGATATAGTAGTTATGTAAAAGCTGGGACCTGCTTCAGAATTTGAAATGTTTCTGCAAATTTCTTTCCCCCACCCCAGTGATTGGAAACGGATTTCCTGTGAACTGATGCCGGAATTTTTCGGCAACGAAAGAACCACTTTTTTCCCGGAATATTCATGGCTTGATTCGCTTTCGGGTTTCTTCTCCTTGACAAATCTGTAATTGGCATTTCATTTGGCTGCTGTTTGTTTCATTCTTTTTTTTTTTTTTTTGTAATTTGGGCTGAAAATTATAGGTTTTAATGCTTTACATTGTCTATAATCAATAATGCAATGTCATTCTCTTATGTATTCTTCTTCTCTCTGTTTTCATCTTGTTAGTTTTGCTGTGTACCAGTAGGGGAGAGGAAGTGGTTATCCTTTTGTCTCTGTCTGGAAACAGATCAAATTAGATGATGCTGAGGTTCATTTTGTATTGACTTTCCTCCTATGCCAATTAATTTCAATAATGCCATCACATGAAGTCAGGGACTGTGATGAGCAAAGTACATCTCCTGATAATGTTGCTGTTGAGAAAAGCTCCGAACATTCCCTAGAACAAGGGGCTGTTCCAGAAGATGGTGTTTCGGTTCCTGGCGGCAACAGCGAACCAATGGAGAATGAAGACGAAGAAGAGGATGAGGAAGAGGATGTGGATTTCAATCCTTTTCTGAAAGAAACCCCATCACGAGAAGCTTCTTCTAGCTTGAGCTCAGAAATAGATGGCTTGGATGGTGATGTTGCTGACAGTGCTTCTGTTGCCTTGGCAACCGAGTCTGTGGCTAAGGCTCCAAATCCAATACAGGACTATCCTGTGGGAGACACTGATCATGATGAGGAAGTTGTGACGCAAACGGAAACTTCAGTTGAAGAATGCAATAAACTTTCTGAAAAACAAGATGGATCCGGCAAAAAAATAAATGCCGTAAGTGATTTGGTGGTGGCTGGGGAGATAAGCACTCCCTCACATACCAAAAAGCCTGTGCTGAGTACAGACGAGGAGGATGCTATATGCATGCGAACGAGAGCTCGTTATTCGCTTGCTAGCTTTACACTAGATGAACTCGAGACTTTTCTTCAAGAAACAGATGACGAGGATGACTTTCAAAATGTTGATGACGAGGCAGAGTACAGGAAATTTCTTGCTGCCGTTTTACAGGGTGGAGATGGTGACACTCAGGGTTCCTATGAGAATGAGAATGCTAATGATGAAGATGAAGATGAAGAAAACGATGCAGATTTTGAGCTTGAGCTCGAAGAGGCTCTCGAGAGTGAAAATGATGAAGACGCAAAGTATGAGATTCTGGAAGACACATTCAAGGCTGCTGGTCGTCGACCTAAAACTAGGCAAAACAGACACCAAAAAGGTTCTCTTGGAAGTGACCAGACACATATGGGACATAGACCATTACGTCCCCTTTTACCATGTGTACCTATTGTGCAAAGGCCAGGCTTTCCATCATTGGATGCGACGAATTTCATGCGTAATCCTAGTACTGACTTTCACCCTTTTGTCAGCAATGGATTCATAAATGGATTTACTCCCCATCAGATTGGACAATTGCATTGCTTGATCCATGAGCATGTTCAGCTTCTCATTCAGGTGTTTTCTGTATGTGTGCTAGACCCGGGCAAACGGCATATTGCCATGAAAGTTCAGGAATTGATTTCAGAGATGCTTCATGTGCGCGAAAATGTTTTAGCTTGGAGAAGGCTACCATATCCTAGTTTCTGTTTCTTCCCTCCGTGCATTCATCCATCAGTCCCTTATGAATTTCCGGAATCATTCCCAGAACCATCAGTCAATGAAGCTTCGCTTGTCATTGATGTGTGGAGAAACTGCACTCCCCGAAATAATAGGGAAGCCACTGATACGATTTCCGCTGGTAGAGGGAGGGTTGTGCCCCAACGAAATAGCCAGGCTCTTGAGCGCTCCTTTTGGGTGCCTTTTATAAATGGCCCCATATGCTCCGTAATGGATGTTGCTCCTCTCAAATTAGTTGCAAACTTCTTCAATGATGTTTCTAGTGGTACGTTGACTTTATACATTTGTCTTTTTTGCAAAGATTTGCGTGGTGCTTGCTCAATTAATGTAACATTATCACCTTAAACTGACATTGTGCCTTTTTTTGTAATTCTTTTAAACAACTCGCATAGTTGTGCAAGAGTATCATAGGCGGCAACTGGGACTGATTCGTGATGCACTTCCTGAAAAGGAACCGCTGTTTCCTCTGAATACTGAACCATGTGATCAAGTTTCCAGAGATAATGGTTGTCCAACTTCCACCACAGCAAATTCCTCCTCTCATAATGATCAAACACCTAAGAGGACAATGGCATCTACCCTAGTTGAAAAGGCCAGAAAGCAATGTGTGGCTCTAGTTCCGAAGGAGATAGCTCATCTAGCTTGTCGATTCTATCCTCTGTTTAATCCTGCCCTATATCCTCATAAGCCACCACCTTCATCTGTTGCAAATCGTGTACTTTTCACTGATGCGGAGGATGAGTGAGTTGTATGCTTTCTTTTACTTAATTTGCTGTTGTCATGCAGTGGGAGCATTACTTATAAGTTATGGCGTATTATATCTCCAGATACTTTTCTTTTTGCTGCATGTTTTCCATTTTGTGAAGTGCTGGATCTCAAAAATATATGGAACATGATGTTTGGTCATGAAACATCACACCCTTAAGAACTTTTAAGCCAGTATTTTTTCATTTTTTTTCCAATCTTGTTTCTGTTGCATTTTTATACCAAAAAGGTAATCCTCTGGTCCACTATGCAGATTATTGGCAATGGGGCTAATGGAGTATAATTCAGACTGGAAAGCTATTCAACAACGCTTTCTTCCCTGCAAATCTAAGCATCAGGTGATTTCAGGCAGTCCTACATTATGTTTTTGCACTTTTCCATGTAGATCTAAATTCATTTTCATTTCCAGTGTGAAAGTTTGAGCATAAATATGATATTTGTGGTGCTTATGTTCGATGATTTACTGAACAGATATTTGTAAGGCAGAAGAATCGTTCGTCCTCTAAAGCACCAGAAAATCCAATAAAGGTAGGTTGATAGCCCTGTTATATTCACCTACTATTCTCTTCACTGCTCTTCTTCTATTAGTATTCTTGAGCAAGTTTACACTTCTATGTCAATTCTTTCTCCGTCTCTCTCTCCCCTCTCCCCTTAACCATATTTGTGATGTTTGGTATGTTGAGATGGATCTGTAGAGATACTATAGTAAATTACTACGTATTGGAAGCATTACCAAAGAAAGTTTGGTAGCTTTCATAGATGCGAAAAGCAAGAAACATGCTGAAGATGATTTTAGATGCACTCAAGACTTTTGATGAACCAACGTGGTATGTGAAAAGTATAGATTTAATGACTTAAACAAAATGTTTGGGGGTGACTTAAGAGGGCTCTGGGAAAGGTACTATTAGGAAAGATATGATACACCTAAGCTTGAACATACACAACATGTTGGCGAGATATGATCCATATCTATGAATTTACCGGTGGATAGTGGTGTAGATACTGTTAAAATCAGAGATTTTATCATGAAAAGAAATAAAAGATTTCCGTGAAAGAGGAGAACTGAGATTCTGTGGAAAAAAGATGTATTTCCTTTGTTGGAGAAACCTCTTTATATAGGGTTGGTATTAGCCTAACAAACAGATAGATACATATCTAAATCTAATCATATCCTATATTTAAAATTTAAATATTTATAGCTAAAAAATAACAACTATTAGAACAATAAAATCTGCCAACTATAACTAGCAAATCTTTGAAGATTTGTTGATTCTGTTGACATCCCCCTCAAATTGATGCTGGTAGGTCAGTTAGCATCAATTTGCTAACAAGAAAGTTATGGCGTTGACTTGGCACGGCTTTGGTGAGAATATCTGCAATCTGTAGCGTAGTAGAGATATGTGGGAGGCTAAGTACTTGGTTATCATATGCTTCTCGAATATAGTGACACTCAACCTCTATATGCTTCGTCCTTTCATGGTAAACAGGGTTTGCTGCAATTTGGATAGAACTAGTATTGTCAGCATGTAATGGAGTCGGTTTGGTTTGAGGAAAACCAAGTTCTGTGAGTAATCCCCTTAACCAAATAATCTCTGAACACGCAGCTGACATTGCACGATACTCTGCCTCAGTAGAAGATTTAGAGACATAGTTCAGCTTTTTGCATTTCCATGAGATTAGAGACTCACCAAGAAACATACACCAACCAGTAGTTGATTTCCTAGTGTCAGGGCATCCTGCCCAATCTGCATCACTATAGGCCTGAGGCTGGAGTGAAGAACTAGCCGGGAAGAATAAGCCTCGATTAGAAGTACCGAGAAGGTATCAAATGAGGCGTTTAACAGCTGATAGATGGAGATGCCGAGGGGATTGCATAAACCTACTCACTGTATGGACAGCATAAGAAATATCTGGGCGAGTAATAGTCAAATAAGTTAGACTACCAACCAACTTACGATATGATCCATATCTTTAAATTTACAGAGTAGATAGTGGTGTAGCTGTTTAGATGCTTGCAAGTAAAATAGTTGCAAAAGACCAAAGATTTTATAGTAGATGCCCTGTGGTTGAGGAAATTCAGGACTAATCTTCCTAGATACTTTGATTAGGGTCGATTTGTGATGTTTATATCTTATATTTTACTTTGGTCCTTTCTTTGTTGACTATGGTTTCACCAAAACTTGGATTGTGTCATCACATGGGAATCTGGAGTTTAATCTGTGTTCTGTGAATGCGATCTGGAGTTTAATCTGTGTTCTGATGTGTAGTAGATGGTAGATAATATCTTAATGTTTTAAATTCTAACATAACTCAACCAGATTGTTGCTCTATGCTCCAGGCTGTCCGGAGGATGAAAAATTCACCCTTGACAACTGAAGAGATTAAACGTATTGAAGAGGTGACTTTAGCTGTTATGATGCATGATAAGTCTGCCATCCATTTATTGGGTTTAATAAAATAATGTTACAACTTATTCAGGGGTTGAAGACATACAAACTTGATTGGATGTCAATTTGGAAGCTTATTGTTCCCCATAGGGATCCGTCCTTGCTACCTCGGCAATGGCGAATTGCTATTGGAACTCAAAAATCATACAAATTGGACGCAAATAAGAAGGCTAAACGGCAACTATATGACTTAAGAAGAAGAAACAGAAATTCTGCAGCTTCGGCCAGCTGGAATAGTTCACCTGAGAAAATGGTAGGCTTATACCTTTGTTGATTGTTGCTTTCCCTTGCATGAATTTATTATCTTAATACTATGATTGTATTCCCCCACCACCACCACACACATCCCTTCTACCTTAGAGCATATTGATGAATACACAAGTATTTTTCTATTGAATTGAGCCCAGTGTTTAGATATAGTATGTTGTTGAGCATAGAGTTTGCAAATACTTCCCTATAGTTGGAAACTTCGATAATATCCCTTAGTTCAATTTTTATATTATATTGACTTCTACAGCTAGTTGTGACTTCTCTCTTCCTCCCTTAAGTTTCTGGGAGTACACGACTGTTTGATCACTTGATGTTTGATCAATTGTAGGATAATAAAGATGATAAAGCTGGTCAACAAAATGGCAGCAGAGACAATGAGATGGAAAGAGAAGACGAAGCTTATGTTCATGAGGCATTTTTAGCTGATTGGAGACCAGATAATTCAAAGACTTCCCCGAGTTTTCCAGGTCTGGGATTAGCAAAATCCCCTTCTGTACAGACGCCTTCTCGGGAAGGCTCACAAGTCAGAGAAGAACTTAATGGGAGTGAGTCTGGGGATACCCGACCTCCTATCTCCAATAAGTTGCCAGCAGCTGCAAGGTATTTCCAAGCATCTTCAGATTTGTTCTTTCCTTGTTATGTTTTGCATTGCTAATGTGGATTTTGGATGGTTTCAACTCTAATGTTTTTTTTTTTTTTTGTTAGTGTTAGTCTCTTGTTTAGAGCTAATCTTACTATATGCTCATTAGACTTTAAGAAAATTATGTGTTGGACAATGGCCACACATAATATCCATAGCCAATCCTACGTGAGGATAAATGATAAGTTATTGTTGTTAGTAATCTCATCGCCTTGATGAACCCTTTTTTTTAAGGTCCCTGGACACTCAAACACACTGGAGGCCCTATCGAGCACGAAGAGGTAATAGTGCACGTGTGGTAAAATTAGCTCCAGACCTGCCTCCTGTAAATCTTCCTCCATCTGTTCGTGTGATGTCACAGTCGGCATTTAAGAGCTATCAAACAACTTTAGGTGCTTCCTCTACTAATTCTTCAGTTGTTAGCTCTAAAGCCGGAAATGGGGTTCTGAGCACGGCAAAGGGTGCTGCTAACTCTAAAACTGATTGCCCTGTCGCGACTCAAGTTACCAGAACCCAGGGAAACACTAGTTCCAGTTATCACCAACCTCAAGAATCTGCGACTACCAGGAAAACTCTTGTTGCAGAAAGAAGAGATGACTCAGATCTTCAGATGCATCCTTTACTGTTCCAAACCCCTGAAGATGGTCGGTTTCCATATTATCCCTTGCATTCAAATGCAAGTACTTCGATAAACTACGTCACGAGAAGCCCTCCCCAATTGAATTTGAGCCTTTTCCATAATCCGCTTCATGCAAGAAGTGCAGTGAATTTTCTTACAAAGCCATCAACATCAAAAGAACCAGCATCTTATCAGACTGGTTTCCACCCACTCCTTCAAAGATCCGAGGATACAGATTCTGGCTTGGTCACCCCACAATCTAATATTCAATTGTCCAGAAATATGAAGTCATCCAATGGAAGAAGCGATCAAGTTCATAATCCATTATGTACTTCGAATGTAAGCCCTGGTGAGAAATCTAGTGACCTTGACTTAGACATTCACCTCAGTTTCTCCAGACAGCCTGGGCGTACGGATGTTGGAAATCGGGCTTCTGAAGAAACCGGTGGAGCTATATCTGTTGCTCGTGCTGTAAAGCCGAGCATTTTTAAATCTCACAAGGCCACGAATTCTCCCATGCAATCTAGCCTTTATGTGACTGTGCTGCCGAACAGAAATGGCAGTAAGTTTGATTCAGGCAGCCCCGTTGCGACTACCGCCATGGATGAAGGCGTTAGAAACAGTGCTGAGGACCAATCTCTTCCTGAAATTGTGATGGAACAAGAAGAGTTAAGTGACTCGGAGGATGATGAAATTGGAGAAAATGTGGAGTTTGAGTGTGAAGAAATGGCTGACTCAGAAGCAGAGGTGGAATCAGAGTCTGAACAGATGGGTGATGCACAAAATGAGGTCAGTTCAAAGTGCATATTACTTATCATTACTTGTTTTCTTCCTTCTATTCTTGACCAATCGAGGAATCTGCTATGTGTCTTGAAGTCTGTTATCTTGATGTGTAGAAAACTTTTCTTATGATTTTTTTGGGTGTGTCTTCGTTTATGGTAAACTTAAAAGTAGGAGAAATCATAATCCTGGAGTTCAGAACTTTGATTTCTGAACCGCAGAAGCTAGTTAAAGTTTGGTCTGATATGATATACTGACCATTTGGTAACTTCTGAATGGTTTCTTTTCTCATTATATACTGTTGTTATCATATACTGTGGATGGATATTTTTTTGTGATTTTTGGTCTCAGTTTTAATTTTGTTAGGAGTCCGTGGAAACTTTTTTGCTTTGCCTCTTAATTGAACTAGCTCCAATTGGCAAAATAGGGTTTGAAATATTTCGGTTTATCCAATTTTGGTTTACATGTAACTGAATGCTTATGATTGTTTCGTGTAGGAGGTGGAAGAGGCTGGCATGGATACAGATTCTGTAGATCAACTGCAACTGCCTGCAAAGGATGATCTATTAGAACGGGACGCGGTGATCAGAAAAGTAGACAATTCCTCCCGTTTGAATTTGAATTCCCGTCCACCGGGTTCTCCTTTGATGGAGGCTGTGGATGAGCGGGCAAAGAGCACGAAAACTTGTCAGATTACAAAGCCCCCTTGCAGTTCTGAGAAAACCAGTGGAGATAATGGTTACGACATTGACGACCATTCAAAGGCGCGAAAACAAGCTACAAACCTGGCGCAACAAACAAATTCGAAGAGATGTGGTGATGCCAGGGGGTCGAGGAAATCCAGGAAACGGGCATCTGGAACTCAACCCAGCTCGAGCAGGGGCACATCGAAAAAGAGAAACAAGAGTACGGACGAGAAGCAGGCGATCTAAGGGCATGAATTTTGGTTAGTTTATGGCTGCTGGAGTCAAGCAATATAGAACGTGTTTTGAGTTGCATGTCCTGTGGTTTTAGCTTCCTGAGTTGTACATAAAAATTCTACTAATTTTTCTAATTGATTCTGATTACTGTCACTCCCACTCAGAAATAAAGTTGATGTCATTGAAGTATTATTACAAGTAGACAATAAACGTGGGATGGATGCAATGTTTATTTTATTGTTTGGGACAGAAGTTGATCTGGGGCTCAATTGGATGTCTAAGAAGTTCATCCCGAAATCATCATACAAAGAAAGGAGGGTGGGAAATCCGATCTGGATGAGAAAGCGCGCGAAAGGACATAAGCACAATTGGAATCTAATCTTCCACATGGTGGCATCTGACAAATACATTATTAAGTACTCCACATAATAATCATCTACATTTGTATCCACAAACACAACCATTTTCACAGAACTGAAAACCAACAAAATTTTCAAAGAAGGCCGACCCTTTGAAGCTGTCAAATGTGGATGTAGCAGATTCAAGCAACAGAGAAGGACAAAAACAACATTACTAGTAGACTAGTAGTAAATCAAAAGTAATTTTTCCAAATTTTGAACCTCACTGTTCTTATTCTTTTTATATATTTTTATTTAATAAATTCGACAACTGTCATATTTCTTTTTGACGTAATAATTCTGTAGTAAAAAAAACTGGTCAAACAAATTCAATATTGCAAGTACTGTGTTAAAAAAAATTACACCACCACCACTTGCTTACAATAATGATAGAGAAGAAACACAATTATGTATCACACTGACACAACAGAGTCAAAAACACTGTCACATATCCCTAACCACATCACAGATCTCGAAGTTTGAAAAATCAAAAAATTTCGTTAAATTTTTCAAACTCCATAAAAGACCAAAATATTTATATAAAAAATAGAAGCACCAAAATAATGTCATATTTATCCGCAAACACACACACACACACATACACACATAGGGGGAGCAACGGCACACACAAACAAACACAAATGCACTAAATTCCATGAATTGCCAACTCAAATTAATCCCAAAAATTTCAACGGTCAGATCTATATATGTTTCTAGATTCCCCAATTTTTTCACGCGGATTCCAATTTGGGGGTTAATTAGAAATTTCTACTACTTTTACACTAAAAAGAAAGAGATCCCGCCTTTATTGAGGGTTAATTCTTTCTACCTTTGTTCCCCTCCTCTCCTAATTTCTTCTTAAAAAGCTCTCCTACTTTTCTTCTTCTTCTTCTTCTTTTTTTCTCAAACAAAATCCCAATCCGACTTCCCTAATTCACCCCTTATTTCAGAAAAAAGAGAAACTTTCCTTTAAATGAAATCTTCCTTATTATGGTGGGCTTGGGCTGATTCTTCTTCTTCACACGGATTTCCTGATTTTGTATGCTTATTATATATACTACAATGCTATGACCGGTGGTGGCGGAGGAGACTTTTGTAGTTGTAGTTGTCAGCCACTGTGTTCTGACGAACAATGCCAAGCCGGTGATTATTTTCTGGGGTGGGATTACGTCATTGTTGTTGTTCGAATTCGGGGCTCCCTTTCTATTCCGACTGCCCGGATCAGATGGGCTGCTGCGTCTCCAAGGTAGATGACCTACCGTTAGTTATCCGTTGCAGAGAGAGAAAAGATTTGTTGAAATCCGCCGCCAACCACCGCTACGCCCTCGCCGCCGCTCACCTATCTTACTTTATCTACCTGAAGGACGTTGGTGAAGCTTTGAGGAAATTCGTGGACGAGGAGCTGGTTTATAATACGACGTCGTCTTCTTCCTCCACCTCTTCTCCCATCGTCACCTTCCATCCAATCAACGACGACGACGACGACGACGACGAGGACGGCCACAATGCTGAAAAACGAGTAAAGAAGCTGAAAAGTAGTGACAAGAGTAAAATTTCCGGGTCGGATGCTTCTGGGTCCGCTTTACATCATGTGCACCATGATGATGATGACAATGATTCCCACTTGCATCTTTCAGGTGATGATTCGGATTCCGACGGTCACAGTCATGTACACGTAGGCAGTGACGATGATGATCATGAGGCTCAGGGTGGTTTTCGGGGCGTGTATACGGGCTACTACAACCCGGGTTTTTATTATCCGGGTGGATACTCCTCGGTTCCTTATGGCTATGAAACGATGGATGAGCCTATAAATCAGGCGGTGGCGCCACCGTATTGGGGATCGTTCCCGAACTACCTTGGTGAAGGTCAGCCGTATCAAGCATGGGCGCCGCCGTCTTATGAAAATCCCGATTTGAATTATCGCCATACTAATGTGTATTATATGAAAAAGTCGTCCCCTAAGATGAGAACAGTGATTCACGACCCTGGGCCGGCAACCAATGGCTTTGCCAGTCACTTTGTAAGCCACCCTTACGAGAATGAGGGTTTTTACGGGGTGCCGATGGGGCCGCCGCTGGGGTTTCAGGACAGCAAGAAACAGAGCGGACCTAAGGTTACGCCACCGCCTCCGTCGCCCAAGGGATCTTCTGCTTGGGATTTTTTTAACGTTTTTGAGTATAATGGTGAGTATGATGCTGCTAATTTGGCGAACTATGAAGTTCCAAATGGATATGGGGACTATGGAGTTTCAAATGGATATGAGTCTAGCTTTAGTAGTCCGGATTCAGCTGAAGTGAGGAAGAGAGAGGGGATCCCTGATTTGGAGGAGGAAACTGAGAATGAGGTATATGGTGGAGAGCTGGAAAAAGGGGAGAGAATGGAGGTGAAGAGTAGTTATGCAGGCGAAGGCAGCTCTAAGCCGAAATCGGGTCGTAGAGTTAGAGCACCACGATTGCATAAGATTAGTGAAGATTCTTCCGAAAGGGAGAGGGGTTTTCCATTACATGACGGAGCTTTCAAGAGTGTGCCATTGCATAGGAGTAGTGATGAAAGTTCAAGGCCATTGTCATCGCCATCACCGGAAGGACAAACTTTTCCTGGAAAAAGTTCAAGGGGGATACCTTCAGAACACACTGAATCACCAGGACAAACTTCTCCTGGAAAAAGTTCAAGGCGGGTGCCTTCAGAACACAATGAATCACCAGGAACTATACATTTGAGTGAGGAAATGAGTAGTTCAGAGACCATTCTATCATCAAAGAGTCCACAAGATGCATATGTGCGCAAAAAAGAGGTCAGTTTTGAGGTGAATGAGAATCTGAAGTCTGAAATGGCTGCATTGTCATCACATGGTACACGCGATCTTCGGGAAGTGGTGGCTGAAATACGTGATGAGTTTGCAGTTGCTACTGAATATGGGAAAGAGGTTGCACTGATGCTCGAGGTTGGAAAGCTGCCATATCGACATAATTTTCTTAAAGGTATGTAGTTTCCCTCCATTGAGTCATTCCGGAGTTGAAATTAATTAAATTTCTTAAAGGTACGTAGTTTCCTTCCATTGAGTCATTCTATAGTTGAAATTAAATTTCTTTGGTTGGCTTTTTGGGTGAAACCGTTATTGAGTTTATATTGATTCTATTGGTTTCTTCTTGTCCAGAATTACTCTCAAGGCTTCTAAAATCATCATCTGGTGAATCTTTTCAACCATCAGCAACCTCTGCAAGATTAGCTTCTAAAACTCATAAATTAGCTAAATCATATTTCGGAGATGATTGGGAAAACATTGAGTCACCTTATAAACTTTCCTCCACATTGGAGAAGTTATATGTGTGGGAGAAAAAACTTTACAAGGCAGTGAAGGTTAGAAGACAGTCTTATCTTTCATATTTTGTTTCCCATATGAATTCTTTATTTTTTAATCTATGATGCATTTTTTGTGGTTTCAAGTTTCATAAGTCGTAGAGAAACACTTAGAAGAAGGCCTGAAGTTGAAAGTAAAAAAGTGGGTCTTTTGGAATCATCTTTGCGAGATACTGTGGAACATGAAATGCAAACATCTCTAATTTCCCAGTATGTTCTTTTTGCAAATTTTCCTTATGGCGACATCTCTAATTTTGTAGATATCAATAGGTTTGGTTCAGTGATTTTCTTTTCAAGAAGTTATGCTTCTGGAAGTGGGTGTTGCCTATGGTCAAAACTGCATATATTTATTTGGTGGATAGTCTAAGCTCTATGGGATTTATAACATCAATGTACCAATTCGGGTCTCCATGAATTCAGTCTATAAGTGTGCCAATCATTTATCGGTCTGTGTGCTGGCATATTATACCTGAAAATTTGGATATATACCTAATGAATATTGAAGTCCGTGGCTTATTTTTCATGTTTTCTTATGTTATTAATTAAGTTTATCTCTGTAACCATTTTTCGTGTTTTTTTTACTCGTAATAACTCTCCCTGTAGGCAGAGGAGAAACTTCGGATTATTAACAAAAAGCAGCGCGAACAACTGACTCTTTTGGATAAGAATGGTTCTGAGCCCAGCAAAATTGATGCCATTCGTGCTTCTATTCGAAACTCAGAGACCAAGTTAAATATTTGCTTCAAAACAATTACTGCTATAGCAATCAGGATAGACAAGTTGAGAGATGAGGAGCTTCAACCACAAGTTGCTGGCCTAGTTCAAGGGTATAATTTTTCATGCTATGCAAATTATCAATCCACAGGATTGCTTTCATCTACTTTTGCTTGTTTGTGCACATTGATTGAATGTTTCATGCTACTCTTGACTTCCTAACTATATTGTGCTTGTGCTTATTGAAGAAATTTTTGGGAAAATCATGTAGTCAACTTTCTTATCCATTTCAAATATAGCTGGAAGAGTCGTCATAAATTCTTCCAGCTTTGTGCTAATAATGAATTAGATCAAAGTGGCTAATTTAAATTGTGGTGCTTCTTACTTTTGGTGAAATTGCCGGAAATCAATAGATCAAATGTACCAATGCATCTCGTTGTGGTTAAACAGTCTCTCTGTATTGAAATACCGTGGTAAGGCTGTGTATATTTTGACCCAACCTAGTTGGGAATATACTGGCAATGTTGTTGTTGTTGTCGCTGTTGTATCTTGGAGTCACTTTTGTTACATTTGATATGTATGACAACTGTTCAATTGATGTTTGTTATCACCATGCATGAGACTATCTTTAGAGAATACAAGATAGTTCAGCTTTCAATTTCTTCTTGCAGAATCCTTAGGGAGACTTCATAGAGTTACCTGAGTCATTAGAGTTGGGAGAAACTGTTATTTGAACATATTATGCGTGAACGGGCTCTTTTTGTTTGGTCCTTCATGCTTGGGTGAATTTAATTAAACAATTCGTGGGATCAATCTATGATTGCTAGTTTATTTTGAACATTTTTTATGTTCATTCTCTGATGGTGTGGAATCATGACATATAGGCTCATAACAATGTGGAAGTCGATACTTGGCTGTCACCAGAAACAGTTCCAAGCTATAATGGAAAGTAAAATTAGAACATTGAAGGCAAACACTGGTTTCCAGAAAGACTCTAACTCACGGGCTTCTCGGGAACTTGAGGCGGAACTTCGGGCATGGTCTGTGAGATTTAATGATTGGATTATCACCCAAAAGTCTTATGTTCATTCAATGAACGAGTGGCTTGTGCGATGCATAGAAGATGAACCTGAAGAAACCCCAGATGGACCTGTCCCTTACTCCCCTGGACGACTCGGAGCTCCTCCAATTTTCCTGATATGCAATGATTGGTTTCAAGCAATGGAAGCTATTTCTAACGTCCCTGTAGCCAGTGCAATGCATACTTTTGCGTCAAGTTTGCATGAGCTTTGGCAAAAGCAAGATGAAGAGCAACGCCAAAGAGTCAAAGCAGGAGATCTCATCCCTAATGAACTGAAGAACCGACTTAGGAAACTTCAATTGGAAAGAGGAAAAACCGAACGTGAATTGGATGCAATGTCCGACAGGACGTTATTATCTATAATGCTCTCAGAAAATGGAGTTTCACCTCATGATGATCTAAAGGTAGACTTAGATTTGGTGCGGAAGAGATTGGTAGAAGAGAGAGCAAGACACAAGGATGCTGTAAAAATTGTGCATGAAGCAGCTGCAAGTAGTGTACAGGGAGGTTTGGTTCCCATTTTCAAGGCCTTAGAAAGTTTCTCTTCTGAAGCCTTGAAAGTACATGAACAAGTTAGGTTACAATCTGATGTGAAAGCATCATGATGAGCTTCGCTATTCAGTTAGATTTTTCAGAAGTTTTCGGAACAGTTGTAGGCTTCTTTCCTGTTAAGTTTTGCAGAGATGACAAGTCTCATTTTATGGGGAAGGGGAATTAGTTTTAACTTAGATTTAGCTTTGATGTCCTTGGCTTTAGGTGAGATTCTTTTGCTGTGGAATAACTTCTAACTTGTTGAAGTTTTGAAGAGATAGCTAGTCTTAGGGATCGTGGGGGAAAGTTACTTTAGAGTTAGTTTTGGTGCCCTCCTTAATTACTCTAGGGTATTAGGTGAGATCTGCTTTTTGTACAGGTATTGAATTTATTTGTTGATTCAATTATTGCTTAGCTTATAATCTGTTTGGGAGGTTTAATTTTGATTTATCAGTCGTTGCAGAGTAGGACATTGGGATATGGCCGCAAGTAATTTTTGTGTATTATTATTGTCATCATGATTATTCACTTCACATTTTTGTTTGCGATTGCGAATATGTATAAATTTGAAGGGAACAAAATAAAAAACCTTCATTTTATTATTTTGTGGTAAAACAGGCTTGTATCTCTTTGATTTCTTACTTTTTAAACAAAAATCCCCATCGTTGTATGAATTATATTGTGGGGAAACTGGTTTTTCTCTTCAATTGACTCACTTTTGGATGATTTTCCTCATCTGCATTGAAGTTAAAATGTGTTTTTGGCAACTTGTATACTTCAAGAAGTCCTGTTCAAAATTATATGAATGCATATTCCAAAGAGTTGCAACTAGTATTCTAAAAGTTCGAGACTTTCATGTTAAAGGGCTGGCTTGAGAGGAGGGATGCCTTAAACTTTCACTCTCTTGATGGTTCTTCTGCTACTATGTGAGTGTTTCTCGGGTTCTTCGCCTTTTTTTTTTCTTTTGTCTGGCCAATCTTTGGATAATCTGTTTTGTGTTATTCTTGCTCTGCCTTGGTGAAAATTTTTTGTTTTGATTGTTTCCTTTTTGTTTTGTTGGGTGACATGAGCTCATAAATGGACAAGGTTATACTTGAATTAAAAATCCAGAAGTTAAATTCCAGTAAGGTTTCTTAATTGTGGCATTTGTTTCCGAAATTGCTGAAAGTATACTGTTGATGGAAATATTTTATAGTGGAAGTGCAGAAATAAACCACAATGGTGTTCTTAATCTTGACTTGTGATAATGGCATTTATCTTTTTAGAGACTGAATCTTCCTTTTGTCTCGTGGTTCTGGGATACGTGTTTCTGGTGTTTTTACTCTGTAAAGCATTTTATTCTCCAACCAAAATTAGAGTTCTGTTTAGGAACATGGATACTCTGTCCATTATTCTCTCTTGCTGCAATTTCAGAAAGTTTCTTCTCTTGTAAAATTGGAAGATCTGAGGAAGACGAAATCTTCCTCGGATTCTCCTTGGAATACCAGCCTTTGTCCTTTATTTTCTGTGAAAAAGAGTCCTATCATTTTTCTGTATGCTGGCAATAATTGTATAAACACCGAGAAGGGGCACATATGTAAGTGATATAGAGTGCCGGTTCCAAAGTTGCAACATGAACCCGTAAGATTGCTTGTGACCATAATGAAGCAGCAAGGTATGTGAATTGCAATAGTTTACACAGATTTCCTATGTTTATCTCTCGAAGGACTTCTTGGCTGTGGAAAGTATGATGAGCATGATGTCCCAGTTTCTTGCTGTCTGGTGTAATGCCTCTTGCAGCTCTTGCTGACTGATACAGTGCACGGGTTTGAGCTCTGTTTAAGTCAACAGTAACAATCCGAGCTCCCTGGTCTAATTATCGTATCAGACATCAGGTTCTTCGAGCAAAAGTGCAAGGTGCTGCCTTCATTTCTGTTCATATTTATCTGTGAAATAGCCTCTCTGTGTTTAAGTTTTGCTTGATTCTGTCAAAAGTCATCTCTTTTATCCTCAGAATTACATCTACTTTCTGCATTCGTCATCCAGACGGCTGTATCCGGTCAAAGTTCGTGCACTTCCTCTTCTTCTGATTATTTTTAAACTGAATCTAAGGAAATAAAAACCTCTTGTGGAACCTTTTCGACATTCTAAAGCTTTTTCACCTGTTCAGCCATGGTAATAAATAAGACTGATAAGAAAAGAAAATAGAAGACTTCTATTTTATTTTATGTTACCTGTTGGTCTAGATTTTGTCAAAGTAAATAGGTTTTACTTATTCAGAGTGTTGCATAAGCTAACTCACTTTGTTTATTAACTTTGAACCCTGAAATAAGTCTAATTGACCATATTAAGGTACAGACTGAAGGCCAATAGAATATCACAGTAAAAAAAATTTTTGATAGACCAAGAAGACTCGGTTGTCTGCGAAAAAGGTTTGATATTAATTATTAGTATTTATAAAGAGCTAAGCATTGGTTCATATAACACCAGAAAACTCATCTTCAATAATAGTCCCATGGGACTTACTCATTCCTTGATCTTTCTGTTTTACTGGCCTCTAGTCCTTATTTCAGCATATTGTACCCGTACCAATGCTGCTGCAACACCCCATTTGTGCACCCGTCAAAGCAGCGATTTGTTGTTCCAATTCCAACGAAGCTTTGAGATTAATGGCAAAGCAGCTTCAATAGTGGATTGTGAATCAAATGGCCAACCTTCGTATCCAAAGACAGATCTTGGAACAAAAGCGTCGATTGTTGTATGTGGGATGGAGTAACATGTGATGATCTATCTGGTGAAGTTATCGGCCTTGATCTTAGTTGTAGTCAGCTTCAAGGATCTATCAACTCCAATAGCACACTTTTCCAACTCACATCTTCAAAATCTCAACTTTGCTTTCAATGAATTTTTTCCTTTCCCAATTACCAGTAATTTCTCTGGCTTTCGGAGTATGTCTAATTTGATCTCCCTTGATCTCTCCTCACTTTTGGGAGGCATTGTGATTCAACCACGTACCTTTGAATTCCTTCTCCAAAACTTAACTCAATTAAAACAAGTTTCACTAGGAACTTGCAACATTTCTTCAACGTTTCCTCGCAATGTATCTGCTTCCTTGGAACTCCTGGACCTGGGGAACACACGATTATTTGGGGAATTTCCAATAGTGATTTTTCAGCTCCCAAACTTGCGATTGCTTCAGCTATCTAACAATGACCTTAATGGCAATTCACTTCAGGTCCAACACAATTCCAGCAGTAAGTTGAGCTATCTTGACTTGTCTGCCAATGTTTTTGTGGTGAACTGACCGAATCCATTGGATATTTGAAACATTTGTATCATTTAGGTCTGTCTCACTGCAACTTTTCCGGGTTCATTCATGAATCTTTTGGAAACCTCACACAGATCACATATCTGGACCTCAAATCCAACCATCTCACTGGAGAGTTGCCTTCAACCCTTAAAAATCTTGAGAAACTCGTCTTCCTAGACCTTCATGACAACAGTCTTGAAGGAGAATTGCCCGACATTTTTAGCAACTTACAAAACACCATCTATTTAGATCTTAGTCATAACCTTTTCAGCGGTAATTTCCCGTCCTCGATCATGAACCTACCAAAACTTCAACACTCAGACTTGTCTGTTAACTCACTTATAGGTCCTCTGCCCCCCAGAATTGGCAGTGGATTCCAGAACCTTTCTACCATTATTTGTCAGCAAACTCGATCAATGACACAATACCATCTTGGGTATTCAGTTTACCCTCGCTGACTGATTTAGAATTGGATCACAATCAACTAACAGGCCAAGTCCACGAATTTCAACATCAATCTCTGACGTCAATATATCTGCAAAACAACAACTTGAACGGTCCAATTCCTGAATCAATTTCAAGACTTGTGAACCTGAGTGAACTTCAGTTATCATACAACCACTTAAGTGGAAACACTGATATAAGTTTGTTTTCAAACTTGCAAAATCTTTATTCGCTGGACCTTTCTTTTAACAACCTATCTCTCACCAACAACAATCAAGTTAATTTCAACATTGCCTCAATCTCTATACACCTTGCATTTGAGCTCTTGTGGGATAAGGGATTTAGATTTCATAACCGGACTAACCGATCTGGATGAGTTGGATGTTTCTCACAACATGCTTCAAGGCCAAATCTTCTCAAAACCACAGACATCATACACCTGGGCTCAAGTGTTATCTTTTTTGAATCTGTCTCACAACTATCTAAATGATATCCGGCTACTACCTTCTCAATTCCTGGAAACTCTTGATATTCGTTCAAACTTCTTGAGTGGTCCATTACTTATGCCGTCTACTATTATAAGAAACTACTTTGCTTCAAACAATGAATTCACTGGAGAAATAACTTCATCCATCTGCAATTTGTCTTCCCTCCAAGTACTTGATTTGTCAAACAACTTGATTGGTGTTATTCCTCAATGTTTGGGAAACATGACCACTACATATCTTATGATATTAGATCTGCACTCAAATAATTTTCAGGGCACAATTCGATCACATTTTTTACCTGTATGCAAACTGATAAGTTTCAATTTGCGCGACAATCTGTTAACAGGTGGAGTCCCTATGGCCTTGTCTGAGTGCACAAAACTAGAAGTGGTGGATATTGGAAACAATTACTTGATGGGTATGTTTCCTTGGTGGTTGGGAGATCTTCCAAATTTGAAAGTTCTAAGCTTGAGAGCCAACCATATGTACGGCCCTCTAAGAATTTTGGAAACAGGATTATCATTTCCGGCATTGAGGATTCTTGATCTTTCTCGGAATGAATTTACTAGTATCTTACCACCAACATTTTTTGTTCTACTTAAAGGTATGACTACTGAAAATCACATCTTGGAGCGCATGTCCAATGGGATAGATGGATACTATGAAAATTCTGTGATGATTTTAACAAAAGGAATAGAAATGGATGTTGTACATGTCCTTTCTATCTACGCAACCATAGATCTCTCGAGCAATAAATTCCGAGGAGTCATTCCAGATGCCATTGGAAATCTCATTTCAATTCGAGGGCTAAACCTTTCCCATAATGAGTTGGGAGGTCCGATTCCACTGAGTTTTGCAAACTTAACTTCTCTGGAATCCTTGGACCTATCCGCAAACCAAATTGATGGCGAAATTCCGCAACAGTTAAAAGGCTTTGACATATCTTCAAGTGCTGAACCTTTCCAAAAACCATCTGATGGATAGCATTCCGCGAGGCAGAGTTTAATACATTTGAAAATGCATCATACCTTGACAATGATGGCCTTTGTGGATTCCCATTGTCAAGAATTTGTGGTGCACCAACAACAACGGAAACTTTGGACTCAGATGGGAAAGAAATGAAGTACTTTATCAATGGATTTACTTGGCAAGCCGTATTGATTGGGTATGGTGGTTGGAGTGATCATAGGTTGCCTTATTTTCATCACTGGAAAACCGAAAGGGTTTAACAAATTTGTAGAACAAGAATGCTCCAGATTTCGCAGGAAAAAAGTGGCCTAAAGAGGTCAAATGGTTGTAACATTCAAGGCATTTGCTAATAAGAACGGTTTTGAGAGAATTATTAAAAAGGGCATGGAAAAGATCACTATTATTCTTAAGGGCATCATCATTTTTTATGATTTAGTATAAATGTTGATTCAATAATCTAGTAAAAATTTTGAATTGAGAGGAGAAGAATGAAGTCACAGTCGAAACTAATTACTGTTTTTGCTCTTTTTTGTTGAGAGAGGGAGAGCCCGACTGATATTTACTGGAGAAGAAGAAGAATATATTAGATCATTTTGGTAAAAGGAAGGTTGAATTAGTCTTTTAAGTTATTAGAAAACTTTAGTTGTATTTATCACATTTACAAAATATAATTAAAATTGGTTATGCCCTTGGTAATAATATTGATCTTTGCCATGCCCTCTTTAAAAATTTTTCCAATTTTTTTTTTTTCAAAAGAAAATTGACTTATGATGTGTTGCTTGCTTACAGAAATTCCAAGCGTGTCTTCTTGTTAGTCCACAAGTTTCCTTGTTTAAATGTTTGTTTGAGTATAATGTTCAGGTTTTATGGGGTCTTTCATGTTCTCATTCCGGGCAAAGTATGTGGAAAATGCGGTACGTTTGGTACCAAAAGGGAAAAGAAAAATGTTTTTAATTAAAGTAGATAAATTAACAATGCGAAATGGGTGCATAATATTATTGTACGTAATCTTAGTTTGATAGTTCAGAGTAGATACAACTATATATCCTCACACGAATCTTTTGAGACTTGGTTGTGAACCGATCACCAAAAGGCAAAAAACTGGTCAAATGAATGATATAATTTCTTTAATTAAAAATAAAAAATAAAAATCGTGCAATTTCATATGGGAATCAAAAGTCCAAGACATAATCAATTTTTAAACACCGTGTGAATGCCATTTAGAAGTGAAATGCTGTATATAGGAAATAGGTTGCCTCAAAGTAAACTCCAACAAGTGTGTGTTATTGCTTCTGACTTTTGAGATATCACAAATTCCTCCCTAAACATTGTGTTTCACATAATATCTTCAACCTCAGCCGCGCGCTCCACTACCATCCTGACTTGTACATCTTTTTCCCTCTAGATTCGTCAAAAGCAAATAGATGATTTTTTTCTAAGTTGCATGATTCAAACTGATCATTTTAATTTCAACTTTTTTTTCTTGTGGTTAAAGGAATTGAAATGGAACATAGCGCATGTATATACTAATTCTCAGTCGAGCAAAACCATTCAAAAATTCATTAAGCTGCAGTTGAAATTAAATTAAGCATCAAGAAAATTTTTTTGCCATCAGTCATGTTATATAACTCTACTATAGCCAATTGATTCACATTAATAAATGAGAAAAAAAAAAGGGAGTTGAATGATGCCCAAATTTAGTGAAACTGCGAAGATGTTAAGTAGTGCTTGAAACTGATATATACAACTGCAGCAGCATGCCAAGGAATGAAGAATGTTATCAATTAATAATAATTCCAATATAAGGGTCAAACTTATGTGGGAATTGAATGACATTCTACTGATTAGGTTGCTGTTTTTCCTTGACCAGGGGTTGTAAGAGAGGGTTTTACTCATATTTAAGTGAGGTGCACTAGGGTGTATTTTTTTAGAAAAAAAAAAGTCAAACTTCTGTGCCATTTTAAGATTTGAATTAATTGTGCTTGAAAATTCACGGCGAAGACTAACGCATATCAATTCAGTAGTATCAGAAACACAATAAAAAAATTCAACGTTATTCGCCGATTACGTACAATACTTGCTCAACTTGGAAGATATTCTTCTTAATCTATAGATTACGAAGTTCACGAAAAATATAAATAGCTAATGCATTCACGCATCTTAATTAATTGGTTATACAACTCACAAATCCTTTCCTTACTGTGATAATAAACTGTATATATGCATATAATGGGAGGGCTAATTATTGTTTTCTTAATCTTTTTGCTCAGTTTCATCCGTTTGTTAATGGTACCAACAAAAATGTTAGTACTGGTTGTACACCCCATCTGTGCAGTCCCAAAAACAGACTCCACTTGTGGCAATTCCAGCAAAGATTTGACATCACTGAAGGAGCTTCTGTACTGTGTGATGACGACTTCCAATCTCCAAAGACAAAGTCTTGGAACAGAAGCACAGATTGTTGTACGTGGGATGGAGTAACATGCGATGAACTATCCGGTGAAGTTATCGGCCTCGATCTTAGTTGCAGCCAGCTTCAAGGATCCATTGATTCCAACACCACCCTTTTCCAACTCTCGCATCTTCAAAGGCTCAACCTTGCTTTCAATGACTTCATGTTATCCCCGATCCACCCCGATTTTGCCGGTTTTCGGAGTTTGACGCATCTTAACCTATCCACCTCTAGGCTCTCAGGTTCCATTCCATCACAAATCTCCCACATGTTTAATTTAATCTCCCTTGATCTCTCAACACTGTACACGGATGTGTACCTTGTAGTTGAGCCCCACATTTTTGAGTTACTCCTTCAAAACCTAACGCAATTAGCACAACTTTCACTTGAAGGTTCCCTTATTTCTTCTATGCTGCCGCAAAACCTAAGTTCTTCATTGGAAGCACTTAATCTTGGGGGGACAAATTTGTTTGGCGAATTGTCGGAAGCAATATTCCAACTCCCCAACTTGCGAACACTTCAACTATCCCTCAACAACCTCACTGGTAACTTGCTCAAGAACTTCATTAATAATAACACCATTAGCACATTAAGCTATCTTGACTTGTCTATCAATGATTTCTTTGGTGACTTGCCCGAATCTATCGGAAACTTGAAACATTTGTACCATATGGATCTTTCCCAGTGCAACTTTTCTGGCTCTATTCCCGAGTCCATTGGAAATCTAACACAAATCACTCATTTAGACCTCCATTTTAACAATTTCACTGGTCAGTTCCCGAGCCTCGGAAACCTTGAACAGCTCATTGACCTAGACCTTTCTTTTAATAAGATTGAAGGCCAACTGCCAGAGGTTTTTAGCAACTTCCGAAACCTGACCGATCTGAACCTTAGTTTTAACCTTTTCAATGGTTACTTCCCATCCTCAATCTTGAACCTAACAAAACTCATACTCTTAGACTTGTCATCTAATTCACTCATAGGTCCTTTACCAATGCATAACAACATTGCCAGCAGACTCATCAACCTGGATTCGCTTTCTTTGAACGACAATTCAATCAACGGTACAATACCATTTTGGTTGTTCACCCTACCCTCATTGACTCAAATAGACATGGGAGATAACCAACTCACTGGCCAACTCTATGAATTCCAGTATCAATCCTCACTGCAACAATTATATCTAACCAGCAATAACCTAAATGGTCCAATTCCTAAATCGATTTCGAACCTAGTGAATCTTAGCGCGCTTGACTTATCATACAATAACTTCAGTGGGAATCTAGAGGTTAGCATCTTTTCAACCTTGCAACAACTCAGTTACCTTGACATATCTTTCAACAGTTTATCTCTCGTCGATAGCCTAGAAAAATCTACTTTGCCTCCTCTTGAGTCCCTATGGTTGTCATCTTGTGGGGTAAGGAATTTAGATTTCTTAACAGGAATCAGTGGTCTACAATATTTGGATCTTTCCAACAATATGCTTCAAGGCCGAATTTTTACCACACATAAGGAATCCTCATACATCTGGGGTGAAGATTTGGTTTACCTGAACTTATCTTACAATTCTTTAACTCATATCGACCAGTTTTCATTTCCATCCCTGCAATATCTTGATCTTCGTTCAAACTTCTTGCGCGGTCCATTGCATATGCCATCTACTGTCATGAATTATTACTTTGCATCGGATAATAAATTCACCGGAAAAATCCCTTCATCCGTATGTAATAATTCTTACCTCACGTTACTTGATTTGTCAAACAACAACCTGAGTGGTGCATTCCTCCATGTTTAGGGAACAGTAGCACAAACCTTTTGGTATTGGATTTGCACTCAAATAATTTTCAAGGAACAGTTCCATCAGATTTTCCAGTCGGGTGTGGACTAATAAGCCTTAGCCTGCGCGACAACCAGTTAGAAGGTGGAGCCCCTCGCTCCTTGTCCAATTGCTTAGAGTTAGAACTACTTGATATGGGAAACAACTGTTTGAATGGTATGTTTCCATGGTGGTTAGAAACTCTTCCAAATTTACAGGTTCTAAGCTTGAGATCAAATCAATTGTATGGTTCTCTCAACATGACCAGAAGAGGAACATCATCGTTTCCGACCTTGAAAATTCTTGATCTTTCTCAGAACAAATTTGAAGGTAGATTGCCAGCAATATTTTTCATTCGACTCCGAGGAATGAAGATAGTGAATCATATAATGAAGGGAATGTTCAACCAAGTAGATGGTGGATATGAAAGTTCTGTGTTGGTCATAACAAAAGGGCGAGAAATCGATATGGTACATGTTCTTTCTATCTACACAATGATAGATCTTTCAAGTAATAAATTTGACGGGGTCATTCCAGATGTCATCGGAAATCTCATTTCAGTTCAGGGGCTAAATCTTTCTCACAACAGGTTTGGAGGTCCAATTCCACGAACCTTTGCAAACCTAACCTTTCTGGAGTCCTTAGACCTGTCCTCAAACAAATTTGACAGAGAGATTCCCCCACAGCTGACGGCATTGACATATCTTCAAGTTCTAAACCTTTCTGAAAATCATCTTGTTGGAAGCATTCCTCGAGACCGCCAGTTTAATACATTTGAAAATGCATCATACCTTGGAAACGATGGCCTTTGTGGATTTCCGATGACAAAAACTTGTGGTGTTTCGGTTCAAACAACAAATGCAACTTCGGGCTCAGTACATGAGAAAGGATACAAGGATTTTATCGATGGATTTACGTGGTTAGCTTTACTGATTGGGTATGGAACAGGGTTTGTGATTGGAGTGAGCTGGGGATGCCTTGTCTTTATGATTGGAAAACCAAAATGGTTTAATGAGTTTGTAGAACAAGAATGTGTTAGATTTTGCAAAAAGAAATGGGGCTAACGAGGTAAAATGGTTGATTAAGGCATTTCCATATGAATCTTCCATACATGTATATATTCTCAGGTGAAATTTCAGTTTACCATATACTCCTGGAGGATTGCAGCAACTTTCGTTTTGAAGACTTCAAGTATTTGGATGCTCCCGATTTGCAATATCTTTGAAATTCTCTTTCAAACCCACTGTTGCTCACTCGAATAAGTAGTACGCCTTTTCACCACGCTCATTTTCTGTGGTGTTGTGTGACTATCTTCTGTTTGATAAACGATCTCACTGAAAATAATCCGTTCTTTAATTAATTTTTTGGTACTGTTCTTTGGTTTATTTTAGGCACTTCTTCTTCTTCTTTATTTTTCAGTATCTGTTTCCAATCAGGTTTTCCTGATTTTAATTATAATTCGCCAACAAATGTCGATCGTTCTGGCATTATATTCTATGCTGTCTGTTTGATAAAATGCCTAGCTGAAAAATATTTTTTTTCCTTCCTTTTTTGGTGTTAGTTTTAGTGTCTTTTTAGTTCCCAAATTAGGAAGACGGGATGTTTGGGAACGAGTTTGTGATAATACTTTGCTACTTAATCTGAAAACTTAATCTGGATACATTTTTTTGGACAAAATATTATTTTTTCTTGTACTGCCTTTATGTGATCAATTGCAAAAAAATGGTGATTGGTGATGTATTTTGGTATTTTCTTTGCTCTGTTCTGACTTCTGACAAAGATAATGCTTCGTCAGGGCTTGGTTTTCCTGCCTCTAACAATTCACTCTAAGTAGAGTACAAGGGAAACACAGGCACATTGCCGCATATTCCACAAGCCAAAGAATCATTTGGCCTATGGCCCTACCAGTTCACAGATTTTTTTTTTCTCCCCTTAGAATATCATTCAAATCTTAAGGCAGCGATGAACAAGTCCGGTTCTTGAATTAACGATTTCAATTCAAAATACTCTCATCGATACTTAATACAAGATATTTTGATTTATCTCAAATTTCACTTATTATACATTTTTAATTGAAAAAAATTTTAAAAATATATTTTCACATTCTTGCGTTCTTCTAATACTTACAAAATGTTTTTAAGGTTTTCTTATCAATTAAAAATACGTACTAGATAAAATATAAGACAAATCAAAATATTTTATTTTTATACTCCCTCTGTCCCATAATTATTGTCCAGTTTGAGATTTCACTTTTAGTTCAATTTGTACTAAAAATGAAAACTCAAACTGAACAATAATTTTGGGACAGAAGGAATATTAAAGACGGGATGGAGTATTACTTGAACCTGAGCCAGCCTTGATCAGGTTCTGGATTCACTACAACTTCCTTGAATTGTCCATTCATAAATAGTAATATCCAGACCGACTTGATTGGTTCTGATTTTATTTCGTGAACGGTAATGCAATTTTCTTTTAATTTAAACTCAAACCTCTATTATTCTTGGGTTTTCCAGCCGGTTCGCCCGGTCCAATCTTTATTCAAACCCGAACCATGACCAAATAATAATAGGTAAATGAGGTCCCAAATTTTCCAACTTCCACAAAACCAAAAAATAAAGTTCTCCACAACCCGCAATCTCTCATTCTCCCCCAAAGGAAAAAAAAAATCCCTTATCCCAAAACCTCATCCAAATGCCAACTCCCTCCACCTCTCATTCCAGTCCCATTCTTCCTCCACCACTCCCCCAAACCAAAAACCACCATTCACCCTTTGAGATAACACATCCCCGAACCCACATTTGTTATCTTCTTCCCTCTCTCCATTCCTCCATCCCTGATCCGCCATTGGCACCACCTCTTTAGCTCGTCAAAACAGGGCAAGGGGGTACAAAAAAAAAGAAAAAAGATCATGTCTTGCTCAAATTTAACCATGTGGGCTACCTCAAAGCCTTCGATTTCCGATTCCTCTGCACTTTCATTCCGCTCTTCAATCACTCCAGTTCAGCTCCCAACCAATACTTCATCCAATTCCAGGCCTTCTTCATCAGTCACTCCGGTTCAATGTGGCCTTCGGGAGCTCCGGGACCGTATCAGCTCTGTGAAAAACACCCAAAAGATCACCGAAGCTATGAAGCTGGTGGCGGCTGCAAAAGTCAGAAGGGCCCAAGAAGCCGTCGTGAACGCCCGGCCGTTCTCCGAAACGCTCGTTGAAGTTCTCTACAACATTAACGAACAGCTCCAGACGGAAGACATCGACGTCCCGTTAACCAAAGTCCGTCCCGTTAAGAAAGTAGCCCTCGTTGTCGTAACCGGCGACCGTGGACTCTGCGGCGGGTTCAACAACGCGATCATCAAGAAAGCGGAACAGAGGATCCGCGAGTTGAAAGAACTCGGCCTGGAATACACCGTTGTGAGTGTCGGCAAAAAGGGTAATTCTTATTTCATCCGTCGGCCGTTTATTCCGGTGGACAAGTTCCTCGACGGCACTTCCCTTCCCACCGCGAAAGAAGCTCAGGCCATCGCCGATGATGTTTTCTCGCTTTTTGTATCCGAAGAGGTGGATAAAGTGGAAATGCTGTACACAAAGTTTGTTTCTTTAGTGAAAGCTGAGCCTGTGATTCATACGTTGCTTCCTTTATCACCCAAAGGTGAGATTTGTGATATCAACGGAGTCTGCATTGACGCGGCTGAGGATGAATTCTTCCGTTTGACGACAAAAGAAGGTAAATTGACGGTGGAGAGAGACGTGATGAGGACTCAGACAGCGGAATTCTCTCCGATTTTGCAATTCGAGCAGGACCCGGCTTTGATTCTGGATGCTTTGTTGCCTCTGTATTTGAACAGTCAGATTTTGAGGGCTTTGCAAGAGTCGCTAGCTAGTGAATTGGCTGCTAGGATGACTGCAATGAGTAATGCAACCGACAATGCCGTTGAATTGAAGAAAAACCTTTCCAGGGTCTATAACAGGGAGCGCCAGGCCAAGATTACTGGGGAGATTTTGGAGATCGTTGCTGGAGCCAACGCTTTGACATAGATAGATATGTATATTTTATGATTAATCATTACCCCTCTCTCTCTCTCTCTCTTATAAATAATTGTGCTTGATTGAGTTATATATGCTGCTTTTTTCTTTATTTAAAAACTCTTGTTATTGATATAGAAGGCAATTTGGAATTTGTAACATTTTCTTTTTTGGGTTGCATATAAATTATATGCAAGGATGAGAACTTACCACATTGTATTATTCTGCATCTTTTGATGTTTGTTCTTTAATTTGGTTTTCTTAAACTTGTATAAAAGTCTGCAAGTTATCAGCATTTTTTCGGGTAATTGGGGATCGCCATTGCAATGATATCTCTCCCTCATAAGTGAGACATAATCACAGTCATGTTTGCACCTTCTAGATACAGCTTTGAATATTATGCACTGATTTAGTTTCATCATCTGATACTTACCATGCTTTAGGTTCAGCATAAAATGTGCCGATTGTGGCAGTGTACTCAAGGTTGCTGTTTTGGTCATGGAGATTTCTGCACCGACGTCTTCTAGGTAGCCACGAAACTTTTATGGAACAGATTCTTTGTCTTTACAACTTCCCTGAGATTATGGAGCACTTTGCTATAGGATAGAAAGTGATACCTTGTAGGCAGCATATTGGTATTGATAATGTCAAATCCATGTCTCTAGAACCCTTCCAGAGTCGGTTCTCTTCTACTGATACCACTTCGTGTACACCTAAGCTGCTGCACAAGTCCTTGAACAGAACATCTCGGTGGCACTATCTTCGGATGGTAAAATAAGATCAGTTGTAAGGAGGAAAAATTAAGCTCTCTTTTCTCCATTTGTCCTCAATGTTTAAGATTTACTTTCATCAAAGAGCCCGACAGTTCATCATACTCAAAATTATTGAAGTTTGTGAATGGAGGTTCTCGAGTTACAATACCAAACCAAAAGCTATTGTGCAAAACTTCAAACATATATGCAGGGAGGTAAGTCGCGATGTTCTCTACGTGCATCTAAATAGTGAAGAAAGAAACTGACAAAGTTGTGTGTATGAATCGAGTTGATACGGCTGAGTGTATGTCGCCTGAAACTCGTACATATCATGTTCTATCATGAAGCTCACAACACAGGAAACACATCGTCACTAACCTGAAACCACTGTGTGAACCTCAATTCCCCAATATATCAGAAGGAAGATAAGCTTCTTCATGCTTCTGCAGCATCGAGAACTAATGCAAAAAAGTGGCACATTCTTCAGGACTCAATGAAGCTCTTTCAAGAGTGAATATCTCATCCTATTCTGATCTGAGTAGTTCTACTAGTTCTAGAATTCCAGCACGAAACATGGCACAGAAGCTAATGAAGATCAAATACTCTAAGGTTTCCAAGTCATTTGGCTACTGAGAATGCAGGGCAAAGAGAGTATCTATTCACTGACACTAAGGTTTGTCAGCACAAATCACCGGCTTTGCGACATTATCCATGAGTGTATTGATCATAGCAGAAAGAGTGAAAGACAGCAAATTCTTAGCCTAGTACTGCAACATACCAAGATTGGGGAAAAAACAAGAAACCCGTGGTTTCAGCAGACGTTTTAGATTCACATTTTCTAACAATACTAAGAGAGAAAATACAGAATAAGATCCAAATATCCCTTCATTCCACCAAGTGTCAGTCCTTGAATGAATTGAGCTGTTTCACAACATTGACTTGCAGCAGCGTAAACAGATTAATCTAAAAATCGAACAGTATCAGCTCAAATAGGCGCAATCATCTATAAAACGACAAGAAAAGGCCATCTTTTTTATTAAATCTCAAAGCCTTTTCTACAACCACAGGTTCACAATAATCATGTATATAGGGAGAGAATTACATATAAAAGAGTACAAACAAATTCCGGCCCAACATCCCCAGATTTTACAAATTTGTTTCAATAAGAATTACAGGGGGAAAAAAATTACTAATTAGTCACAGAAGGTACTAAGACTCGGTAAAAACCGGCATGACAGGAACGAGCTTCTTCCGGATAAGGCATCGGGGATGGTTGCGGCGGCGGTCATTGAATCTGAAAGCAAAACAAGGAACGAGCTCCATAGAATCGTAATTAACGACTAAATCAGATGAAATAGTGGGTTCGATCTGGGAGAGCAGAGAGGGCGGGTCTTTGGCCATGGATTTGGCTGTAATCTTGGAATTCCTCATCTGGGCTAGGGCTCCCGGCTTCAGATAGCATCTGTAAAAGGATGGCGTTGACGGAGAAGTTGAGGTGCGGCATCTGGTTCTGGATTTCATGGTTTCGGGCGCTGAAGGAAGTGTGTGAGTGTGTGAGAGAGAAAGTTGGGAAACCCTAGATGTGGTGTGGATTTTTTTGGGAGGGAGAAGAGGGATGAATGGGGAATTTTAAATAAGAAGTTATTTGGTGGGCGGGAAACTGGCTGGGAGGGAAAAAAGGAGCGGGGGAAACACAGGGCGGGGAGATCTGGGATTTTTCACTTATGGGCTTTTGTTTTTGTCGGGCCTGTCCTCATGAAAAGTGGGCCTGCAAAATGAATAGTGTTGATGTTTACACGTTGACGTTGTGATTAAAGAAAATCAGACCTCCAAAAATATTTGTTTGTGAATGAATAAATTCAGAGCACTTTAATTGATTTTTCTTCATAATTTATTTATTTTTTCTGAGCACCTCTTCTAAAATTTAACTCAGATGGCTTGTGTTAATTAGTGTACGGCATATGTTTTTAGATCATAGTCATTTTTTTTTTCATTTCATTTTGACTTTTTTTTTTTAACTCCTTAAAACATAAAACAGTTTTTTTCCTGAAGAAGTTGCCTGTATTATAATTTAGAAAATATGACCTAAACTATTAGGGCTCATTGAACTCCCTTCTATCAACTTCAATCAGTTGACAAAACTCAAGAGTTCATTACTTATAATAATAGTGAAGGTGCGAAACTTACACCCATAATGTGTTTGTATGACGATCACGCCTTGTCAAGGGCGGCGGGCGGCGGACGGCGGAGTAGAATATTGCACATTTGGTTCACCATTAACAAGGGATGACTAAGTGCTTGTTTGGACGTCAACTTACATTTCATTTTGCCACTTAAAAATAGAAAGTGTTTCAAACTGAAAACTAAATGAGAAATAAAAATGTTGTTTGGATGTTAGTTTTAAAAAAAAAGTATTTTGAACTATATTTTGAAATATAAAGTACAAGTCATCACTAAACAATTAAATATTGTCAATTATAATCACTGTAAAAAAAAATTTTTCCAAAAACAATCACTCAACAATGAAATCCTGCCAAATTTGTCACTGAACTATTTGTAGTTCTAAAATGGTCATTACACTAAGAAAAAGTGTTTCAAGTTGGAATATAAAATGTAAATCAGAAAGTTGTTTGGATGATGTTTTTTTTTCCATTGAATTTTGTGTTTAAGAGGTAAAATAAGTAAAAATGTAAAATAGAGGATTGTCCAAATAAGGCCAGGTTAATCAAAACGTGGGATTGAAATTGTGAGTTTGTTAACCTATTAAAGCCACCTCTGAGCTAGCTATTGCGCTGTCTATCGACCAGAGTTGGATTCTCTGTATTATTTTCGTGGACTCTCTCTCTGTTGTATAATTTAATTAGTTTTTTTAAATCATATAATTTGTGTTAATATATATTATATAAATATATAGTTTTAATGTAGATTATATCAGTTATTTTTTTTTTGTATCAATGTTATTTTTAATAAAAGTTTCTTTATTTTTATTGAATGAAAGTTGCATCATGGAGTGTCATACGGAAATGACACTACCTGCCCTATCAGAAGGATCAATTTAACACATAGCTAACAAACCCACAACAGTCCAAAATTAGTGAATTTTAAGGTCAATTTCATATTCTATAACATTAAAGTTGCCTACTACTATAATTTCACTCTACTACCCCTCCAGAAGAAATAATGGAAAAAAAAAATTATAGAATGTCTGAATCTATATACATCAAAAAGCAAGAATATCATGTGATTACTACAATAATCGGTTATTTTCAGCCACACTACTGTGAACGTCTCCGTTTCTGTTTGTTTTTGGACAAAATATATAGTACAAGTAGAAGAAAAGAAAATAGACAATTTCACGGTCCAGAATTTGAGGACACACACACTCTCACTGTGTGTATTTTCAGTGAACAACAGAAAATGTGATTACCAAAGTACGACTGTATGCTGGGCTGTCACAATATTTTTATTTTTTTGGGATCTTTTTTATTTTCCTTCCTTTTTTTCGATTTCTTACTACGTTCTTCTTATCATCACATTCGAAGAATAGAATACTACCTTAAATAAAATACTAATTTTAAATGCACAGATTACAGAGAGAGAAAAGTTCACAAAGATTCAGTTACAGAAACAAAAAGGGGATTTCCTTTTACTGAATCCATGGGAGGGGGATGTTTTGCTTCTTCTTTTCTTTTCTTAACTGATTCTGGTTCCCTGTAATTTCCGGGACACAGCTGATTGTCCCTTTTCTTCAACAATTTGAAGATTTTTGTTTTTTAAGTAGTGCTACTTCATCAATGGAGTTCCCTTTGCCAGTGCAACAAAAACCATTGAATTGCAGCAGGACCCTTTTCAAGATTAAGCCTTTTCTGGGATTCTTGCCTCATGGAAGCACCAGTCTATCAACATCCCAAGTAAAATTTTTTTACCCAAATTCTTTCTGAATTTTGTGATTGGCTCATCTGTTGTCAAAAAATGTTTTTTTTTTTATAAGGAGAATTATCTGTTTAATTTGGTTGTTATAATGTGTTTCTAGTTCTCTGTTGAACTGTTTCATTTGTTCTTTGAACTTCTTGGGGGATTGCTGCCTAAATTTGAGAATTATACTAAATTGTTCTTGACGTTGATGTTGTAAGGTTTCCTGATTGGTGTTGATTACCTATCTTTTTTGTGTTAAGTTATGCTCATTACTACGGAACCGCACCAGTTTGTCAGCATCCCAAGCAAATAATTTCCCCACTTCGTATATAGTCTGTGTTTTGGGTTTTCCTCATTTAATCTGGGATAATGCATGACTGCAACCTTTTTGTTTGTTTTTGTGTATACTTGTGGACTTTTTCTTACAGAATGGCTTTAAGTTTGATTTTGTAAGTCTCTCCATGGACATGGAAAAAGCTCTTTTCTTTTGTGTTCAGTTGAGCTCATTATAAAAATAAATTACTTTTTGTGCTAGATTGTGCTCTTTAGAAAAAGCTACCTCTCTTTACGTGTAATTATATTCTTTGCGGAAAAGCAATCTTCTTGTGTGAAATTGTGTCATCATGAGATAGCTATTGTTGTTTATTGTTTATTTGTGCTCACTTAAGTAGACTGGATTTTCTGTCATGAGGTTTGTGGCCGTCTTTTTCTTGGTGGGGTTTAGTCTCTTCATTCTTTTATGAAAGTATGTACTCCTGATGCATATTATCACACTTCATAATGCCACTATATTTGATGTAATGGGTGCAGTGTTCTTCATGGAAGGAGGACCATTTCTCTGCTCGGTGTTCAAAACGAATCACTGCAAGTGCGGGTTGGTTGGTTGGTGGTTTATTTGTTTGATTTTGAATGTTCTTACTATCTTCCAACTTTTATGATTTTCTGTTTCCTTTTTTTTTACATATATGCCTTCTGAAGATTTTTCCCGGAGAAAACCAAGAAGAATACCAACTCCCAAAACACCAGACAGTAATCCAAAGGGATTCGCACCCAGATCACAGGTAGGGACAAACACCCAGAGAAGAGATCAGAAGAACACTGGGGAGAAAGAAGGCTCCGATGACCTGCTGCCAAAGGACAATGCGGTGGCTAATAAAAAGACAATTGAAGTGAGACAAGCCAGTCAAGAGGAGATTGACATTGTGGAAACTAAGGGAGAAGGTGAAAGTGAAACTGCTCCTGTTGTTGCTGATCAGAGGGAATTGACAGAAAATGGCACAATTGGCCTAGTTCAGAAGGACGCAAGCCCGACAAACGAAGTTGAAGCAGCTGGAATCGAAAGTGATATTGATGATCATTTGAGTAGAATATCATTAGAAAATCAGGGGTTTGATTCTCTTGTAAATAATGCGCCAGAACCTGCTCAAATTGGTGAATCTCAGCCAGTAAAATCTGAGGTAGTTGAAAAGGAACAGAGTGATGACTCTTCTCTTAGGTTAAAGTTGGAGAAGGAAGCTGCTTTACGTAAGCTGACTCTAGAGAGGCTTGCTGAGGATAATTTTCTGAACAAGAACAAAATATTCTACTACCCTGAGGTCGTCAAACCTGATCAAGATATAGAAGTGTTTCTGAATAGAAGTTTATCGACTTTAATTGATCAACCGGATGTCATGATCATGGGTGCATTTAATGATTGGAAGTGGAAATCATTCACTTCAAGCTTAAACAAGACTGATCTGCCAGGGGATTGGTGGGTTTGCCGGGTCCATGTCCCTAAGGAAGCATACAAGCTAGATTTTGTCTTCTATAATGGAAAAGATGTCTATGATAACAATGACGATAATGATTTCTGCATCATTGTTGATGGTGGAATGACAGTCGCCGAATTCGAAGACTTTTTACTCGAGGAGAAACGTAAGGAATTGGAGAAACTTGCTCAGGAGGAAGCGGAAAGGAAAAAACGTGAAGAAGAACAAAAACGGATAGAAGCAGAAAAAGAGGCACATGAGGCCGATAGAGCACAGGCTAAAGTGGAAGCTGCAAAGGGTCGGGAAAGTTTGAAAGAGTGGGTAAGAAAGGCGGTTAGGTCCGTTGATGATGTCTGGGACATAGAACCTATTGATTTTAAAGGCGGGGACAAGGTCAGATTGTTTTATAATAAAAGCTCCGGCCCTTTGATACATGCTAAGGAGGTTTGGCTTCATGCTGGGTATAATAAGTGGAAGGATGGCCTCTCTACCATCATAAAGCTTGTCAAAGATAACAAGAGAGTGGGGGACTGGTGGTTTGGGGAAGGTACGTGGGAATGTCTATGATTATATGTAATCTATAATACTTTGTTATTCCATTTCCTCGGATTTTTCTGCAATTTTCTGGTCATTGGAGTAAGATTATATGTTTCGTGAAGAGTAAATTTCTGAGAATAAATTTGATATTTAACTTGTATTTATTGAAATTATGTTATCCTATTGGAGCTTATGGGAGATGTCAAGTTGCCTTTTTCGTGTACTTCATAGTGTCACATTTTGAATCACAACTTATCAACATACCCAGTATATTCCCAACCAAGTTGGGGTCTGTGGGGTTAGTTGTACGAAGTCTTACCCTTGTAATTATACAAAGAGGGTGTTTCCATTGAGACCCAAGGTACTTTTGAATCACAGATGTCTAAAAAATTTAGCATTCCAAATTTTGTTATTTTAACTTCTAATAATTTTATTTTGATTGTCAATTTCTCAGAATCTGTATTGATGGTTGTAAAGTGGATTGTTTTTGGTATCTGTTGTATGTTCAAATGGTTCAATGTATTTGCATAATATGTGATGATGATTACTGTCTACATTCTTAACTGTTCTTGTAGCTCTCAAGCTTTCTCGCTGCTCATTCGCCTTTTCTTTTACTTCTTGTTACTTTAGCACTGTTCTTCTGATCTATTACTGTCCTCTGTAGTTGTTGTCCCTGATCGAGCCCTTGTCTTGGACTGGGTTTTGGCTGATGGTCCACCTAAGCAAGCAACGCTCTACGACAACAACCGCTCGCAGGATTTTCACGCCGTTGTTCCACGACGCATCGCTGAGGATCGCTATTGGTCTGAAGAAGAGAACCTACTTTACCAGAAACTTCAAGAGGAGAGACGATTGAGAGAGGAGGCTATTCGTGCCAAGGTTGATGTCTTCTCTATCTTGTCAAATCGGCACCTTTATTGTGATTAGTTAACAACTGAACTAGGACATGAACTAGTGCACATGGGCTGGAAAGATTTTGGATGTTACTGCCAAAATGGCACCTCAGCCTTTCCTGTTCACAGGTTTGGTAGAAAGGAAAACGCCGCTTCTGATATTACATCGGGAAAAGCGAATGTGTCCAACATATCTTTTTTTCTCAGGCATGTTAGTAACTGGTTTCTTTGAATTTTAATCAATTGTGTTCTTCCATTTAGGCAGAGAAGACTGCAAGAATGAGAGCCGAAACAAAGGAAAGGACTTTGAAAACATTTCTACTGTCTCAAAAGGATATTGTGTACACTGAGCCTCTTGATGTCAAGGCTGGGACTACTGTTACCATTTTCTACAATCCATCCAATACGGTCTTGAATGGAAAGCCAGAAATTTGGCTCAGATGCTCATTCAATCGTTGGACCCACCGCATGGGACCCCTGCCACCACAAAGAATGTTGCCAGTTGAAGGTGGATCTCACGTCAAAGCAACTGGTGAGTCTTTCATCAACCTGAAACCCATAGCTGTTTTAAGCTTACCAGTTCGTCCGATTTTTTTTCCACATTTTGAAATATATTTTAGAAAGACTTGCTTTTAAGATATGTATTTAAATAGATTATGCAATCCATGTACCAGACCTAACTCAACGACTCTGTTTGAAAGTTCTCCTTGATGCTAAATTAAATAAAAACAAATTCTTCTTTGGATTAACAGGTATTATATCCTTCCAGGATGTTTGGTCTGTCATTTCTCTTCACCATGTGAAGTTTTTATTTTTTTATTTTTTTATTTTTTATTGTTTCACATCTTCATAGTGCAATGTTTGTTATATTTCAAAATCACTAATTTACACTAATTTGCCAACAAGCAAGCGGCGGCATACTGTTATTTTAGTGCTATATTGTACAGTATTGAACATAGCTTATTATCAATTCTCATAAAGAGTAGGCAGTCCAGGTGCTCATGATGAATGATATCGATTTCTCAAATTACAACTTTCAACAATATTGTCTAGGATTGCACTCTTACTCTTTCTCTTTCTCGTTACAGTCAAGGTTCCTTTGGATGCATATATGATGGACTTTGTATTCTCCGAAAGAGAGGATGGTGGTGTTTTTGACAACAAGAACGGCATGGATTATCACATACCTGTTTCTGGAGGAATCACGAAAGAACCCCCTATGCATATTGTGCATATCGCTGTTGAAATGGCTCCCATTGCGAAGGTACAAGCGATTATCTTGTATGTATTGGGTAAATTTAAAAGTGTACTTTCTTCCGTACAATCCTGCAGTGATTTCTGCTACAGTAGTCTAACTTTCTCTTCTCATTGTTTCAGTTGTCCTTTTTTGGGATATAGATTTTGAGAATCACTAATTATTGTGATTATATGTTGTATTTGAAATTATTCAATTTGGGTTTAAGTTCCTATTGAAAAGGCAATATCCACTTGTAGATCGGGGATTTCAGGGTTGGTTAGAATATGACTTCTGCACATTGATGCCTAACAGATTTACTGTGAATCAATCAGTGAGTCAGTGAGATCTAAGGACATTTCCTCGTGTGGATTTTGTTTTTTTCTTTTCTCAGAAGTAATGATTGGCTGTATTTAATTGAACCATTTTGATCCAGTCAATTATTAGCACAAAGCTAAAAGAATTGTTGATGACTTTTCCACCTTCATCTGCAAATGACAATGTTTTGAAAGCATTAGATGATTAAAAAAATTTTCCCAGAAAGAATTTACACTAGTATTCTGATTAAAGAATGGTTGCTTATAGAGCACAATAAACTGATCTCTACCATAATAAGCAGTTGTTCCATGTGGGGCTACATTTTGATTTCTGTTTCTGTTTAGCTTGCTGTTGTTCCACTGTGACAAGAATGATCATATTGCGACATTTATATAGTTTCATAAAGATAAATTGCTTTAATGTCATTGGTTAAAGGAATAAAGTCTTCATGTTTTTGCAGGTGGGGGGACTTGGTGATGTTGTCACTAGTCTTTCCCGGGCCGTGCAGGATTTAAACCATAGTGTAGATATTATTCTTCCCAAGTACGACTGTTTGAACACAAGCCAAGTAAGAATCAATCCGTTTAATTTCTTATCAGTGAGAAAAGAAAAATTATTTTGCTGTGTATAAGTCTAAGGACAATACTTGTTTTTTAACTTTTGTTAGTTACGCTTTAGAATGATTTCCATAGTTGCCAAATTTTTGGGTTGTGGAAACAGGTAAAGGATCTCCATTATCAAAAGAGCTATTCGCTGGGTGGTACTGAAATAAAAGTTTGGTTTGGGAAAGTGGAAGGCTTATCTGTTTACTTTCTGGAGCCTCTGAATGGGTAATTTACTCATGACTCCAAGTTTGTCATTTGATTGTAACCGTCACCATCCTTTCTCTAGTTGCTACTTATATTCTTAATTGGGATCTCTTTTGCAAACAAAATATCCTTCTTGTATTTGTCATCTGGAAATGCAGTGAAGTTCTGTTGACAGCATTCTCTTTTTCTTTTCCTACTATGTTTTATATTTCATGCTTTTTTTTTTTTGCTGGTAGATTTTTCTGGGCAGGGTGCATATATGGCCGTAACAATGATGGAGAAAGATTTGGATTCTTTTGTAATGCAGCTCTGGAGTTTCTTTTACAAAGTGGATTTCATCCAGTAAGCTCTCACTTCTTTTCCTCGATTTTTTTCCTTTTTTTGTTTGGTTGATACACAAATATTTGATATGCAAATGATTAGTTGCAGACTAATGTATAAATCGAGACATTTCTTGAGTTTATTGCTTTATAAATTTATGGAAAGTTGTACTTTGTCTCATCTTTTGCTGACAATTAGTGATGTAGAGCTTGCCTATTCTCTTTAGCTCCCTAAAGCTTCTTCTTTTTTCCCTTTTTCTTTTTTTTTTTTTTTTTGGGGGGTACAAAGAGTAATTAGCAAAGGGCCTTCCAGTGTAAAATTTAGTCTGTATACTGAAATATAACCTCAAAGAATCATTGGAAGTTTTTAAACTGGTTTTGGTTTGAATTAACTGTTGATACTGTTTTTCACTTTTCTTGTTCTTTGCTAAGTATGTTAAGTGCACCTTTTTTAGTCTTTTCTCAATCTACCCATTTACCACATTTGGTCTCTGCTATGTAATGAAACCTGCTATTTTATTATAGCAGCAGCAAAAATAATTAGGCCTCATGGCAGGGAATATCTTTTGCGGTTGTGACCATGGTTCATTGAAATGTTGTATGAAAAATGGAAGATTAAGGTCCTTACTACTAACTACTGTTGCCATTCCCATTTGCTAGGACATTATTCATTGTCATGATTGGTCTAGTGCTCCAGTTGCTTGGTTGTTCAAAGAGCAATACATGCATTATGGCCTTAGTAAAGCTCGTGTCGTGTTTACTATACATAACCTTGAATTTGGAGCACAGCTAATTGGCAAAGCAATGGCGCATGCAGACAAAGCTACAACTGTAAGTTTCTTCTATATATGCTACTCAATCTGCTGTTTTTTCAGCATTTCAGATTGTTTACTGCATGTTCTAGTGGTGTTGCTACAATTCGTAGAACCTTCAAAGAAAGAGAAAGCTTCTGCTTTTAATGTCACAAACAGGTGATAAAACTTGTTCTTTGGTGGTTTTAGGTCTCACCAACATACGCTGCTGAGGTTTCTGGAAACCATGCTGTTGCTCCTCATCTTTACAAGTTCCATGGTATACTGAATGGCATTGACCCAGACATATGGGACCCATACAATGATAAATTCATCCCAGTGAGTGATAAATCTTTTCCCAGGTCTTCTGTTTTTGATAGAGTGGTATTGAAGTGGACAGATTCTCGTGTCTAGCTAAATTTCTTTGTTTTGTAGCTGTCTTTGTTTTTGTTTTCTGGGTGGTTGTCTGATTTCAGGACACTTTTAAATGTTTGCTTTGAAAATTTAAAAGAACGTTTAGTAAATTGATTAAATTCAAGCCATTACGACAATTCTAAAGAAGAAACTTAGTTTCTTAAAAGGATACCTTAATGCGGTAAAAAGAATCAGGTTGTAGTTTGTTGTTCTGTGTATTGACATGTTAGGGCATTTATATTAATATTATCAAGTGGTTTTTCTCCTCTCTCTTTGTTTCCATTTAAGATCCTGCTATTTGTGCAGATCTCGTACACTTCAGAAAATGTTGTAGAAGGGAAAAAGAGTGCCAAAGAAGCTTTGCAGAAAAGGCTTGGTTTGAAAATGGCAGACCTTCCTTTAGTAGGAATCGTTACTCGCTTAACTCATCAAAAAGGAATCCACCTTATAAAGCATGCAATATGGCGCACTCTAGACCGTGGTGGACAGGTTGGCGTAATTAAGTAGATTCTTGTCCTAGTAATGTTAATATCTCCAAATTTATGCATTTTGAGCCAGATCAATCAGAATCTAGATCTACATGAGTGTACGTAGATTCGCTACCCTACTGTGGAAATTCCTTTATGCTATTTCATTTATTACATCTGACTCTATTCTTCTAGTTTATTTTCTTGATATATGGATTTTGTGATCTTGATCTAATTTTGTTCTTTTAGCAGTATTAGGAATGTATGTTCCATAATTTTGATTTCCATTTTTCTGTGGAAAGGATGGATCTCAATAGTAATGTATTATACTTATCATTTTCTCTTTCATTTTCACAAGTTTCTGGGATCTAATAATGCAGACTACTGCAGGTTGTATTGCTTGGCTCAGCCCCTGATTCACGCATTCAGCATGATTTTGTCAACCTGGCAAATCAGTTACATTCTTCTCATAATGACCGGGCGCGCCTTTGCCTCACCTATGATGAACCACTTTCTCACTTGGTACTTAGTCACCAACTTCCTTCCTCGTCACTCGTGCCTATTCAGTAACCATAGAAATGGAGTGGGCTTACAGTTGTTTTCCCATGACTTCACAGATCTATGCGGGCTCTGATTTTGTTTTGGTCCCTTCGATTTTTGAGCCTTGTGGACTCACCCAACTCACGGCAATGAGATATGGCTCCATTCCTGTTGTTCGTAAAACCGGAGGTTTGTACATCTATCGTGATGCTCAAGTAACTTAGTAGGAATGTTCTCACCACTGAAACTTCCATGTTTTCCGTTGTTTTCTGGTGCATTTTTTGAACCTTTTATTGGAAATCTTTTCATAATCCTCATCTGCCCTCCTGTTTTCATTAGGTCACATTGTGTATCGTTTGTTCTTGCAAATGCATAGTCAAATTTGTATTTATCAAAGTTCCTGGAATGAGGCCTTGCAAGACTCGGAAAGTGCTAGTTGAGTCACATGGAAATAAAAGAGTCATTATTCCATTTGCTAAAAAGCTTTGCCTGATGGAAATTGTTATGTACTCAGTGTTTTGATACATCTATTGTTCTTCTTGAGAATCCCCAACATTATCTCTGCCTTCAAGTGCTTATACTTCCATTATCCAGAACTCCAAGGATTAAGAAGTATTTAGGTTTTAAAAACACTTACAATCTATGCTTATCACTCCCTGAAACTTAACAAGAGCCTGATTTTCGAGTTCGGTGCTGCATTTTATTAAAGATTTTTGGACTTTTTGATCTGAATTCAATTTACATTAATGGTTTTTTTTTTTTCATTTCACTGTAGGGCTTTATGACACCGTGTTTGATGTTGATCATGACAAAGAAAGAGCAGAAGCACGTGGATTGGAGCCAAATGGGTTCAGTTTTGATGGAGCGGATGCAGCTGGAGTTGATTATGCTCTCAATAGGTAGAGACAACACGGTTTTTGTCGATTGTTTCCAGGTTTAGAAAAATAATGATTAATTGGGCCCAATGTTTTTGTTTTTGCTCAGAGCAATATCTGCTTGGTATGAGAGTCGGGATTGGTTCAACTCATTGTGCAAGCGAGTGATGGAGCAAGACTGGTCCTGGAACCGCCCTGCGCTTGATTACATGGAGCTCTACCATGCAGCTCGAAAATGAGAAAGAAAAAGGAAGGATGGAAAGCTGGAGACCAGGCTCCCTGCCAAATGACTTGTACAGTTGAGTATAGATCCCCCCCCATCAATTCGCCAATATACATATTTTCTAGTTTGGTAGATGCTAAGAAAAATGGAAAAAGAGAGACGCCAAGCGACATTAGCACACAAGAATTTATTAGCCTTGGGGCAAATGATTTTGGTTTATTCCAGCTTCATGTAAATTAAGATAATGTTTTAGAGGAAAGAAATGATTTTTGGGAATAATAGGAATTATCAGGATAGAGTTGTGAAGGTGTCTCTTCACAGAATAAAAGTATTTTCAGTTCCTTTTTTATTTTTTTCGGCAATTTCTTTGGTCCCTTATGGGTTCAATTCAAGTGGTTAATGTTGTTAATCAATAAAAAGTCCATCCTCTCAAAATTACTTGCAAGTTGGGCAGAAATTGGTCTTTTGACAAATCTATATACAGATTATATATCTGCGTGGAATGCCACTTTATATTCGTGGATGCCATATTTTGGCGTTGTTTTCTTTCCCTTCCAACTAAGTCACTTCGGTTATCTTCTCAAACGTCAATCAAATCAATCAAATTAGCCCTTTGAAACCAATGAATGAGCTAAAAATCATTAGGAAGGAATATATGCAGAAGTGATAATAAGTAACATGCGGCTTTTCATAATTTCAGAACCTAACAATGCTAACTAAAAACACGATGAAGTGAAACAATCAAATTCCCTAAGTTAGCATTTGACTAATACTAATAAATTTGCAATTAGATCATACTATGAAGTTGGAATGACCAAATTGAGTTATCTAGTACTCTCTCCGTCCCACAAAAAATAATCCACATCGAGTTTGGAGTTTTGTACTGTTTTTAGTACAAATTTGAAAATTCCATGTGACTTTTTTTTGGGACGTAGCTAGTATTTCTTTCAATTTCAGAAACAAAATCCAAACGCGGTCAAATTTGAAGAAAGATTAGCGTGATTTTTTTCATACTACTTAATTGTTGACTACATTAACTCAATTTCACAAAGAGTGCTCAATTGATGACAAGCACTAAAGCGACCAACTCGTACACTGAAAATTATACTAATATATACAATAATAATAGTTGAATCCAATCAATCCATGTTTTGACTATAATCCAATGTGGGATAAGGGGAGGCATGATCTTCTTCTTTAAGGGCTCCATTGGCTTGAAGGGATTGCCTCCCTTTCTTTGAATCTTCAGGTAATGATGATGAATGAATACTACGAAGTTTAACATTGCAGAAAGATAAACACATAATTCAAAATCCAGTCATTAACGTTAGCATTTTCAGTTTTATGGTCAATTCTCTCAAAAGAGAGATGCATTTGTTTTGAAAACCACTTGCATAAATTCCATATTAGCAATGATATGATTCATATCTGTTCAAAGTGCTACAACTATTAGCACAGGTGACTTGCTTGTGAAGGTTGATCATATTGATTTTTAACTTTAACCATTGACACTCTTTTATCGTTTTATAAACTTTGATTATTTTTTTAATTACTTTTTTACCACGTAAAAAAGAAACATTTGAAACTTTATGAACGCATGAATTAACTCTCAACAAGTTCTGCAATCCTAAACCCTAAACCGTTTTAAATCTTTAAATCTTTCCTTTTTGTTAGATCGACGTAATGTATGAGGAGTCCTCTGCATTTATGTTTTCCTCTATAAACCACACACATATATACTTGTCTAAACATTCGAAATTATATTTTTTTAAAAAAAAAAAAATACTTGAAACTCAAAAAACACAAAACTTCTCAATTTCATATTTAATTATGCTTAGAACAGAAAATCCAAGATTAGTACACTATCATGGCGACATATAGCGTGGGTTAAGTGGAAAGGGGCCCTATTTTTAGGTATTATTCAAAATTGGACCCCAGAAGAAAACTCAATATGTATAATCTGCCCATCAAGGTCGTTATCACAATTGTCATTTGAGAAACAGTACTGTGTTACTTATATAATTTCCTTGGCCATAAAACTTACAAACGCTTTACAATCACTTTCAATATATAGAATTCATGATAATGTTCACTGTTCAGATAACGTATCATTATGTTCTTCACTTAATTATATTTTTTTATGGGTTCAAGTACTCCTGTCAAATCATCATTCTTGTACTCATGAGCATGGATTAAATTTTTGTATTGTTTGATAGGTTTACTTAAGTTTTGAATGGTTCATTAATTTCTCTATCCCACCCCCAGGAAAAGGGGGAGGTAATTAATTTTTTTTTTTTTTTTGGAATACTTATCTTAGTCGCATACCAAACAGTATTGAATTAATGATCATAAGAATCACCAATGTAACAGTTAAGAAAGAAAATGTAGATTTATTTAAGTGTAGTGTGTGCTGCTTAGGATAAGTTCATAATTCTGTACCCAAAAAGAAAAAGTTACCATTATATATTGTAGATATAAGTTATATCGTACGTAGTTGACCAAAATCCTAGATTTACATGAAGTGTCGTAGCATAATCCTAGATTCTTTTTTTTTTTTCTTAACAAAATATTTAAACTAAGCTACATATCGGGAATTCTATAATTAAACACGCAGCTCTTGAATTCATGCATGCAAGCTTGTGCTATTGATCAATAAGAACAACATTAATTAGTGATCAGTTGAACTACTTTAGATTAGACCCTTACTTTTTTATAAGCGATTATAAAAGTTCTAACGTTGGATAATTTTTCTTTTGGGCAACCAAAGTGATATAAATATTTTAATGTATATTGTACACAAAATGTTACCTCATAATGTTGTCATAACATGCAACTTCGAATCTTGCAATAATAGTTCCGGCAATACAAATTAAGTGAATGAATATTGATGAATTTAGATGACTTTTCTCAAACAAAAAAAAATAATAATTAAAACAAAAAAGATTACTTTTCTCAAGGTTATTAGTAGTTCACAATATGCATAGGTTGTTTAATCAAACAAGTTAGAGTTATAGTGACAACTACTTGGTTCAAGTGTGGTTTGTTAATTAATTAAATCGGCACTACATTAAACTAGCTCTTGGTTCAATTGGAATAATTAGGTCACCACAAACCTGCCTAGTCTGATTAAATTGAATTCTTGATGAAATTTAATTAAGAAAAAAAAAAAGACAAAATTCTCATGGATTCAAGTAACACTAAGACATTGTGTATTTTAAGGGATTAATTAGCCATGCATGGCTTAGCATATACATATGTAAATACCCCCTTTCACATCACAATTAGAATACAAGCTTACAACTCTCACTGTACACGTAATACATACTAAACTTTAATTCCAAATGGGCATGAACCCTAATCCTAATTAAAATTTCATCATTTTTAATTGAAGGTACAAGATAGCTCTATTTTAGTTTAAACCTGATTTGGTTTAGTAGGCCATAAAAAAAAAAAAAAACAAATCGATGTCATCATATATAATCATCTGAATGCAATGGGATCTTAAATGAAGAAGTGAAAGGTAAAAAAATTGAAAAGGAAGGTGACACTACAAGTTGTAGACGAGTAGAGCATAAAACTCAAGATATCATATGAATGAATTTTGATTTGGCGTAATAGCTTTTGTAAGTTGTAATTCTAGTGGATTTAAAGATTTTTGAATGCTTTCTTTCACTATCTAATGGTCCAAAAGACAACATAAAATAAATGCTTTTATCTCGATCACAGTTAAGGTGTCACAATGCAGCTGTTTAGTGTTGACATGATTAGCATTGCCCAACAACAAGCATTTACTCTGTAATACCCCACCCTAGCTAGTTTATAATATGTACTAGTACTACTAAAATGGTGTATGAGTAAGGGATGGATAATATCATCTCAGTTGGATTAATTGGTCAACATCACAAATTATTATTGTCATGTGTATTTCTTATGTTATACCACGCGCGACTACAATTTTCCGGCCAACCCAATTTGGTATATGTTTCAAAACGTCTATAAATAGGCTTACAATCTCAGATTAGAGCAGACAACTCCGGTAATTCAAAGGTTTTTGTACTTGGTTAAACCTCAACTGAAATAAACAAATCCAAAGTCCAAACTAATGATTAGGAGTACCATAAACCAACTAGGATGGAATGGATCATGATTCAAATTCCAAGTTTGGTCCACAAACTTTGACCCTCTCCATGGAATGAATGAATATTCTTACCCCCTCAAAGGAAGATTCACTCTCACCCAAGTAGAGCCTCACTCGCATACAAACACACAACCTTAATTGCGCTTTGCAGTTTTGCAGTGAAATTTTTGCTTGCAAAGAAAGGGAAAACAAAAGAAAAGACCCACAAAAAACATTGTGATGTCTCAATCCATATAAAGTTACACTAGCTGATCCAAAGTTTGAGAAGACTCATCTTTACAAACCCTGTCCCCCCCTGACAATAAAATAGCCACCACATCCTAATACATCCAAACCTTCCAAATGAAAAAAAAATAAAAATGAAATTCACAATTAGCAACTCCTATCTTTAGCTTACAACAGTCGCACAGCAACAAGTTACATACATGTATGGTTCATCTCTAGCTATCTTGATACTCTCGAAATCTCTCAAATTCTTGTGGATTAATAAACAAACTTGATGAAATTTGTGGATATGAGGACTTCTCCAAGTATGCTGGATTGTCACCTGAGACTTTGATATTGCGGAAACACTTCTCCATCTATATGACTCTTTGACTAGGGACAATTAAAGAATCTTTAAGCATGCCTTTGCCTGCCATCTGCTGGAGAAACCAATCCCAAATCCAAATGAAGAATTAATCAGCTTCTCTGAATTAACTAGTTAGATGGACTAATTTTTCCTCCTGTTTACACCACCAGCTCAATAAAATAGGTATATGGATGATAAACTATGAAGCTAGGAAAGAGACACCTCAATTCTCAACGCACATCCTCCCAACTAAAAGCTTTTAATTACTTCAATACATCCTCTCCTACGCACATATCCTTAATTGAAAATAAAGGTTTCTCTTCTTCTTCTTTTGCATCATTTCATGGCTGGAAGTATTAATGCAGAATTGGAGTACTACTGCTAAAAATTTGTGCGAGTTGGATAAGGCTGGCATGCAGCTGCTACCAAAAAAAAAAATAAAAAATCAGAGTGCTTGAACTTCGAACTTTGAAGAGGGTTGGAATTGGATATAAACTGGATTACACCCACCTAATACTTTACTGTTTCTCCTCTTTTACACATTCCACCTTTCCCAATCACAATCAAAACTACAACTAGCTTTGCAGCCCTTTTTTTTTATAGTACTTCTTCACAGGATTTTCAATTGTTTATAAATGTGTGTGTGTGTGTGTGTGTGTATTTAAGCACATTTATACGCACCAAAAACTAGTGACCATGATGACAGCGACCCTTTCTCTTATTTCTGTTTATTTTTTTCACTTGCATTGATCATCTTGGAGATGGAGTGGCAATGAATTCAATCAATGTCCAAAAAAAAGGAACCTTACTTGAAGGTTTTCTTTATACAAACCAAACCTCTTTATTTTTTCTTGCTTAAGTGGGCAAAAAAAATGTTGTCATGACAGTTGGTTAATTTAATAAAGAGAAAAGAAAAAAAAAAGAAAGAAAGAAAAGAACTTTTATTCAGTGCCTCCCAAATGCCTGCCTTATCTTTCCCTATCTTCCCTTGTCCCATTATCATATGTTACATACTACTTTCTGTTGGCTTCTTTTAAGGCCTCCCCTCCTCTCCAATTAAGGTTTCATATCTCACATTTTGTGCGTTCTTCCTGTATCACTTCCTTCATGTTATATACTGTTTTGACGGGCCATTTAATATCACCATTCGGCCTGTAAATGTTATTAATCAATGTCGACTTGAAAAATACTCCAAATTTCACATACTCAACATTTTTTTTTTGTTTATATTAAGTGTGAGTGTGGGGAACTGAGATTCTGGTTGGAGTTAAAGCAGCTCTTCTATCTTGTTTTTTGCCTTCTCTTTTCCATCTTTGTTAGTCATTTAATTAGGCTCTTTTTTTTTTTTTTCCAAATTGCTGACTCTTATCTCGTCCCACCCCTCATCGGTTACACTTGTATACTACCCTTTGTTCTTGTGATCCCATGTCATTTATATCTCTGATGATTGTCTTTTTCCTACTGATACCACAGGAGTCTCGTTTCTCAGGTCCTTGAAATCTGTGATTCAGTTTGGAGTTTTGCATGCCACACTCCAACTCAGCTTCATTGCAGTATTTTTCTCTCCGTGGCATTGAACTAAATATCAGAATGTTTTTTATCACCGCTTTTTGAGAGTTTTTTTGTTGGCCTAAAACAATTTGTTTTTTCTGTTTTTCCCCTTCTTTTTCCATTCGGTGGGTTTTTTCCTCGAGGAAGAGGTGGAACTCTCAGAAGGTGTTGTAGAAGCAAAAAGCAAAACTGCTTTCTCTTTCCCTTTACTTGTTGAGGTTATTTCTTCCTATATATATATCCACCCCCCCCATCCAGTTCCCCCATTAAATAAAAATTCAAGCTATGGTAGGTTCTTCATTTTATTCTCTGAAAACTCTGTTCTTTCCTTCTTTTTGCTTTTCCCAATCATGAGCACCTTAGTAGCTCTGTAGCTTTGGTTTTTAAATTGGAATTTAGTCTGATTCTTTGCAAAGATTCAATCTTTATTCACAACCCATTGTAGTTGATCCAAAAGGGTATCAGAAAAATCCAGGAACATGGCTGAATTTCCCAACGATAGAAATCTGAGAAATGCAGGACAGGAGGAAGAGTTCCAAGAAGAAGATGTGTGGGGAATCATGAGGAGAGGAGGAAGAGCAAGAGCCAGTAGCAACCCGAGAATGATCCCAAGAGCAGCTCAAAACAACAACAACTTTCAGTCTCAGCAGCAGCGTTCCGCTCCGATCAACATCCCAGATTGGGTAAAGATGCTGAGGCGGAGGAATCATCAGGGCAATAACAATCTGGATGGAATTGTGGGGACTAATAATAATGCTAATGCATTTGCTTATGTTGATGATGGGTGGGACGAGACTGATGAGGAAGTTCTGCCACCCCATGAGTTCACATCCAGGAGGTTTGCCAGAAACTCCCGGATTGCTTCCTACTCAATGTGCGAAGGAGCTGGCAGAACCCTGAAAGGGAGAGATCTCACGAGTGTCAGAAACTCCATTTTAACCCGCACTGGTTTTTTGGAATCATAACTTGTTCCAAATCTTTTTAGTTTTCATCCTATCCACGATCATCCATCCTTGAGCCCTCAGGAAATTATAGATTAAAAAAGCCATCTTCATCATTCAATAGCTCTTTTTGTAATGTCACCATTACCATTAGTTTTCTAGCACCATAGCATTAGAAGCAGAGGAAAAAAAAAAGAAGATCTTAGCACCGCCTTTAGCACCACCAGCTTAGCTCCACCACCCTTATGATCATCATCAGTCATCACCAATGGGGTTCTTCTTGTCATTATCTATATCATTAGGTCAATGGGCCCATTGGGTTTTTTCTTTTTTTAATTACTGTCCTGCCTTTGTTCTGTTTTCCTTTTATCTGCCTGCATTTTCTTTTGAGGTTAGGTTATTGTGTTAATTAGACCCTGAAAAAAGAAAACAAAATAAATAATAAAAAAAAAATCAGCAGCTAGACAGGGGTATATGATGATCTAATGGAAGTTTTGTTTTTATGCTGGGAAGAGGTGCACAAGCATCGTGTTGCCAGCAATGGAAGGAACCGCTTGAGAGAAAAGTAGTAGTTATCTTTCTTGGTTTTTTTTTTTTTTTTTTAATCCCAGTTTAAGATTCTGGGATTTTGTCGGAAAGATTTGTATCCAAGATCAATCCACACCCAAGTTCAAAAGGAAATTAGAACCCTTTTTTTTTGGTGTTTAATAATTTTAGTACATTGATGATTATGGTAATGTTCTGATTCGTTTTCTAAACCTTTATTGTTCTGTTTCTGGCCTTGTGGGTTGTGAAGACGCATCAGCCGCATTTTTTTTTTAAAATTTTTTTTCCCAATAATAATAAGAAAATAGGTTGAGTACTACTACTAATATTTATCTCTTCAAGTGAAATCGGTTGTATGAATACGTCATGTCATCGTGCTCCAACCGAACAAATTTCTTAACAAATACTATATAGAAAGAGAACTGTCCAAGAAAAAGAGAAAACAACAGATTACATCTGCCATTAGCTTCTTCCAATCTGGATAAACATCTCCCACATAAGCCACCTCCTTTTTTTTTACCTAAAAGGAAATGAAGTTGCTGGATTTACTTGATTTGGAGGAAATGGGCATATACGGTCTTTGGATGATTGGCCTTATCTCTTTATTCAATCAATTAATTGTCTAGTGTGGTGGGTAGGGTGTTGCATTTATGTTTTGAACAATTGTTCATAATATCTAATCTTTTCAACAATTCATTTCTATGTTTTTCACTGAAATTGCATGGGGGAAACGAGTTTTGGCTATTTGGGAGAGTCGTTTGCGTTTTTGAAATGTTGTTTTGGGCTTGCTAGGAGTGATTTCATAGAAAGAAATGTGGAATTGATTACTCTTCTTCATTAACAAAGGTAATGCCATATAAAAAAAGATCCTTCAATGTGTGGTGACTTGAAAGATCCTTCAACGATTAATCGTTGAATGAGTTTAAAGAACGTAGCAACTCAGAACGAAAAAAAAAAAAAAAATGATGAAATCCTTCACAGGGAGTACGTGAGAATATATGGATGAATGGCTATGACAATATTGGTTCAACTGCCACTCAATTTTGCCAAAGCAAGAAAGACCTTCCAGCCCACTTAGTGTGATGCCCAACTTTCTGAGTTTTAACTTAAAAAAGATGGACAGCAACCCCATTTTCAAGGCTTTTTCTTCTTTCTTTTCTTTTGCCACTCAGCTTAGCTGCAGAGGAGCATCACTTGTGAGTTTCCCTTCCCTCTCAATTCTGAAACTGTTTAATTGTCTCACAGCAATTCATGGAAGAACCATTTGGAAGGAAGGATCAACCCCCCGGGGCAGCATCGCAGAAACACGATCGCATCGGTTGTGCATCAAATCATCAGTTCTGTGAATGCTGATGTTGTAAAGTTCTTGACTATGAACATATCAAGCTTTGCTGCTTCTTTTTTTCAGAAGGAGAAGAAGAATGTGCTTCTTGACAAATTTTTTTTTTTTTTTTTTGAAAAAAAGTAGATGCTTTTTTCTCAAGATTGACATTATCCTCCGCACATTTTTTGATTGGTATCGAAAATGCAGGGCTACAAGTTTAGACATATCATCATATGATGTTTCTGATGTTGAGGAGCCTCTTCACTATAGATACATCTTACATGCATCAATTTTGTGGACGAGACTAGAAATAATACTATGGAGGACACCATTCAACCAAGCCACTTACTACTTGCAGAAATACAATAATGTATTCATTTTTGGTTGTCTATAATCTTCCCCCTCCTTTTCCAAAATTTCTATCTATCTTTACCTGCCACCAAAACTTTTTCAAAAGAACAAAAGTGGGCAACCTTTATGAATATGATGCAAGCAGATTTAATGCAACACATCTCTTCTTTCTTTCCTTTTCTCAAATAAAGAAAAAGTCCACATACCTGTCCAGCTTGATTTCCACCTAATACACGACACTAATAATACTACTCTTCTTGCAATGTTGATCATAATAGAGTTGGTTACTGTATCTCTATCTGTTAGTCATCACACACACACACACACAAAAACCCTTGAATCTAATGAGGATGTAAATGAAAACTCTATCTCAGAATGATACTCAAAACTCAATAATCATTTTATAAGGGAAGAAATATTCCATAATAATTACTCACATTACATGTAACCACAAGGGGTTCCGAGTGAATTTGTACTTTTAGACTGAACAATATTTCTGATTCATAGTCCCTACAAAATGGTGATGGTCATTACACGCTTTTTTGGCCTAGATACAACAGCAGCACATGAATCGAAAACAATCGCGACCCCGATTGCGTTAATTAATTTTCTTCTCAACTAATTTGATTCATAAATAAATCCTTTTCTCAAAAAAAAAATCATAAATAAAATAAATGCTTTTTTTCCAGACAAGAAAGATCAAGAAACATATCTAGTTGTCCCAGAAAAATACTAGTGTTTTTTAGATTTGTACTAGTATTAATACAAACTTAAAAAGATAGTTTTAAAACTCAATCTGGACTAACTTTTGGAATAAAGGATTACATCTTATATTAGTTAAAAGTGTTGAGAAACTCACCAGACATGAAAGCAAGAACTCATTCATTCCGCGACTGAACAAGGAACTTCCCCCTCGCAACCCATTGTTTAGCTATGAGAGAACAAAGAAAATGGAAACAAAAAGCAGACGAAGAAGATGATTCACAAACCATGTAAATATATACATATATATATATATCAATCAGCAAAGAGTACATTATTAGTTCATACGTGATATTGGCACGGCTCAATCAAATAACGGCGTTCTATATACACAAGAGAACACAATTTTCTAATTGAACCGCACCAATATCCCATACGAATATAATCTAATCAACCCCTCCTCCTAAGAAAAGAGATCAATTGGATCAAAGAAAACATCGGAACGTATAGTTGAAAGATGGATGACTATTATCTGTTCAACTTCTAAGTCTTGGAACGCCAACTGTCTACATGGATGCATGAACGATCAAATGAGTGAATGAATGAACAAAAGGAAGACTCTTTGCTTATATATAGACAGAGAAGAAATCTAGGGTTGGGTTTTTGGAGAACATTATATGATGATAATGGACCCTTGTAGGCTCTGAATAGCTGCATATGGAAGCATGCACTATAATGATAATATATTAGTACTACTTAATTAGTAATAATATATGATGTTTGCAAAAGAGGAAGAAGAAAGAACAAAATTGAAATAATGAAGGTGGAAGAAGAGATAGTTGGGGAAGGTGGACAAAAAGAAAAGAACTTGGAATGAGAAGAGATAGATGATGCTGAGGTAATTAAGGCAGGCAAATGCATTAATTGAATTAATTTGCCCAACAACCAAAAGGGAGGTTGGTATATTTACTCATCATCCAGAAAAGCTAGTAAAAGAAATCATAGAAAAATGAAGTGGCAGTGATGCAAATTCTAGAGCTTTTCCATATGCATTTAATTGAGGTGGGGATGAAATTAAACAATCAAATTGAATTAAATGGAAGAAGAAGAAGAAGAAGGCAACTCTTATGACATCTGCATTTTTTAATTTATGTTATACATGCACCACCTTTCTTATATATAAAGTGATAATAGGACCTTATCTTGTGTTTGTATTGTTATCATTTTTGTGCTAGGGATTTGTATATGGATTAATCCAACTTAACCAACAAGCTATTACTACATATTTCTTTTAATTAACAAGTCACGCAATGATTAAAAAATCAGATGAGTAAATTTGTAACCCAACAAAACTGTATGTTGGTCTGGTAATTGTGGATGAAATTGATAGAGTTGATTGCTGTTCATTCTCTCCACTCCAACATCATCCATCATAGTTAATTATTTACATGGATGCACAATTTGATGACAGCATCTAGCATGCAATATTATGATGTTTTTATCAAAGATTAACCTCATTCTAAGGTGGGTGGGCGGGGGATAATGAACAATAGCAACAACAAAGATTGATCTAAAATATTTATAACATCTTTTCCTTGATCATCTTTTAACCTATACGAATTCTTTTCGTGCTCACAAATCTTTTCCAATTCTATTAACCAATGTGATCACATTAGTGAATACATTGGTAACAAATGGAAATAAAAGCAATTCCTCATTTTTGAATGAGAAATTCAATAGATTGGAAAAGACTGGTTGTTTTAATAATTAGATATTTTGATATATTCTAAATGACTGTATGAATATCATATACAAGTGTGAAAAAAAAAGGATCACTAAGGAAAAATATAATCGGAAATTACATAAATAACTATACTATTTGTTTCCTAATCATGTCGTGTGTTATACACTGCCAGTTCATCACTCATTGCAGACTTTGCCAAGGAAAAGAAAATGAGGAAATTTTCGAAGAAAAATTGAATACCTTCTAAAAGCGGGATACCTTAACGACGCCTTCTCCGGGTTGTCAACGAGAGGGGTAATAACGTCATTAGAAGTGTACCCCAAAATACGATTGCTGACAGTTTCCTTGTCAGCTAGAACTTCTTCATTCAATCGGTTTCTTCCTATCTCATTCTCATATCTAAGCAACCGAACCAAAAGCCCCTCTCTCCTTCTGCGTTGTCCCTCTCCTCTTTCTTCTGGGTAAGCAAGAAATATCCTTTATTTTCTAAGGTTTTTCTTTTGGGTAATTTTAATTGATCGTGTTTCATCACATACGGATTTGGTTAGCTCCCTCTTGTTATTGAAATGCATTTTTATTTTTATTTTTATTTTTTTTGAGGGGTTTATGTTAATTGTGTGAAATCTGCAGAAATTAAAGTTTGAATCTTGCTGCTACCGACATGGCCAAGAACTCCTTTAAGTCTGAACATCCTCTGGGTATTATTCTTTTCTCTTTGATTTTGTTTATTATTTTAAGATTTTAGTTTTTTATTTTCATTAATTTATCATAGATTGCTTTTATTTTGATTATTTGTATTGGCGGTGGTGCCAATTTTGGCCCATGTGAAGGCTTCCTCTAGGTTGGATTTGATGTGTTGTCCTTCTGGATTACTTTCTGTGTCGGATAATAATTGATCTTTGTTTGATGTGGTTTAGTTTGGTGTAGTTTTGATCTGAAAAGAATGAATCTTTGTTGGACAATTGTAGAGCTCCATGCATGGAAGGATTCCTATTGTTTATTGCTGTTTTTTCTTTGTCTTGCTTGATTAGGAAGTAGTAATGAAATAAAATTAGGTGCCACATTGGTGATCACCATTGAGCTTGTGTTTTTTCTCTTCTAGATTTTCTCGAGTTCAGTCCTTGTTCATTTTTTATTGTTAATAAAGTCGAGATCTTTAATACATCTTTGCTCCAGGATTGCAAATTTTATTAGGTTATGAACTTTAATGCATCAATGCATTGCTTCTAGATCACCATTAATGTCCATTATTGTTTTGTATAGTTTTAGGAACTTATAGAAATTTGCTATATTCTTTTTCTCCAATGGAGGATTTGATGTTGACGTTATTGCTAATGGTCCTTTTCTTTATTTGTTGTAGAAAGGAGACAAGCAGAATCTTCTCGCATAAGAGAGAAGTACCCTGATAGAATTCCAGTGAGCTATGTTTACCATTGTGCATGAGTTGCTTATGATGTAGAATTGATTTTTTTAGATCACTCTTGCAGACCTTGTCTAATATTGATTCTTTTACAGGTGATTGTTGAGAAGGCCGAGAAGAGTGATATTCCTGAAATTGATAAAAAGAAGTAGGTTATCATACTTTTCTTGCATACTTTGTGGCTCTTTCCTGTTGCAGGGTTGGTTTCCTTGTTTACTTCCACAAGTTTTAGTTTTAGTTCTTGTTGGCTCTTAGCATAACTCCTGAATGTCCATGATTGAGTTATTATATCGTGACAGCAGTGTCAATGAGCACGATATCTTGGAAAGGCATTCATTTTCTCTTCTGTTATGAAGCTTTAGAACCCTTCACTAGTCTCAAGTTAGCTAAAATTACTTCTGTTACCAGTTATTCAGTTTATAACTTTATTGTTTTTGGAGTACACTTTTCTCATAACAGTGTAGTTTGCAAGTTACTGTTGGAGCTCCATTATTTATATAGTTACAATTTATACCTATAAGTTTTTCTTCTGTTCCCAGCAATTCCATGAAAGCTTGATGGTGCCCCTTATATAATCATCATTTGAACAATCGGATTTTCTTTTGATGCTAGTCTGGCTATCTATAGCTTCAATGGTCTCTTGTCTTGCTTCCTCCTGTAAGTTGTATTGAGATGTAGTTATGGACACGATAAATGCACGTGTTAAAAATTTATCTTCTTGGAAGGGAACAGTGTGTAATGCTATGCTTCTTAATATTACTCTGTATTGGGGGGTTTATAGTGATACTGTTTCATTGTGGAACATAAGCTGTCTTAACCATATACTGTCCAAATGACTTATCACATCCTTTCGAAAGGTTTAATTCATGCACACCACCTTCCTATCATGCCAGGTACCTAGTTCCAGCTGACCTGACTGTTGGCCAGTTTGTCTATGTCGTGCGTAAGAGGATCAAGCTTAGTGCCGAGAAGGCAATCTTCATCTTTGTGAAGAATACGCTGCCTCCCACCGGTAAAGTTTGTTTCCATTTTCTAATCTCCCATAGTGATAGCATCACTTGTGTTTGTATGGTCCATTAACAGTTCATTTTTGTTTGTTCTTTTTTTCTTCTTTTTTTCCTTGCAGCTGCTCTAATGTCGTCCATTTATGAGGAAAACAAGGATGAAGATGGATTCCTGTATATGAGTTACAGTGGTGAGAACACCTTTGGATTCTCGAAGGTGCATTAGTGAATGCTGATGATGGCCTAATTATGTAAATAGCGTCTCAAAATGTAGTCTTGGCCAGTCTCCCCTAAAGTTGGTCAAAGATCTTGTCTTTAAACTGGATTTGTCGTGGAGAATTTGATTTTATTGATATCATGTGTGGATTGAAGGCATCAAAATAATTAGCGTTTTTTTTTTTTTTTAATTGTATCCTGCTTGTTTCGTCTGAAGCTTAAATGGAAAAAAGAATCCAACCAGTAATAAGAGTTTAATAAGAACCTGTGATGATTGATGAGGGTTTGAACCTTGTATAGACATGCAATTTCCCTTTTGAAAAGAGAGGCACAGCTTGGAATGAGGTTAGTGGTGCAAATAAACATAATCTTTTTGTTTTTTTTTTTTTTTTGGTAAGCAATTTGGGCAGGGCGCAAGGATTAATACAAAATGCTTCATTCTCTAGTATTATTACTTGAATGAAGCTCAAAAGAATATGTGGCTCATCTAGGTTAAGCGCATTTTTTGCTAATAAATCAGAGCACAAATTGCAATTCCTAGGTGAGAATGCAAATTGCACCATCCAATCCGGTGATAGAATTTGATGGATCTTTCTCAACTCTGGATCCAGAACCTGATTGTCCTTTTAGGCTTCCTATAAAATTAAGTGCTTCTTCAGAATCGGACTCCAGAATGAGATTAGGAGTCCCTAGAATTTTTGCCATTTCCAGTCCATTACGCAATGGCCGTGAGTTCGGCTGTTTCTATTGAACGACATGTCCCAAGTGCAATATTAAAGGCTTTTAGGAAGTCACCTTTACTGTTTCGAATCATAATCTTTGAGTATATTAGGCTGAGAATTATGAACTCGGGAAATTTTTTTCATTTTTATTTTTTTTAATAGAAAAAAAGATAGTAGCGTATAAAACAAGAAAGGGAAAAAAAAAAAAGCAGATTAAAGAAATTTAAAAATAAGGTATAAAACAGGAAAAGAAAAACGAGATAAAAGTCAGAAAAAAAAAAAGGAAAATAGTAGTAAAGATTTGGGACAAAAAAGTAATTACACACCGCCTGTTCAGTTTCCGTCAAGCACAAAAATTCTACCTCGAATCGGTTTGGTATTATTATGCAATAATTTCTTCTTCTTTCTTAATATAAATAAATATCAAGATTTCTTTCCTAATACTATTATTTGGTGTTTCCTTTCTTTTATTTAAACCCAAACCTCACGTCAAATCCTCACCCTGGTTTTGAAGAATTGAGAAGCAGCCGGTTTTGCGTTTGTTCATATCTGTTCGATTCCTTACAAACCACTATTTGAGAGATTTTGTTCTTCGTTGCTGCAATGGCCAAGAGTTTCAAGTCTGAATACTCTTTTGGTACGTTTACTTGTTGTTATTACTATTATTTCCAATTTGATTTTGATGCATTATATTTTGGAGGGTTTCCATTGTTATCGATGTGATATATTGGGTCAAGTATATTATTATCAGTTATTTGTATCTTAATGAATTTGATCATTATACAATTGAGGTTTATAATTAATTGAAAGGCCGTTGGTGAATTTCTTTGGAAGAATTGTCTAACTATTCCTATTGTCTAAAATACTCCCTCCGTCCTACAAAAATAGTTCTACAAAAATAATCCACATTGAGTTTTGAGTTTTGTATTGTTTTTAGTATAAATTTGAAAACCCAATGTGGACTATTTTTATGTTTTGTAAAGTTTTTAGTATAAATTTAAAAACTCAATGTGGACTATTTTTTTATAGGGACAGAGGTAGTACTATATATGCACTCCGCCCAAAAATGGTCTTTCTCTATGTACTTTTGTCTTGTGATGTTGGCTAATTATGTTTTGGAGGGTTTTGTTATCGTTTTGATTTATTGGGTTAACTTTATATTGTTATCTATTATTTGATCTTTACACACTTGAGCCTTAAATCAATTGGAAGGCCGTTGGTGAAGATTGTCTAACTACTCCTATTGTCTTAAATACTATATACTTCTTTGTTTTAGAGCAGAGGGTGTATCAATTAGCTGCCATTAAATTGCTTTGTCAAACAAAATTTTTTGATGCCTGAATTCCCTAGTTGTGTTCGTAATGTTACTATTTCAACATGGAGTGAATTTTTGATTTATTGTTAACTAAATCTTTTCACTACATTGTTCAGAGAGAAGAAAGGGTGAGTCTTCACGCATGAGGGAGAGACATCCAGATAGAATTCCAGTAAGATTTTGTGACTGCAGGTTTATGTTTTATGTTGTCCCCTGTTATTGCCTTATTCTGACATTGTTGCATTTGTAGGTGATTGTTGAGAAGTCACAAAAGAGTGACATTGAGGATATTGATAAAAAGAAGTAAGTTATCATATTTCTCATTGTGTGTTAGGCACTCTCGACTTGTTTGTTTACTTAATCTTTTCTTTTAGTTTTATATCAATGTATTTATTAATCATTTATCCTTAGTTGACTAAATTTAGGTCTTATAATTATATATATATATATAAAAACAAGTTTTATTTGTGTGTTGTGTATCTTTAGTAATTTTGATTTTTGTGTTGTATTAAGATGTTTGCAAGTTGTTTTTTTGGTATCATTAGTACTAGGTCTTTCCTCGTATAATATTACTCTTCCAATTTAGTTATGTTTATGTTCATTTCGGACATTTTTTGAAACATATTACAATGTTATCACGTTCCTATTGTGGTTCTTGATCATATGGTCTAATCACTATTGCCTTCTTTTCTTTCATGTAGGTTCCTTGTCCCTGGAGATGTGTCCGTAGGCCAATTTGTTTGTGTAATACGTAAAAAGATCAAGCTCTCTGCTGAGAAGGCAATCTTTATCTTTGTGAAGAATACATTGCCCCCAACCGGTAAGCTATGATGTTCCATTTCAATCTCTAATACAAGCAGAATGTCCTATATGATATGGTTGTAACATCCATGATTTTCTTACAGCTGCCATAATGTCCGCCATTTATGAGGAAAACAAGGATGAGGATGGCTTCTTGTACCTGACGTACAGTGGAGAGAACGTGTTTGGATTCCGCGGAGTGGTGTGATGGTGATTGGTTTTGCATAGATATAGGCCGCAAGTACAAATTATAGGTCCTTTGCCCTTAATGTTGCCAATTCATGCTGTGTTTAGTTTTTTTTTTTTTTTTTTTTTAACTTGACAACACTTTAGTGGTATAAGATGCTTCACATGTTGACCGATAGGTCCCGGATTCGAGTCACACTGGTGGTAAGTAGGGAACCACTATTGATCTCTTTTTAAAAAAAAAAAATTAGGGCAAATTTTTGTTGTGAGCCGGATAGAAAAAGTGCAATTGAGTCTTTTTTTTTTAATACCTTTTGGAAAATTTGATTCTTCAATTCGCTGGAATCAAACAGTGGAATATATTTAGTAGTAGACACATCTTAATTCACATGTTGACCGATAGGTCCGGATTGGTTCGCCAATGTGGTTGGATGTTTACTACTTTCTTTGTTCTAAGATGTAACCTACAAACTAAAACATATCTATAATTTGATGAGGAAGCATGTTGCTTTAGCGAATAGTTGATATACATTATGAAAAATGCGCTTGAAAAAGTAAAACTCTCTTAGGCTTCTCCTTTTGTTTTTGGAGCTGTTTTGTCCCTCCATTTGGTGACAACGTAGGATGGCAATGCATGATGATTTTACAAGAGTGACCAAAAAGATTTATGGCTTAATAAATGATGAGTTTAAAGAGTGAATTTGACAAAACTTGCGAATGCATTGATGTGAATGGTACAAGGACAGAAACGAAGATTGAGAGAGGTCACTTGAAGAAAGAAGAGCTTAATCCTCAAAAGGTACAAATATGAGTCACACTGCTATGGCTTTATAAATCATGAAGAAGAAGTGTTTTTCTTTTGGCACTTGTTCTTTACCCAGTTGAAGCTCATTGAGGTACTGTTCTTGACCTTCTGTGCCCCTGCTGTGGCGAATGATTTGGCTTTACTGAGCCCTGATTTCTTGGTGTTTTTCACTGCATCTTTGTTGGTATTTGTGGTGTCCTCGGCTTCCATGGCTCCGATCCCTCCGGCACCCCATTGATCTGCCCAACTAGGAGCCTCACTTGCCATATTTAACTATGTTTTTGACCTGCAACTCATCAAGATCAAGAGAATATGCATTTATTGCCATCAACATCTCTTAAAATGGTTCATAACCACCACACCCCATGATAACATTTACAAGCAAACCAAAGCCTTCATTATTACTACTATTCTTATGTTTTGGGCCTTGATGGAAAGATTTAAAACTACAATTAAGTGTTAAGTCTCTTCTGAATGGATGATGCTCTATGCACGAAAGAAAAAATGGTCGCTACTAATTAAAGCAAGCTTCTCTAATAAGATCCGAAATGAAGACTAGCGAGGACAATCATATTCGGAGAACCTTATCAAGAGATCACTGAGACATAAATAGAAAAAGACTAGAAAAAAGCCTTGGTTACCTGAATTTGGCTTCACTGAGAATTGAAGGTCCGATGATACTGCAGCCAAGGTCGAAGAAACTGGAAGGGAGTTCTTTGTGGGTTGCTTTTGTGGTGGGGGGAGGAAGATAGAGATATTTAGGCCTTAAAAATTGCATCTTTGCATGTGGATAGGCTGGCCTCGCTTTTTAAACTTTTATTTGATGGTTTTGTGTTTGTTTAATAAAAAAGACATGGCATCCAACTCAGAATTACCTACTCTTGAAGCAAAGTTAGTGTACTACACGACGTCATTTCTATTACAATTCCCTCCCTACTATAAATAAACTAGACAATATATTGGACGAAAAATTATACGTAATAAAAGATGTGCTAAAATACAAGTCCTTCCCTCTGTATTACGCCAACCCGATAAGAAATGAAAATCAGTGGACTGCAGTTTTAGTTTTGTGTTCTTCTAAATCCTTGTTCCTCCAAATCAGTCAGAATTTTTTTATGCATCAAATTACATGTTTTACTGCGTAGTGTGAGTGGTTTCAGGGAGAAAAAGGATGCCTAGCTAATCATTTAATATTGCGGTACATCGTTAAATAAAAAGCAGTCACATCATTTCAAGTATGAGTCTCCAAGGCAATGAAGAGGAAAAAGCATAAAGAATAATTGCACCTAATTTACATGTCTTCTTCGAAGTAGTATAGAGGATATACATGACCTACACAACGTTAAAGGTGCTCCACTAAACGTTTCTTTTTTAGTCTTTTAATCCCTTCGTTCCAAAATCATTATCTAGCTTGAAATTTCAATATTGGTAAACATTGTAATAAAAATAAAAATCCAAACGAGAGACTAGTTTCAAGACAGAGGGGTTTGTGATTACCAATGTTTCGGAATAAAGATTGAGGAGGCGAAGACTTTGTCAAATGAATAATTTTGTAGTAACTCTCTTCTCACCTTGTTATTATGCATTATTCCAAGTTTGGCAGTTGACTGCAGAAATTACGATCCTTAAGAGCAAGTGTTTTTGGCAGTCAACGCTGTGTTGAAGATCTAATTAATATCCAGATTCCTCTTTTGTCAGCTTTCATTCATGAGTTTGTATACTGTTTCTTTTCTGTTAAGCTTTCCAAATGTTCCAGAAAACAGATAACTATCCAACCTGAAAAAGAGAGAGAGAGAGAGAGAGAAGAATGGCTATAGTCGAAGTTTTTGTTGGTGAGATGATCAAACTGTTAGTCTTAAATAAGCGAGGTTGTATTGATTTGCAAAAACTCGTGGCATTCAAAGGGTTCGATAGGAAGTTGAAGGAATGGCAGAAGAAGGTGGTACTAATTCAGGCAATGCTTGATGATGCAGAGAACAAGCAGAACATGAATGTAGCAGTGAAGCAGTGGTTGACCAGCTTGCTACTCAGGCTTGTAGAAAAAGTTTGAGAGAAGCCGCTCAAAGGCCAAACAGCTCAAAGGTCCGGGCTGTTGCAAAACTCCAAAGCTCTCAGGCACCTGGAAATCCACGACTGTCCTAGGCTTGAGTCCTTACCAGAAGAGATCCTCATGTCTGATGGGCTTGAAAAATTGGAGATCTGTGATTGCCCGGTGCTGCAGAAAAGGTGCTTCACGGACAAAGGAGACTATTGGCGGATGATTTCCGACGTTCCCCGAGTGAGAACACATCATGAACAACTTGGAAGGTGAGTTTTGAGATTACTGCAGACATCCATGCATTGGGTGTACTCTTTATTATAGTTATAAAACCAAACATATGGTTTGTCGTCAGTCATTCTCTCCATCATATTCCCGCGTTCAAAAAAGGCAAATCAGCAATGTTCAGTTAGTTGAGTCATGGTTGAAAATAATAACCCACGGTCACTTAATTTGATGCCTCTGTCTCTTTGTAGGTTTTCTCGCTACCCTTAATCTCAACTTTCAAACTTCAGATTCAGATTAATACGTAGGAGCTCCTGATGACAATGTTCCGCACGCAGCAAGGTACACGGTGATTCTTCATTCTTCCACATCCCGCATCCCCAACTCCCGGGAGAGCTTTTTGGAAGTTTCAGTTTCATCATCAGATAAATTTACATTTCTGTCTACCCTGGGTATTACGCTAGCCAATAGTCATCTAGGTAAAGAGATTCAAATTCATCATATCCATTCCCAGTCTTTCCAGATTATGAAACTTCAGTAGACAGTCTACTGTATATATGCTTTTCAAACTTCCTTCAAAAAACATTCTGGTTTTCGATATATGAGTTTTTCATATTCTTCGCAATCTGCGAGCATGTTTACAGTTCGAAAGCAGTAATTTAATTTTATTTTTTTTAAAAAAAAAAAAAGGGAATGAGAACTTGTGGTTTTGAACTAGATCAAACATTTTTTCCCCAAAGGCTAATTACTGAGCAAGAAGATATTCGTGTATGATTGAGTTTCCTACATCCCATTTCGTCGACCAATTTTTGTGACAATTGATGAATCATTCCAGAAACTTGAAAGAGGATCGTAGATCAGAATTCAGGACCTCAAGGACAAGGAGATGCTTGATGAGTCCTTGTGGGATTTGCCTAAATTAGACTTGGATGATGATGCAGATGAGATCATACCCGAATATCAACAGAGATCTAGTTGCCATATATATATGGGTGGCTTTTGCCGGTCACTCTAAGCCAGCAGCATCATTTACAGTTATGAAAACCTCCAGAGTTATTTTGGTCCCGAGGCTTTGGGTATGTGTTTATGAATAGTGTGTGTGTGTGTGTTTTTTCTTTATCATTCCCTTTTAGGGTCTGTTTGGTTATTTGGATTTGGAATTTGACATTGACAATAAATGTCCACTACATTCATTTGGACATAATTGACGTGTCTGTCAATATCAAATCCCTTGTTTTGGCTAGAATAATAGTTTGATATGTATTTGGGTTATAAGTACAAATCATTTGTTTGGTAGTTCAAATTGTTGTAATTTTTGTGAGTTGTAGGATTTAGATTTCCGTTGAATAGTTTTGTTTTCCCTCCACTGTATTATGTCTTCACAATAATACAAACAGGTTACTCTTACACAAACAGGTTACTATTTCCCTCTAATGCAATTTAACAAACAGGTTACTTGCATCTCCGAGTTCACCATATTAAACATTCCCGAGCTTGAACTTCATCTTTTAATTATGAAATATTCCTCAGGCAAACTAATTATGTTTCAAAATCAAAGCTACTTTCTTTCGTTCCTAATCACAAAAGCAATTTCTTCAACAAAGGAGTTCAAGAATAAAGAGGCAATGGAACATATAGTACTAATTCAATGTCAAAACATTGAAATTAAGATTGCACTTTGATTGAGTTGACTTTACACCAATAATAGGCCAAGATCAAAGCCCAATTTCGAACCGGAAAGCTTCAATTAACGCCACAAACGAACAGAAGAAATGCCATGATAAGACAGCTACAGTGGGACATGCACAACTCCTAAAAAATGGCTAGACTCGATCTGCTTTTCAAATTCATACCAACAGTTCCAATTTCCCAAAAGGTACGAAAGAATAATCAACACCATTCTACGCCCATAAAGAAGATAGAAAACCTTCTATTATTGCTTCATCCATAACTTTTGTTTTAACCAACAACGGAGAATCAGAGTTGACATATCCGATGAACTTATCTTTGCTACTAACCTTTGTGCGTGACCGAAACAATCAGATCCGTTCAAAAAGAGGAGAACAAGCATGATCAATTCGATGATGACGGAGAGAGAGAGTATGGCCGAAGAACGGAGAAAAAGGGAATCAGATGGATGAACGGGAGGAAATCGGGGGAGATGAAGAAGCTATGATTAATCTGAGGATTTTGTTTACCTAAAAACAATAAATAATACATAAAATTAAGAAAAGATGAAATAAAGACCCATTTTGTGATGTATTTGGGGCTGTTTGGACATGAGACCAAATCCAAATCGATGGATTTTTTTGGTTGCCAAACGCTGGAGGTTTCATATCCAAATCCAACCCCCAAAATCCGTGCTACCAAACGGAGCTTTACTTCATTTCCGAAATTTGTAAACATTTGCCTTGAAGTTAGTCAAACTCCTAGGTAAATCTTGAGAAAATGGGGTTCGTTTATATGAAGATTCGTGGTCCTAGGGTTAAGTGATTAATGACTAACCAAGATCGCACATTGACTATTTATATAAAAACAATTTATTTGGTCTCTAACAATACTTGGGTTGCATCTTTACATGCTTAGTTGGTTCTTTGATTTGTTTAAACGTTGTTTGTCATTTTTACCGAAGAAGATGAACACCTTACGATATACTTACAAAAATTAGGCCCCCAACTCAAGATTAGCCACTCCTAAAGATATAGTGCACTAGTTATTTTTGCTATTAATTTCCCTTCCTTTTGTATAAGTCCTGAAATACTAGATGGGTCAGTGTCATTCTATACACTACTAAGGAGTTGCTTTTTCTTGTTTACATCCTTCTTCCAAAACAATATATAAAACCTCCAAATCCCAGATCTTAGTTTCTTTTCTTTCTTTCTTTCTTTGGTTTGAAGTACCTAAGTTAACGTACAACTAAGAGTTGATAGGGAAAATTGAAAAAGGTATGACATTACACATTGTTGGGCAAATAAAGAACGAATGCCACTTCAAAGTTTCAACTCTTAAGATTTTGCTTTAAGTAGTAGTAACAAGCGTATTTAAGGTTGGCCATATTTTAGATCCTTGCTCACGCAGTCACGCTTTACTGCTTCCTCCAAGGAAGGCAAGCAGTCATACTTTCGGAAAAGAAAAGAGTACTAGATCCCACATTTTTTCTCATTTCCCAATCAAACCGTATTGGCTCTGACTTTGAGGAGATTTCCCTAAGCAATTGTCATCTAGATTTCTTTCATCATCTGAATTTTGCCAAATCTTACAATACAATATGTATACTTCCTTCCTTCAAAAAGTGCAAAACGATCATGCATGATCCAATCAACCAAATTGGTGAGTGTGATGGTGTCCATTCCCATCCAATCAATTGAGTAGATTTCATTTCACTTCTGGAAACCCTTTGTATCATCTCTTGCTTCCTACTTAACCTTTCTGGTAGACTTGGATTTTTTCACCTTCCTAGACTTTTCATCAGCCCTACTCCAAGTATATCCACCTGGAATTGCAAACGGATCCGTCTGCGACCCACCATTACATACACTCTGCTGCTGGTGCTGCTTCTTGGCTGCTGCAGAACACGACCGACTACCACCACTGCTGTTTCCACTACTCGACAGCCACGGAAATGATGAAGATGATGCTGCAAAAAATGATTGGGAAGTAGTACTACTACTGCTACTACTCTCTGATTGATGGCCATCTTCATATAAACTTCTTGATGTAGTACCATTTACAAAGTTCCCAGGACTGGAGGCAGGGGTGTAAAACTCTTCAATGGGTGGTAGCTCAACAAATTTTGTGAATGTTATCACCACCCTCACTGTTGGAACCACTGGAATTGCAACCTGTAGTTTCACAAAACAGTTCAATAATGCCATCCAACCAGATAGTAGTATTTATTCACTAAGCTAGTATGTTTTCACCTACTCAATTTCATATTAGAGGACGCTCTTACTTGCGTCGTAATTACAGTGGTATCATTCAAAAACAACAATAGGAAGTGAATGATATAGCATGAACAAAAAACACAACAGTATATCTGAAATCATAATATAGTTCTATCTATCAACAATATGCTATTCTCATAGTCTAAAAATGTGGTAGAAGTTATTCACCACAAGAACCTCATTTGGTCGCTCTCCATACTCACTCTTAACTACCATTACTCTTTCAATTAAGGTAGTTAAATCTTTCATCCTCAAAAAAAGAAATCTACAAACTCTTGTTATAAATGAACTATGTAATATGTATATATTCCCAATGAAGCTATTGGCAAGCACAGTAGCACTCAAATGAATTATACAGGTCATTATGATTCATGACATGCAAAATTCATCTTACTCAAGACGTTACTTAGTTGAGGGAAACCACATCACCAGCAACAATCAATACTATATAGCATGTAAACCCCGAATCAAGCATATCAGTAAAAGTCACTCAATTATGTTCCCACAGAATTCTATCTTTAATAATTATTATCACACTTCAAAACTACTACATATAAGAAAGATTTTGGTTGCATCAACTTTGAACTCTGCAAAATCAATATAAAAAAAAGAACTTCAATGCTATCAAAAACTAAAATCAGTTGACATGATCGAGCAATTTTTGCTACTTTGGAGCAAAAGAAAAGTGGGTCCACATGGGAAAATCTTGGCGGAGTGGAATAGAAGGCAAAGGTGGGACCAGAAAAAAGGACCTATAAAATAACTGCATGTCATGTCATCATAGACCATATATACAAGTAGGACCCAAAGAAAAGCTTCAATAAATCTCCAGGCTCACAAGAAGGATGGTTAACTTATGCATCAAAAGTAGCAAACAAATAATTCTCAGACATCAATGCTGAAATTCAAAATTAATTTGATTCAAAAGTGTAAAACAAAATTCTTTTTAGGAATGCATTAAATGAATTGAATTTAAAATTAATAGCTCAAAGAAAAAAAAAAAAAAAAAGAGTACTGAATTAGCGCCTTCTTTCTTTTTACCTTCACGGGAAACGTGCCCGGTGGGAACGTCGTCGTAAGGAGCTCCCTCATCCGTCTAACGGCTTTCACTTTGTTAGCTAGTATGTCGAGTAACGGCAGTAGCTCTTCCGTCTTTAACGGGAATTGTTCCGTTAGCCAAATTGACGGGCGCAAGTTCTTAACATATTCCTTCTCCTTCGTCTGCGGCGGCGGCGCCACGGATATAGGCGGCGCTCTCCTCCTTGTCGACGTCATCATCTCCGGAATTATGTCCACGCTCTTTCGCGACACCGTCACTGTCTCCCGCTCCTCCCTGACAAAGCTGCTGTGCCGTCTCCCGTACGAATTGTCCGGAGCGGAGACGCTAAACCGCGGATTCTCCGCTACTAAGAATCCCTCTTCCGTGTCTTCGTCAAGCTCCAAGTCCAGCGGCAAAATTTGCTCGCTTCCGTCAACGGCGGTGATTTTTCGGGACCGGAAACTGAAAATCACGTTATGGACTTCGTAAACCCGAGCTTTCCATTCTCCGACAGTCTCGGTCTTCTCTTGCCTTCTCCAATTTGTGCGTCCAACTAATTCCGCTCTGGTCACGTCCATCCCAGGCCTATACACGCAAGTCTGATTGCAAAAGCTAGCAATGTCGGCGTCGCTCATCGGAGCTCCGGCACTCTCGAACGCGTCAAAGATTTTCTTCTCGTCATGGTTTAAGACAAGGAGCGAACCAGCTGGAACGTCATGGGTCTGATCGCCGTCGCCTAGGAATAGGAAACTCTGATTAGCGCGCTGAATTTTCAGGCCGTCATAGCCAGCGAGAGAAGTATCCGCGCGGAGATTACCGTCGCGCTTCCAGATCTTATAGGTGTCCGAGGGAGCTACTTTCCCGATGAAGGGCACAATAGAGCTCTCAAAATGGAAAGATATTTCCATGTAAAAATCTCGCATACGGCGGAGAGCGGCAACAAGGCGGGGAAGTCTTCTCCGCCACTTGGCCCAGGAAGAGAGGTGGTGGTACTGAACAAGAGTCATCACCACCTCCGAGCACCGACGGAGTAGCGCCTCGTGCAGCGGATTCCACCCGGCGGCATTCTGGAGAGAGATATCAGCACCGGCGATTGCCAGAGCGCGGGCGGCGTAGGCATCGTTGAGGCGGACAGCAAGGTGTAACGGAGTCTCCCGGAAGCGATTGTCCCGGCGGTCAATGACGGCGGATATTTTCTCGGCGAGTGACTCTTGGGAGAGGGAATCGGATTCAGAGAGGACACGGGAGGGATCGAGGAGTCGGGGTAAGGAAGAGAGGATTTTGGAGAGGGAAGGATGATCGCCGGTGGCGACGGCGTAGTGGACAGGGCTGTGGGAGTAATCATCGGGCTTCAACGACGTCGTATTGGGGGACGCCACCGCAGGGTTGCCGCCGCCGGCGCTGGTGGAGGATGATGATTTGGACATGATAAGGATAATGATGAGAATTGAGCATCAAATGGGCGTAGTCTCTCTCTCTCCCGGAGTTAAAAATATGTACAAATAACTCTCTCTCTCTCGGGAAGAGAAAAAGAGAAAAGTGATGGAAGAAGAGGAGTAGACTGTATGGGAAGTGAGGCGGTTTTTCAGTCTCTGGAGTGGGGAATGGTTTTTGAAGATGCGACTACATTTGGAGGGGGGAGAGAAGAGGGGGTAAGTTTGTCATTTCGGTTAGGTAGGACATCGGGATTGGGAAGATTGGAATAATTTTGGAGTTTTTTTTTATTTCTTTCTTTATTTTTTTTTAGCTTGGTGAAGTTCTTGTGATAACATATATACTCCAGAGTACAATTTATTTTAATTATTAGCACTATTTTATAATTGCAGTATAATTTTTTTTATACTAACATTTATCTATGGAGGAGAGTACACTACTAATGTTAAAATTGGCTTATTTGGTTCTTTTTGCCACTATTGAGTATTAACCAGTTTATGCTTAACACGATGGTATTTTAGAAAAAAAAAGAAAAAAGTAATTAGAGGCTCCATCTATGATGATTTGATTTTCGACCTCGTCATTGATCCGAGTTTTGTTTTAGATATCTGAAAATGGGCATCAGAAGAAATGTTAAAGAAAAATTAATAAACTAAACACGAAAATAATATCATAACATAAAAGAAACCAGAATCATCTATGAAGAAACATAATGAGGGTTAATAAACTAAACAATTATACCGGAATTGTGTAGATTGGAAAATCAATCCATTCTTTAATTCTGTATGTTAATAACAACTAGTAATACCTCTTTTTTTTTTGTTAAAAAAAGAAAAAAACAACAACAACAACAACTAGTAATACCGTAGTAATTTTTGTCTCTCAACACTACCAATCATCCTTGTGCGACTTCAACCTCAACCCCTCAATTTCTTTTCTCATCAACAAGTAAACGACGAAAAAAATAATGAAAAAAAAATCTTCTAATTACTCGAAAAAGAATTATAAACAAACTGATAATTTACCACCAAAAGATAACTTAATACTATTAGAAAAAAAAAAAAAAAAGAGTAATACACAACAACCTCCTCATGGTTTCCGAAATCATACAAGAATCTGTCTGGCTTTGTTTGTTTATTTTTCTTGATGTTATTTTTAAATTAAATTTTTATTAACTGTCACATCTCAATATATCTTTTTATATTTTTAATATATTTTTTTACATTTCTAATAAAAAAAATACCTAAAACACATATATTAAAAAAAACGAAACAAACAAACCCTCTATATTTTATAAACTATATTTTATAAACTAGTACATGAGAACCGCCTCGTGCTTTGTTAAGTGGATGGAAAAAACTAACAAGTGAAACTACTGTGTCTGTGTGCAATTGTATTAAATACGTACTCCACATAGCAGGACTTTATGGGTAGAAGGGAAATGTCAGCAAATAGAAGGAGAGAGGGGGGGTAGGGGAATAGTCTCAGGTTACCGTCAGTAGCTTTTTCAGTTTCCTCTCTGCATTTCTATTTTGTCGTTTTTTCTCAATTTTTCTTTCACTTTTTCCTTTTTTTTTTTCTTTTATTCTGCAAATTTGTTCCTTTCTTTAATTTCTTCTCTTTTTGGTCGACACATTGATTAGTATAGATTTCAGACATTGCTTTTTGTTTTTTAATTCTCACCAACTCATTACACCTGATTAACAAAAATAAATAAAATAAAAATGAGAACTCAATCCACATTAATTCCCACGTGCTTCTTCATTTTTGCTGCCCGGTCCCTGGAAGGGTTCCGTTCCGTTGTAGTAGTAAATCATACCCTCAACGGTTATGTTAATCATCCATCTAATGCATATATAATCGTGTAGTTGTGCTAATTTAAGTGATGTTATAGTAAACATTTTATTGGTTAAACACAATCATGTATGAAGGAAGAGTTAGAGATGGTACGTAAACCATGAGATTTTAAAAAATTCAAAGTTTCATATATGCTAACCAAAGACGTAACAAGATTATAACTGAACAAAAACGCGCTATTTTGATTAATTTGCTTTGAAGTTTAAACCTTCTCAAATGGTAACATTAGACCTCTCTCTGATATACTACTACTACTACTATTAATTGGGTTAGTGAATCTAAAGCTGTAAAGGTCCAGAAAAAAGAGGAGATTTGTATTTTGAATATGAATTGGTGGGTCAAATTGGGTCGGTACGTGCTTTAGATACGACCAGCATTCAACCCTCTTTTTGAGCCTTGCGTATCTTCTTATATGGGCAATTTGCAGATTCAAACTGACATTTTTTGGTCATCAGGTTGAATTGAACAGAATTTAAGTGTTAAGAATCTGTAGGGTAACCATTAGGGCAACAAAAGATAAGGGCGACTTGTCTGGGTCAATACAGACCAAATCCAAAAATGGATCATCCCCGAAATCCCCATCCAAGATCCCCCCAGATTATGGATTTTTGTGCAAATAATTCCTGGATTTGGTAAAAGATTTTTGTAGAGCATATGGGTCAGCTTATTTTTGCTTGGATATGAAGTTATTAATTTGGGCAGATTGTAAGATTATGTGTTTATAAAGTAACAAATAATCAGGGCCTGCATTCAGGCATTCATAATTTACTATTGTTTAGGCATTTTGCCTTCCTCCCTTAGGGAAGGGATTCCTTTGTTTTTGCACCTTAAAGTATCACTCCCCGATTGTTCGTTCCTTCCTGTGTACACTACTAATTAATCTTCGGAATATGTTTTTCTCATTATAACTCCTGTACCCCCTTTATAATTTCTTTCTTCAAAAGATCGTCTACAGTAGCTAAACATTTTTAATTTATTGTGGTTTTTTTTGGGGGTTCTTTGATTTCTTCGAAGAAGTCAAACACAACAGATAATACTAGTCAATGCAATTTATGAGTAGCTTAATTAGTTTAGGCTTTGTTTGTTTTGTTTTTTGGATAATTTTTTCGTAATATTAAAATAATAAATGTCTCATCCCATCATATTTTTTAACATTTTCAATATATTTTTTTACATTCCCAATATAAAAAACACCTAAAAATACACATAAAAATACGAAACAAACGTACCCTTAGTTACCAGAATTAAGTCAACGCCAATTCTGCTCGAGCCTCTATCATCGGGGTATTATTACATGGAGCAATATTCACTTCGGGAGAAAAGAAAATGAGGAAAGGAAATGGAGGAGTTGAGTGAGTACTAAGTTATTTAACAGTTTACTGATTCAAGTTTATTAAGAGTAAAAGTGTATAATGTCTAGATAAAAATTAATAAATAATTAATCTTTGCTTCATTTCTTATTGGGTGGACCGTTGATGCGAGCTGTCATCCGAAAAAGCTAATAAACTACAAGCAAGGATTTTTGCACCTCTACTACAAAAATAAATACTCTATCATTTAGATTTGTTTCATAAAACAACGCAGATGTTAGGAGTGCAAAGTATAACGGCAGAATGTAACATAAACTCTAATAAACAATTTTATTTTTTGCAGCAAATCTTGCCAATGCAAAGAGTATCGAATAACTTTCGTAGTACATATTTCATCAAATCAGAATTATGAAATGTAAGATGACGTCCAAACAAGCACTAATTTAATTGAAATCTAATTTTTCTTTCATCTCTTGAAAGAATTCAAGAGACTTCAACGTCCTGAAACCCACATTTGACATTCGAACTGCTGCCTCGTACAGAGAGCTCCCATTCTTTCCATCGGATGCTTCAATCACAAGATGATCAATATAGTCACATACATACTGATATTCCCTCTCTGCCCTTATCACATATTTGAACTCTAACCCTAGTTGACCACCATGGCCGTTGGTTTGGTTGTTTTGGGTTGCGATGGCAAATCTGGCATTGCCAACAACTTGAGGGTGATTTGGATCCACGGGATGTATTCTTGGATGGCAAGATTTGTCAACGGTGGTGACATAGATGATCATTCCCATGCACAAGCAAGCTACAGTCAATAGTTGAAACTCCGTGATACTCATTCTTGCCACAGTTTCCATTTTATTATCTATGGATTGAGTTCTACTACTGCAATATGTGTTCTGTGTGGATTTGTTGAAATGGTTTCATGAGTTTATTTATGTTTTTTTTCGAGAGAACTATTATGGTAGGTAGGTGGAGAATTCAATTCATATTTTTGGATTCTTTTGTAACAATGTTAAGCACGACCAAGGCTGCGACATTGACTAATTTGTTACTTATGCTTGATTGACCTATATAGGCAAATATTGAGATAATGCTTAAGTGCTGTATAAGTATGTAGATGGATGAAAAAATTTTAAAGGTTAAATTCTGTCAATCGGATTTGATTTTGCATTTTGGACAAAATTATTTCCCTTAATGAAAATGAAAAAGAAAGAAAAACAATGAATGTCAGTATTGGAGTATGGCAGGCAATCCAAACATCGAATAAAAATTTAGACAAAATTCTATGAAATAATCATAGTTTATCTTTACATTGAACAGGTACATAATACCCACATTTCTCTATGGTACAGACCAATCATTGCTAAGACACATTTACTAAGATACAAAATTCTTTGAAATGTTCGAAATTCTTTTTATATATGTAAATATAATCTAAATTTTTATGAACCATAGGGACGATGAATATCGATAAAAAAAAATAATTTTAAAAAAAGTTTTATTGTTATTATTGTAAATTTTGAAAAAAAAATCATAAATGGAAAAATAAATGGACCTTGTAATGATTTCATACAGGTGTGCAGATAATCGAAAAAGGGCTTTCAATTGGGAGGTTCAACCATGATAGAAGTGCCACGTTGATATTTTCATTTAGGCCCGAACTGCTGAGCAGGTCCTTTACCAGGTTCATGTGAAGTTTTTCAGATATCTTGGCCTGGTCCAAGAATAAAATTCATTTCAGCCCATATTCATATTGTTTTTTCTTTCTTCCATTTTGTTTAGACTTTAGATTCTCACTGAAGGCAGTTGTCCTCGTTCCATTCACAAATACATGTCGTTGAAGATATTTCATAAAGTTTAAGAAAATAATAATTAGTTTGTTAAAATACTATGATACCCTCATTTACTCTTAATATAATTGTAGTCCTAATAACGTTTAGTTTTAATATAATTCTACATTAATCATCATTACAATTTCTAATGTAAGGATAATATATTGGAAAAAGTTGACAAAATATGCCTCGATTTGTGAGAATCACATCTATTTTAGAATATTTTATTTTTCTTCTAACGACGTCTATCTGTGAATGGAAGGAGTAACTTTCTAATTATGGAAAGTAACTTTCCTTTAGAAGTTTACTTGATCTTAACTGGCACTTTTTCGATTAGCATATTCGACGGAACTTAAATATAATTGAGAATGCTTTGACAAAGTTGAAAGTTGGGATATTGTCGTGCACAATTAAGAGTTATATTTTGTCGACATTTCCATCGAAAACTAAGAAGAGTTTACAAACAAATAAATATATAAGATTCATTCTGAACTTAAAGGGATGTTTGGTAATTCCAATTCTGAGGGTTTATTCGTATATATAAAAGGATTCAAATTTTGATCGATGTTATATTACTAATTTACTTGCACAAAAGGCTCTCTGCTATGAAGTATTTTTTTTCATCTCAACAAAAAGTTGTGCTACATTAAATTTTCTTAGCTCTCTCTCTTTTTTTTCCCCCCCTAATTGAAATAAAAGAAATGACCCCAACCCGTTTCAATACTTCTACAAGGATTTAGTAAGAAGACATTCTTATTTAGTAAGATGACACTATAAAATATTAAAAATCCTACAAATATAAAGTACAAATTATTTTTAACTTTTTGACGGTAGAAGATTATTGAAGTACACCAAGATTACAGAACGGATGAAGTTGTGTCAAACTATAAAATATGCAATTGTTAGGCTAAGCTACAAATCCTCATTCCTGAACAACATAAACTATAAGTCTGTAATATGGTTCAAAACTTCTAATGACTCACGAGCCACGATGCAGTAGTAGTAGTAGTAGTAGTAGTACTTGTGTACATTCCTTCGTAACTTCAAAGCAAAACTTCGAAATAGTTTCTAATGTTTTTTTTTTTTTTTTGTTCGTTTCCTTTTTAATGGAAGTTATTGGAAACAAATTAAGGCCTAAGAGTGCTTGACTGAGTCAGGAGGGGAAAAAAAAAAAGAAGAGAGACATAAAAAGCCAATTAAAGCCTAAATTGAAACCAACAAATCAAATGAAATGCATTGTATTTGTACGGTTGAGTTAGCGTGGAAAATATGATTTTGACTAAATCTATAGTTACAGAGTCAACTTAGGGCCGGTTGGTTTGATTAATTAGTACACAAGTTACCTGAATTAATAATTGGTAAAATGAATATGGAGTAGTTTGTAGTTCTTAAAACTTCTATTACCAACTCTCTGCGGGGATTGGATCTTGGTACCAACTAAAGAGTTTTTAATCACTTTCTTTGAACCTCACTAGTTGGATTAGGAAACACGCCATTGTATTTTATCCATTATGTTGCTTTCAACAAGCTGGTATTAAAACGAAGCCAACAGTTTCTCTTATTAGTATGTCTTACAATATAAAGATATCATAAGTTTGAACAACCTTAAAGTTGGTATTCTCCCCTCCTATTCTTTTGTTGTTCTTTTTTTTTTAAAAAAAAATTACATCCCAGTGGACCCTATTTAAATGTGAGTAATACTCTTTACAACTCTCGATGGGAATCGAATACCAGGAAAGACAGCAACCTAACCACTAGGCTGTCATTCAATTTCCCTCCCTTCCTATTCATGATGTGTAAATTAACATTAAATTTAATTCTAATTTATGTCTTATAAATAAGATCATATGAAGTACTCCTTCCGTCCCGAAATGATTGTCCAGTTGAATTTCTACTTTTAGCTTACATTGTATTAAAAGTAAAAATTCAAATTAGACAATAATTTTGAGACAAATGGAATATTTTCTTTTTTAACAATCTAGTGTCATTCTAGGATTATATCACTAATATATTATTTCTCAATAATTATTTAACTTCACCGTTAGTGATTACTTATATCACTATTACTATATAGTATCCTCAACAAACTTCACCATTTGAGAGGTAAGGAGTATACTATTTTGTTTAAGTGGACAAAAGAAATACACTGCCAATGGAAGAGATGTGGAGAGGCGGTTGTAGCTTGTAGGTGTGAATGCATATAGTACATTAGATTAAATTGGTGTGTATTAAATGTTTGGGAGTTTATGGGAAAACTATGTGGTTACGAGTATGTATTAACTAAGTCAATCTCGATTTTTGAACTAGTACTATATAATAGTCAGATTGGTCAACTACTTGAAGTAGATCGTCCAAATATAGGTAATTGACATTTTAAGGTCGCCGTTAAAGTCAAAACGATGATGGTTTTGCTTTTGACACGTTAAGGTCAAGTCTTCTTTCTAACCTGTTCATCTAACTACCAATGATCATTAAGTAATGGCGATAAAAGAAAAGAGGAAAAACAGAAACAATAGAAGGTGGATCAATATTTCAAAATGATGTTTTGCAAACATTAACAAGTACTACAAAAAAAGGCATAGGTTGATTTATTATTATTATTATTATTATTATTTGCTCTTGTAAAAGGCATCATTTTTATTTGGGGATTATTAATGAAGCCAAATTGTGCCGTACCATCATACATTGAATTGATTGAATAACAAAAAAAGATTGCGATATCTTTCTTTTGATATACTAGTAATTTGTGTGGGTGGTTAGACTTGAATTGTGTATGTGGACAAGAAAAGAATATTTTTGCCAACCGAAAAATACAAATACATGATCTTATGTCCTTTTGCCCCTTCCCTTGAATTATTATGGAGAATAATTTTTTTTTTTCATTGTTTGCGTGTTTCTTGTCAAAAAATATTTTCATTAATTTATTCTCCTTCATTCTTGAATATTATAGGCCTGCTGCTTGTATTTTCGATCGCGCAACTCCAATGGAAAAATAATAATAATAATAATAATAATAATAATAAAAATAAAGAAACACTTTTTCTTAGAACAAATGCAACGGAAGAGGATAAATTGTGGGGCTTACTTCTCCAACTCAGCATAAGTTGGCCCACGTCTAATTACTTTGCATCACCTCCAATGAATTTACCTAAAAATAATAAAAGATGTGGGTCAATTTCTCAATACTTTGTCCCTCTTTTTTCTCAATAATTTCTCAGCAGGAATTCAAAACTAGCCCACAACCACACCACTTTGAAGGAGCTGTTCAAGTAAAAGAAAATAGCAGGGAGAGAAATGAATCAACTCTCTCCAACTGTGAAAGTAAATGGCACAAGTTTTTGGCCACTTACTTCCAGTGAACTTGCTCTTAGCTGTTTGAAATCTAGATAAATTCATAATTTCCATTCTTTTATGAGAGTCATGATTATTCTTTTTGTAATTAGACGAATAACAACTTAATGCTTGGATTGAAACGACAAGATAGAGTGGATTAATGAGATAAAATTGATGATTAAGCACGTACGATCGACAAATAAAACTGCACTATCAGATTACCATCATTATCATCTCATTTTACCATTCTTGTTTTCGAAATCTAGATTCCAATCGAAGTATTCCCACTTTGCATAAAATTAATTTAATTAATTATTCAGAGCGGCTTAATTCTCACACTATTATATACTTGATGCACGATCACAATGATTAATGATATCATACATTATGCTTGGAATAATGGGGAATGAAATTGCATGATTAAGCAATGTCGTGAGACAAAAGTGTCATGTACTGTTTATGTAATTGATGAGATTATATATGTATACTGCAAGCACCTAGTAATTATTGGATTGATATTGATGAATCTATTAATTTGATTTTGTGATCAAATTGTAAGCAAAATGCTGCCGTGCCCCTGATTGATGAACTTCACAACGCTGTTTGTTTTGGTTGGCCTAATCCCTAACATTTAACTAATTTTTAGTTTCTTCAAAGAGTGGACAACCATAATAATTAAAACATTAGTTAATATGAGATATAATAGTACTCCATTTTCTTCAGTTTGACAAGCAACAAATTGGAGGTGGAGGTGGGTGTGAGCCAATTAGGTTTGTTTTAGGGGTTTTGCCTTAGGACCAAAGGAAAATTCTTCTTCTTCTTCTTCCATCTTTTGGAAGAACTTTTCCTTCTGTCAGATTTTTATGATGCGTATTATAATAAATGGATTTATTTTTCCTTTCTTTCCCCCTCAATTTTCTTCCATATCGAGGTTGAAAGTATATTCTGTTATATTTAAGGTAGATGATTTTACCAAAAACATTTCTAGCATCAAGATCAAATTATGAGTGAAATGAAAAAATTATGCATCTTCAAAAAAATGTACAAAAAAGTAACATTTAACATATCTTTCATCATCTCGCTTGCCCTCTTTACATCTACTGCCCTCCTCCCCTCGGCCACCGAAACTGAATTTAATTCACTGCGGTTGATCAGTGAATTGGAGTTGTAATTGCATCGCATTTATTCATATGATTAGTTAAATTCAAAGAAAATGTCTCACTTGTTGAGTCAGGTAGAGAAATTTAAAAATGGTGAGTTGAACTTCATCGATCTTCCGTAAAATTATAAAACCCCTCCAATTTCACCTAAATTACTACTGAGGTGAGAAAAAAAGTTAGCATGGTGATTTTTTATAAGAAAACAAAAGAACCTCCGGTTTCTCAAAAAAAAAAAAAAAAGAAAAAAGAATAACTTCATAGAAAGAAAAAGATGTTAACCATTTTGTTTGAACGACCTGTAGGTTTATGGTTCTAAAGGACTTATTTACAGTAAAGGGTTTGAGATTGGCAATTTTTAATGTATGATCATGCTTCTAATCGGAATCGTTGAACCCAAGATTGGAGAAAAAATATTTATATTTCTTCAAGGAAAAAATATTTGAAATAGTTTTCAAAGGGAAAAATCATGGGGCATGTTTGAGGTTGGGAAAGAGATATAATTATCGATCAAATTTTATACCTTTTAATTTTGGTGACAGACAGGATGGAGGAAGGTTGAGGTTTTGAAGGAAGGTGAAAGATTAAAAGATGATGATAAGTATCTGAATATGGGTATTTTTGTCCTTTCATTTTAAGTTTGTTTTGGATGTTAAATGTTGTTTTGATAGAATTATATGCCTATATTTAATTAGGAAAATGACAAGGATAGTGAAAATATATAGTGAAAAGTTATAGTGACTGAGGTGTGTCCACTTTTTCAGTTAAAATAGTATTATAACCCCTCTATTTTGTAGCCACTTTCCCGTATAAAATTTTTCTTTTTCCCAAAAAATTATATTTTTTATCCTCAATTATAATGTACACATCAGTCACTACAAAATGTCACTATATCTTTTTACTGGCTCTATCACTGCTCAATTAATTAAGTTGTCAAATAACGTGTGTGATATTTTCATAGAATGATTAAATAGTTGGAAAAAGAAAGCATTAAATGAAATTTTTGTCATCTCTAATTTTTTCACACGTTATTCTGACAGTTGAGGTTTTAACAAAAATGAGATAGAACCAACACACTAGAACCAACACACCCACCTGATCCCAAAATCCACCCCCATCAGTTTTGTTTCTTGATTTGTTTTTTTTTTCTCTGATTAAAATTAATTAATAGATTACAGCAGTGAATAATGGTACATTTGCGGATTTCTTTTTTTAGGGGCAGAAGATTCACAGTTGTCACCACGTGGTAACAAATTCATTCTTTTTACTGGGACTCCCCGCATGCGAATCTTTTTTTTCACTTTTTCCTAAAAAGACCAATATCAGCAGTTCTCGTTACGTTTCTTTTTTTTTTTTTTACTTTTTCTTCTTCTCAAAAATAGTTCTCAAAATAACAAAAGGAAAAAAAAAAAGAAAAGATACGGTGTGTAGAAAGGGAGTAAACGTCATATCATCTTGTATATAGAGATAAAATGTGGTCACTATCTCAAAATGTCAACTTCTAAACAACAACTGGAACAAAATATTTTCAGAAAAGAAAGAATTAATTAAATTGCGATCACAAATTTATGAACCAGAAGAAGATTGAGTAAACGTCATATCATCTTGTATATAGAGATAAAACTATTGTGTATGCAATTTTGAACCAAACACTCAACTCAGGTTTTTTTGATTACGACAGCATAACTCATTAGCTGTCATCAGTGTGAGTAATCCCTCGGGCCAAGCCATATGTGAATAATTACGAAAATTGATCCGAGTTTAAGTAGAAGTAGAACCCACCAATCACAACAAAAGGGATGTTTTGCATATGGTTTTACAAATTTTCAATAATGAGCAAGTACACTTTAATTCAATCAAGTTATTAGTAATAAAATAGAGGACTAAGCTAATTATCTTATTAAGAATTGAATGACAGTCTAATGGTTTGGTTACTGTCTTTCCTGGTAATAGATCAGGGATCGATTCTCTAATATACCAAGATTCGATTCCCACTAGAGATTGTAAAAGAACGTTTTACTCACATTTAAGTGAGATCTACTGAAGTGGATTTTTTTGGAAAAAAAAAAAGCTAATTATCTTATATTATAAAAAAGACACACAAAAATTAGTACTCCCTCCATTTTGAAATATATATCATTTTAAGATTTGGTGAATTTTTTTAAATATATGTCGTTTTCATAAATCGAGGCATATTTGACCACTTTTTACCAATATTAATCTTGCATTTGAAATGAAACAGTAGTTATTATGAATTTCTATTGGTTTGTGATGAATTGTATATACAATAAATAAGGGTATTTTTGTATTTTAACTACAATACTTAGTGTTCTTGATTTTGATGATTTTTTTAGAAAGACATATAAAAAAAATGAGGGAAATAACAGGATATCTCTCTTTTCTTATTTTCTTGTTTTGGTGATGTTAATCTCCTTCCCTACACAATTAAATTATGAAAAAAAAAAATTACTCATACAAATTCAGTTTGTCCTTTTGCGAGATGAGGACCAAATACCCAATAATTGTATCGTATTCTTTCCGTTCTAAAATAAGTGTCGTTTTAGCAAAATAGAGATATTTCAAACTAAGTTTCGTTCTTATATTTCAATGCGCTTTTTGTTCAAAGTTTCTAAAATTATCCTCAAAATAATTAATACTAGCGGTTGATATTTTTTTAATGGGGTTGGTTGAGGATATTTAAGTAATTTTATTACCTTATTTAAAAGTTTCTTAAACTATATATAAAGTGTAGAATGGCAATTATTTTGGAATGGAGGGAGCACTAATAATAAAATTATTATGTAGTAATTATTAATTTATAAAAGCCTGTCTAGTTTTTGCTTCAAAGAAACCCCCAAAATGATCATATTTAAATAGTATAAGATCCATAAAATAGCAACAGCACACGTAATGAGAAGAATCAAAACGGCGTCACCTCAAAGGCCACCGCCGACGCTACCTACGGATGGGTCCCATTTCCGCAAAACATCTCACAACGAGGTTGACTAGCGTCACGGCAACCCTCAATCTCACACACACACATGCCCTTCACTGTGGTCCCCACCAAACATCCAGCTGTGTCCTTCTTTTATCAGTCATCGCACGGACCTCAATGTCACCGCCCAGTCAGATTAGCAAAACTTACCCTGCCACTCCCTTCTTCACTCCCACCCACCCACCATTTTTATCAATCTCTTCATCTTATTACTTCTTCTTCTGCTTCACTCTCCGCCATGAAAATTTCTTCTTCAAACCCCACACTGCTTCCACACGGCCCGATTTCCAGCTAAAACCCCTTTTATTTGTTTATCTCCCGGCCGGCCCTTTGAACCCATGTACGAAGAAAATATCTCGAATAAAGCTTGAAGATTCGGTTTTTTTTTTTGTTCCTTTTATTTTTTTGAAAGGGAAGTTAAATTATAGTTCATCACCAGAAAGGATAATGGTGTCTGTGGAGGATTCCCACTCAGGGACTTACTCCCGGACTTACTATTACACGCCTCCTCCGAGTTCTGCTAAGGTTCAGCGCTCCATGGGTCGCTCCATGCGTACTGTTCGGTCCAACTTCTTCCGGGTCGATTCTAAAGGTCCGGAGCGGGAGTTTGATTCCAATTTATCTGAAAATTTGTCTGACTCCGCGATTATGGATATCCGGCTTGGGGAGCTAGCTTTTAGAAGGAACCCCGGCGACGATGCCGACGCGAAGAGCTCCGGCGGTGGTGTTGATGTTGCTGCTGAGGATCTCAAGAAGTACTTGGATTTGTCCAGGTCTTTCGGGAGTGACTTGTCGGCTTACTCCAGTGACATCTCCGGCGAGTTACAGCGGCTTGCAAGTATTCCTGATCCCGGTCCGATGCTTGGCCCGACTGTTGCTGCTTCCGACCCGGAACCTGAACCCTGCCCCGGGTTTCTCCAGAGGGAATCCTTCTCCACGGAAATAATCGAGAGTATATCACCAGAGGATCTCCAACCCACCGTGAAGCTCTGCATCGACGGCCTGAATTCCTCCTCTGTTGCCGTGAAAAGATCAGCGGCAGCTAAATTGCGCCTACTAGCGAAAAATCGGGCCGATAACCGGGCTCTCATAGGTGAAGCCGGAGCAATACCGGCGTTGATACCCCTCCTCCGGTGTACCGACCCAGTGACCCAAGAACACGCCGTCACAGCCCTTCTAAACCTTTCCCTCCACGAACTCAACAAACCCCTCATCACCTCTACCGCTGACTCCGCCTCTGGCGCCGCCGCCCTAAAATCCTTGATATATGTTTTGAAAACTGGGACGGAGATTTCCAAGCAGAACGCTGCCTGCACTTTGCTGAATTTGGCATTAGTCGACGAAAGCAACAAGTTATCAATTGGAGCCTGTGGAGCCATCCCCCATTTAGTGGCCCTTCTTATAAACGGTTCCATCAGGGGAAAGAAGGATGCTTTGACAACTCTCTATAAGCTTTGCTCAGTCAGTCTGAATAAAGAGAGGGCGGTCAACGCCGGGGCTGTGGGACCATTGGTGAATTTGGTTAGTAGTAGTAGTGAGCAGGGAGGCTTGGCTGAGAAGTCTATGGTGGTGTTGAGTAGTTTGGCAGGGATTGAGATGGGTAGGGAAGCAATCGTTGAAGAAGGGGGAATTGGGGCGCTTGTGGAAGCAATTGAGGATAGTTCTGATAAAGGAAAGGAGTTTGCGGTTTTGACATTGTTGCAACTTTGTAGCGACAGTGTGAGGAACAGAGGGTTGTTGGTTAGGGAAGGTGGAATTCCTCCACTCGTGGCCTTGTCTCAGAATGGTACTGCAAAAGCTAAGCACAAGGTGAGGTTTTCTGCATATCTTTTCTTTTATTGTGAATCAAACTTGAATGTTTTTGTGGTGTTTTATTTTAGTGTGTTGTTTATGTGAGATAAGTAAATTCCATCCCTTTACAAACTCAATAACGCTTGTTCCATGAGGTGTAAATACTGAATAAGTTTAAAAGTTGGCTTGGAAGATTGATTAGTATGGGCTACTGGGGCTTACAGGTCAAACATGACAAATTGGTGCCTCTCCTTGAATTAGTTCTTTGCTGAGTGTAATCTGCTTTTGATTTATTGCTTTCAGTTGAGTGTTTAGGGATGTCTATAAATTTGTAATTAATAGGAATATGATTGCTTAATGTGAGGTATTTTGGATGTTGTTTGGCTTGTGTTTTCTACCCTCGAAGCCAGTAACACAGGTATCATGACATGTGGATAATTTGGTGGCATAATTTTACATTATGAAACACCTAAACACTGCCCCAGGGAATACAGAAGCTATATTGAGAATGAAAGAAGTTGCATGACAAATTGTTTTGAGGAATGCAGAACATGAATGAAAATGCATGTAATACTGAATATATGCAGGCTATTGGAATAGAATTTGAAAACAATATATTGTTTTCTCCTTATACGATTGTGGATAAAAGGGTTTGTTCTTTCTCTAGTATGAAAAGCTCTTTGGATATTTGGAATGTTTCGGATGTACATGTAAAATTAGCTAAAGTCCAATTATTCCCTTTCGAGTTCATGATTTGGAAGCTTCAATATCTTCTCAAGTCGAAAAGGGTTATTTCAAGTTAGATTGATGCACTCACTGAAAATTCTCTTCTATTTCCCACCAGAAAGTCAGTGGCTGACCCGGCAATCATTTAAGTATCATTGTGATTATCTCTTTAGTTTGATGGAAATATGTTTATGGAGTTTATGGTTTTTTGCAGGCTGAAAGACTTCTAGAGTACTTAAGAGGATCAAGACATGAAGCTGCTTGTTCTACGCCGTAGAACAGAGGTAACAAAGATGAACGGTTTCTGGCTGTGTACATAGTGAGCAGACGCGTCAATGGTTTGTTGTATAGAGTGGTTACAAGTTTGAGATTATTTATTTTAAGCGTGGTAGAAAAGTCATATTACTAGTAACTAAGCAAGAAGCAGCAACTGACTTTTTTGATGGATGCATATTATTTGGTAGGTTTCTGTAGAGAGAGGGTTTTGTATCCCCTCTTCATTAACTGATTAAATATATTATTATGTCGTTGTGGGTGATAGATCTTGTAATGTATTTGCTGGTTTGAGGTTTTGTTTGTAAAGAATTTGGATTGTGATCCTCTAGAAGTTTTGTTGAGGAAAATATCCGAATTCTGTGAAAACAGAGTAGTAATTACACTACTTCCTGTAATCCATATGATCATGCCGCATATTATTGGCATTTTTCTTTTGCAATTACTGAATTTTAGAGCTGATTGTAACTCTCTGCTTCATGTCTAGCGGCTGTTAATGTTGCAAAACAACATATTCCCCTTTTGGTTATATTACCCATTTTTCTTACTATGAATGACATTGCCTGACAACTTTTCACCGCTAAGATGGACCTAGTTTACCAATTAAGAACACTTTTCTTTTAGTATGATTAAAATCCTTAAGGTCTGTATTCTGCAATCTGCAGTACTCACTACTCATCAAACAGGGGGCAGTTGTTATAATAGATGTTTTTGAAGCAGAAAGGTATTGCTGCAATAGAGTGGGTTTTGAGTTGAAAGTGTAGGTAGGGACCTCTTTAACTTGTTGTAAAGTGCGGGGTTTATTTTTCTTTCCCCTAGTTTAAATGGGAATTGGAGCTTTTCATGAGAGGGGGGGGGGGCGGCAGCATGCATTTAGGATTTAGCATCATTGCATTTTGTGAGCATTAGGCCAAAAGAGATAGAAAGCAAAGCTGGCTTTGCTGGCCACAACAACTAGCCTTAGCATCTAGCACAAGATTTTTGTAGTAGTTTGGTGAATTCATAATACATATGATCTACATCCTTCCTTTCTTTCTTCTGTTTGTGGGGGAAATTGTCTTTATTGTTGGCCTCATTAGCTGGCAATGCCAGTATGTTTTGTCTTTCTGCTAGGATCCTCATCTTATATTACTGTGGCTTTCATATCCTTTTGCCATTTGACCCACCCTTTGACGTTTTCTTGTCTACTCTGATATTTTTTAGGATTTGCTTTCGATTACCACGTGTTTTAGGCATCTTATTCTAAGCTTACTGTTCTCTTCTTTGATTGTTCATTTTTTCTTCTGGTAGCAACTTTTATGTTTGGCTCGTTATATCTCCGAATGCATGTTATGGAATTAATGCGATAAAGGCCGAGTTATTAAAATATTCAAGCTACAATATTATGTCTAGAGGCTGACGTTATAGGACTTTGTTTGGACTCATGATGCCAATTATTTGTGTTTAAGCCTTCAGGCAATGGCATCATTTCTGGTTCCAAGCCATAACAGTCGTGCCTGGAAATTTTCTGGGCTGTTTTATTTAGCCTCACAAACCATGACGAAAACTTGATTTAAGTATTCAGTAAAGACACCGTGATTCCTCTTCTATTACGCTGTTTAGTAAACCACATTTTGAGACTGAATCAAACGGCACATAAGTGAGTGTCATAGGAAATCTTGTGCTCATTTTTTTCAAGTCCATAAACCCATAATCATCATATCAATGACATTCTATGTAAACACATTACAATGTCCCCTATCACACTCTTTTTCTGTTATCACAATGCAAAAAACATTTTGGATTAATTCGTTCTATGCCACAAGCAACAGTGTAATAAAAGGTCATATATGCAGCCGATGCCAAAACTCAAATGGTACTAAGACCAACTTCTTTCTGTTCAGCCTTCATTCTCTCCTCCTCTTGCAATTCTTCAGAGGAACCACCACAACACCATAATAATAACCTTGGCTTGTACCCCTTTTCCAGCATCTTCTCAATATCCTCCAATTGCAGACCTTTTGTTTCTGGCACCAAGAAAAAGATAGCCACAAGGCCGACAAAAGAGAACCCGGCAAAAAGAAGGAAAGTACCCCAGGAACCTATTGCTTCTGTCAAAGTCAGGAATGTCTCACTCACGATTAGATTAGAAACCCAATTGGCAACTGCCGCGATTCCACCCCCAATTCCTCTGTACCTCAAGGGGTATATCTCAGAGTTCACTATCCAAGGGGCAGTTCCCATTCCAGGTGCATATGCGATGATGTATAAACCCAGGAGCAGAACTGCATAGATCCCAAACTTGCTTGGACACCCTTGTGTGTACCATGTACCGTGTTGTTGTCCGCCTTGGCACACGCCTTTCGATGCATCATTTGAAACCAAGCATGCTCCGGCAGCGTACTACGAAGAGCGCAAGGCGAATCAATATCAATGGTGTATCTCAACTATTTTCATTGAGCACTTTTGGTCATTCAACTCTATATACAACATGAAAATGTGTGTGTTTCAACTCATGGCGACCAAAACGAAATCTTTTGCCCCTCAAATGTCACTAGTTTGCGCATACTTTCTTAATTATATCTTTGAATAAATGAAAAACCCAAAACTGATAAAAAACATTGCAAGTTTAATAGGTAGGTAAGTGATTTAATTTAAAGAAACAGTTGCTTGATCAAATGAGTGAAATCGAAATAATTAGGTGACCGGTGAATATCAAGGTCAATATCAATGAATAACTTACTTTGCTTGCTCCACTAGCACAAAATCCACAACCATGCGAGGGTTTCAAGCATGTCATACAATTCCATGATGCCGCATTTGGGGTGGTAATGAACGCATGGCAGGTGGAATTGGAACCAAACCGAACAGATTCAGTGTGACTGACTGGCGGTGCATGAGATGAAGCTTCATTAAACAACACCGAAAGCACAATGAGGCAAGTTATGATCCCGAACATGGACACAATCATTAGACTCCTCCTGCCAAACCTATCAACAAAAGCCATACTAATAATGGTTCCCACACAATTAAGCCCTGAGGTGATTAGGGATAGCGCCAATGCCGTTGAATTTGAGGCGAAGCCAGCTAGTTGGACAATGGTTGGACTGTAGTACATCACTGTGTTGATGCCAACAAACTGTTGAGCCACTTGAACTGTGACCCCGGCGTAGAGTCCCCTGCGAACCACAATGTTGCTTATGGCGCCTTTGAGCCTAGATAGAAAGTTTTCTCCAGTGGATTTTAGCTCAGCTTCTTCGGCTTCCACTGATGTTTGCAATGCTTGCATCTCCTGCTCCACTTCGTTTGGTGGATATATCTTCTCCAGGATAGCTCTGGCTTCTTTTACTTTGCTCTGATAACGAGTTCATCATTTCCAATTACTAATCATAATTATGCCAGTCGAAATTCAAGTTGTGTTTAGGTAAGTAGTACTAGTTCATAAACAGTGAACACGCCTGATCTAACGTGCATGTAGTTGTTCAAACTGAACTCCCCAAACTTCAATTCGACCGTCCAATAGTAGTAGTATGGTATGACAAGTTCATACAGCATCAGAAATTGTTACTATTAAAATATAAGGTTGTTGATGTTTACCTTTCTGTAAAGCCATCTAGGAGACTCAGGAAGGAAAAACATCAACAGAAACTGAACAACAGCAGGAATCCCTGCAACTCCAAGCATCCAGCGCCAAGTCCCTGGCGCCTGGAGTAACACATCATGAGCCATCCCATTTTAAATAATAATAACTTCTAAACCCTATCGTAAAAGATTTGATTTTGAACAACCTTCTATAACATTTATTACCTTGGTGAATCCATAATTGATTAGGTAAGCTAAGAACTGACCACCAGTGATTAGCAACCCATTAGTACTAACCAAAGCACCTCTAATTCTAGCAGGTGATGCTTCAGATATGTAAAGTGGAGCTGTCATTGAAGCCATTCCAACACCAAAACCAACAAACAATCTTCCCAAAATGATCATCCACGGTGCAACTGATCCTGCCATGATCACCGCCCCGGCAAAGAACAATATATCAGCAAGAAGGATGGATTTTTTTCTACCATACTTGTCGTTTAACCACCCTCCAAGTCCAGCACCAATGATGGCCCCTGCCACTGCTGTGCTCACAATAGTTTCCTTGGTACATGATACAAGTCAAGCACGTTATGTATAGTCCGGTAGAAACAGTCAGAAAGAAGATAATAGAAGGAGAAGTGGAAGAAAGATTGGGCTTACTCTAAGCCAAGTGTGCCTTTGAACAGACTGGAAATCATCCCTGATGTAAAGCAAGGCACCTGAAATTACACCTGCGGAATCCCCCACACAACAACACAAATTGAAGAAATGAATGTTTTGAAATAATTTTTTAAAAATGGAACAAAAAAAGAAAAAAAAAGAAGAGGCATGCAGAGTAGACTCCCTCATTTCATCACAAATTACAAACAAGACATGAATGTTTGCAGGGAAAAAAAAAGAAAAAAGATTTGAACAGTGAAAAAGAAAATGAACCAGTGTCATATCCAAAGAGAAGGCCTCCAATTCCAGCAGACAAAGCCAGTCTCATAATGTAAGGAGTCTTCCATATTGTCCTCCAGCATTCTGTGAACTCTGTTTTGTCTCCATGTCCAACCCCTCCTTCCATCTTTCAAGTAAGATCCTTTCCAATTTGTTTGAACACAGATAGGAAGTAATTAAGATTCAAACCTACCATCAAAGAAACAGAACATGGGAGACTTCTAAGTGCCACAAAACAAGAAGACTGATTGAAACACTCGTTTACCTTACTTAACAATCAGTAGACAGAAGAACCAACAGTAGCTCACCTCCTCAGAGAGATGTGATGATCAACCATCAATGATTTTAGTAATCTTTTCTGTGTTTTTTCCATCAAAAAACACAACAACAGACTGCTTATAAATTAGTAGTACTTCTCCTCTTCCTCCTGTATATAAGGCCGGGAATATTTATATTTGTCACCCTTGATCTGTTACACACAGAAATGAACATTTGTTTTACATCAAAGCAAAAAAAAGAAAAAAAAAAAAGAAGGGGAAATAGAAAATGAAAAAATTTTCAAACTAGGAAGTCCACCTCAAGGACCAAGCTGCCGTGAGGATTCCATCAAACGTCAAGACAATGACAATAAAGTTAGACATTATCTTTTCTTGACTAAACAAAATTTAGGGAATACTTTGGCCTTATACTATGAAAATCCAAAATACCTTTCAATGTCAATCTGTAACCACTTCTTCTTCGGAAAATCGGCCATTTTGGTTTTAGACATTGTTTGCACTGAAATAGGAAGATAGTACTTCCTCAAATTATTGTCGGGTTTAATTTGTATTACACATGAATTTTCAAATTATATATCATTTTGAGACGGAGGGAGTAATTATTATATTAATCTTTTTCTAATTTTTTTATGCTATTTTTTTTCTTTTTGAAAATAATAATAACCAAACAATTAGTTTAAATTACTGTATTACTCCTTTTGGTCCTTTTTTTTTTTAAAAAAAAATTCACCTCAATGAACCTCACTTAAATGTGGGTCAAATCCCCTACAAACCCCCGGTGAAAATTGAACTCAGAAAATACAACACTCTAACCACTAGACTGTTATTCAATTTCCTACTCCTTTTGGTCTTTATTATAAATTATTTTGATTTTTCTAAATTTTATTTATCGTGATTTTCTAATTAGAAATGAAATCTTAAAAATGTTTTATATTATCTCAGTCCCAAAAAAATTCACATTAAGTTTTGAGAAAATAATACAAATTTAAAAACTTAATGTATACTATTTTTTTAAGACGGAGAATTACTAATTATAAAAACACAGCAAATATAAAAATATATTTTTTAAATTATATTTTTAATTAAATAAATACAAAAAATAAAATTTAAAAATCAAAATATTTTATAATAAAGACCCCCGAATACTATTTTAGAAGATGATAAACTATTAAGCAGCAGAAATAGGAAGGCGTTTGTTTGATGCATTGTTGACACGTTGAAGGGACCATGCAAATTTTCTGCCAATTTTGTACGGGGGATATAATAGTATAGCCACTTACCCATATGACCACACTGTGAATAACAACAGTTAACATTACATTAAAAAAAAAAAACAAAAAAAACCCCTCATTTTGTATGCGTAAGACACTATCTTATTGACTTGAAATTAATCACTAGTTCCGATTTTCCAAAAAGAAAATATAAAAAATTAATAGTTACGAAAGTTGTATTTTTAGATTTTTTTTTTCCATGTGTATTTTTAGATATTATTTTTCTATTAAAAATGTTAAAAATATATTGTAATTAGACAGATATTAATAAAATATTCTGAAAAATCCACTAAAAAAGCCAAACAAAGCAAACATTCAATGTTGACTAATCACGTAGTAGTCCAACCCCAAACACCTAAAAATTCCTTGGCCCTTGTACAAAGATATCACTATTCTCTTTGTTTTGAAGACAAGTGTCAGATTTAACACTCTACTTAGGAAACTAAATCGTATTTTAACTTAACTTTCATGCTAATTTTGACTTGTCTTTGCAATATTTTCTTTTCCCAGTTTAAAATTTCATATTAAATATAATCTTATTACTAAAAATTTAGAATTTAAACTGAATAATTATTTCGGGACGAAATAAAAATATAGAACAAGTAACTATATCTATCCATCACATCAAACTACAATTTTTTTTTTTTTTTTTTGCATCAAAAACTACAATTTCTTTTCAAAACAAAAGAAAAAAGAAAAAGGAGTAGATTGAAAGAAAAATCGCGATCTAGTCATAAAGATGAAACATTCCTCCCGGCTTCCGGCTATGTAATTCAACAAGAATATTAGTAGCTAATGGAGGCAAGTTATCTAATTCTCCCTTTTCTCAATTAAGTTAGCTTTTGGAAATAATTAGTGAATTAGGGGTAGTTCCTATACCTGTTGATGTGAGTTGCAAACCTTTGCAAAGGTTCGTCGACCCTCGAAAGTTTGAAATCAAAGACAGCTTTGTTACAATTCACACACATGAGCCGAATCAAATTGTTTGTTTGTAAGAACTTCTCGCAGTTATTGTTTCTATGAATTGATTTTTACATGTTAAAGATGAAAATGATTTGGCACCTAAAATGATAATGAACGAACACAATCAATACGTATAATTTTACCAAAGACTTTAGCACATTTTCCTTCCCTTTCTCTGATGTAAGACGACCCTGTTAGCTAAATTGAGGGAGGGAGGAGGCATATCTCAAGTACTATAACTTCAATAGGAGCCTTACACATTTTTTTTTTTTTTTCGTGGTTGGAACAACAGAATGACGTAAAATGATAGCTAGTTTTGAATTACTACTACGTACATAAAGTAAAATTAAATTGGATAACTACTTGCACCTCACCTCATGCAATAAACCTTTCTCACTTTCTAGTTTCTACACCCATCCATGTTGTTCTTCACCAAATAACTCTTCACGTCTCATCAAAATAATTCACATTATAAATTTTATAAAAGACCAATAATTTTATGGCCGTTATTATTAAAATTAGTTTCTCTTTTTGGAAATTCAATCAATATCCATCAACACCTCATCTCACCCTAAAAAAGGAATAAATGATTCCGTATGATTTGTGTATGAATATCTGTAACTCAACTCCAGCCAAAATCGATTTGTCCAGTCCCATATATCTTAGTACATATACTTTTCTTCCTTACGTTCATAATTAGTTTTGTTTGTTGAATTGATATGCATTAATAGGGAGGTAGGAAAGTGATTCTTTCTGCTTTTTAAAGGGTCCAAGTTTTTGGCTGCAGGAGAACTTGACACCATATACATCCACGTACGTTTCCAAGTTCATTTGTCCTAACTAAAAACATTTATCATCCATCAATATTCATCTTTCTTTCTCCTATTCTGTAGAAACTTCCCTTCTCTCCTGCTTCTCTGTTCCTTTTTCTTTATGATGGAGCATTTCTTTTTGATGTCCTATGGTGGAATGCAGGAAAGCAGCTTAACATGGATGCTCAACCATGCAATATTAGGTTATTGTTCTCTCGGTAATGATATTTTAGTTTACTTTGATTACACATGCATACACACACCCTCACATCACACTTTGATCGTATAAGGCAATTTTGATCGACCATAATCATCATGGAAACCAAAAATGGCATTCCTCGTAGATATTATGAATCTGGGCCCTCCATAGTTATAGAATTTTAAGCATTTTTTTTCCAAAATGATTTGTCTTAAAATAAAAATGAGCTCATACATTTCAAGAAAGAATTTGTGATTCAAATTGGTCATTTCAAGAAAGGATTAAAGTACGGTACATTTCAAGAAAGGATTTTGTAATTTGGACTGATGGATATTGGGCTAACCCAACCAACGAGATGTACCTAAATAGAAAATTGTAATTTGGATTGATTGATATTGGGCTAACCCAACCAACGAGCTGTACCTAAAAACAAAAAACTATCTTGTCAAGAATGGGATTCGAACCCATGCCCTTTCGGACCAGTACCTGAAACTGGCGCCTTAGACCAACTCGGCCATCTTGACTCATGTAATAATGATTCAACAATAATGCTCATATACTTTCATGTTGATCCTCCTCCACTCTTGTTGAGTTTTGAGATTTGTAAAAAAGAAACAAAAAAATTATTTTTGAATTTTTTAAATTATTTTACCAAAGCAATTATTTTTAATATTTTGATAATTTTTTATTAATACAATATTTCATTATTATTATTATTATAAAGTACGGTTTTTAAGATTTTTTTAAAATTAAAAATATAAAGTACCAAAAACACCCTTATCGACTTTATTGAGAATTCTTGACTCAAGAATGGGATTTGAACCCCTGTCTCTTCGTACGTGAAACTAGGGGTGTGTACGGGTTGGTTCAAACGGTCAATTCGGACAGCGATTTGGTTTTTGGATTGGTTTCAAAACTTTATTTTGAAACCGGCAGCAGTTTCAAAATTTAGAAACCGGAAAGAATGGTTTGATTCACGGTTTCATATTCAAAATCCGTTTGCTAAACCGGACCGGACCGGACCGTTTCGTTTGTAATACTTATTATATATATTATATACATTATAGAATTCATATATATGTAGAAATGTGTTATATTAGTTATAAGTTGTAACATAGTAGACTTGGTTAAGTCAATACCATGTTTAATCATAGCTTCTAGTTTTGATTCCCTTAAACCTTTCTTCTTGGGTTGTTTTTCTACCTTTTTTTTTATATATATATTTTGGAATTGTTGTTTCTTAAATTATAAAACCAAAATCTACCTGAACTAAGTAAGAACCCTAATATATTCAAAGTTGTCGACCGGTAGTTTTTTGCATGTATTAAATTGAAATTAGTAGAAAAATTCTATGTTTTGGTGCAAGATTTGGTGAGAGCAAAACCGTGAAACCGTAAAAAACCAGACCGTTGATTACGGATTGGTTTGGTCTGGTTTCTAAATGCAGAATGGGTTGGTTTTGGATTCAAAAATCTCCAACCGTTCTGATGGTTTAGTTTACGGTTTAGACTAAAAATCGGACCAGCCGGACCGTGCACACCCCTACGTGAAACTGGCACCTTAGACCAACTCGACTATTTTGGCTCTTTATTTAACATACAAAATAATATACATATAATTTTATCATATTTACAAACTAGACTTCAAATTCAACTCCTTCTATCCGAAAAAAAGGTCTACATCGAGTTTTGAGGTATATAAAAAAATAAAAATTTCCATAAAGCTTAACCACTGTTCCTTGCTCTTTGAATTTGGTTCTCTGAATTTAATTTGCACCCAATAGCATTTAGCTGATAATGGAATTTATTTATGTTGGAAAAAAAGTTATATACGTTGTACATCACAAAAAAATAAATAAAAAAATAGACCCCAATGTTTTTGCTCCAAGAATGCAGGATAAAGGTAATAATTTTAATAAATGTGTAAATGTCAGCATTTACCTCCCTGCCCCAATAATCCAAACTATCACAGCTATGGATAGCAATATTGGTGAAGTGAGGCCAAAGAAGTCGAAAATGCAATTACTAATTGCTAAGACAATTAACCAAGAGACGGTTCCAATGTTACCGAGGAGGTCCATTAATTTTAATAGTTGCTGGTGCAATAGCTATCATCTGAGGGGTCTCAAACTCAAATCTCTGTCACGAGTCCTATGATCTCTCCCTCCAACAACAAAAAATCATAAAAATAGTGAAGAACTGCTTTCTGTGGTACTGTAATAAAAACCGCCTCAAAGCAATCAAGACCCTTTACGCCGTACTTATTGCCTGTGTCTACACCATTATGGTGAAATGTAGAAGTTCAGTGAAATTTATCCGTTGTGGTTGTCCACCCCATTTCATGCTCATCCTCAGGAGTCTTTATCTCTACGCGGCTAAAGCTTTGATCACTGATTCTGTAGGCACTGTCCATGGTCCGCTACGCCGTTTTGTTATGACTTCCTTTTTTTTGCCGGTTTTTTCCTGATGGTTATCCGACTGGTGTATTTACTGCACCGTATTACCACCTCGTTCATCAGTTTGTTCGGTTTTGAAGACCAGTCCTTCGAAATACTGCTTCTTCTGAATACTATTTTCGTGTAAAAAATAGATATCTATCTAAGAGTGTCATAAAGACGCTAAACTATCCCCATAAATTTATATTTTGTTTATTGCATGAATGTTTATTATCCTACCTTACTATATGTCATTTAGTGTATAAAATAGCATATCACCATTCTTTGTGACCTTACACGATTAGTGAAAAAGTCACGGAAAATTCTTGTACAAAACATGTGCAAATTACGTGTAAATTACACTACAAGAAAGATCGTTTATTAAAACATTTTAAAATGTAATAGTATTTGCATGTGATATTTTATTCAATTACTATAATACTTTCAAATGTAGTGTAAGTACCGTTAGTAATAGATCTTCTACATATAAAGACATCTATAAATGTCACAATGGTCGTTCAAAATGTCATCATAAGATCGTATTTATTACAATATAAGAGCAGTAGTTTAATTAATATAATATGACATTTAACCAGGGTTTTGTTGACTTAACCAGGGTTGATCCAAACAGTCCGGACTTTGGAGTGTTAATTTCTTTTCAATTGCTTTAATCTCATCATCTCTTTCATATCCCCTCGAAAAGAAAAGAAAACAAAAAATGTACTACAGATATTTATTTTTCTAAAAATAAATCTTCACATTATATGTATATTTTTTAAAAGAATAATTTTCATCCATAACTTTCAATGGTATAACCTCAAGAATCAAGATAAGTTTTGCACTCATTGAAAAGGTTTCAATATGCATTTTTGCAGTTTCTTATGGATGTAACTCAATCTATTTGAAGGTAACACCTAGTAAACCAAAAAAAAACAAAAAACAAAGGTCATAACTCAGTCTATTTGCTCAACGTTCTGGTCTAGCATTCTGAGGGAATAATATAATGCTTACCATATTATTAAGATTTATAAGCGACACCTTAAGGCTTATTAAGCAGAAGATTCTAACATCATTTTTTTTAATTTTAATTTTCATTATTATTTTATTTTTTGCGTCTTCGGGTTTAATATAGGATTTCATGCCCAATTTTCCTAAGCAGACAAGGCCCAATCGTTCGGAGACCCAAATTGACATCCTTTCTTATTTTTTATTCTCTTTTGTTTTGGTGATTTTTTTTCCACCTTTTTGTTTATTTATATTTATATAATAATGAAATCAACTAGTAGAATTAAAAGAGAAAATAAATAAATCAAAATCTAGCTTTGTCGTTATTACCTCTGTTTCTCTTCTCTTCCATCTCTCTCCCCACTTCAAATTTTTTTTTTCTCCAGTTTTCCCCAACTTTGAAACCTAAACCTTTTCTTCCCCCCCAGATTAGGCGCAGAACCACCAGCGGAAAATCCCATCTTTTTTACTATCTGCTCACACGATTTCAAGGTTTGGGACAGCCCATTTTGAGAATACCATCGTTTTGTACCTTGTAAGAAGATAGAGGAAGAAAAAACCTTGATCTTCTGCATTTTCGGCGTTGTTTCTTTAAGATTTGGCCACAAATTCGTGGAAGAAGATAGGGGAGTTGTAAGGGAAGGTTAACGAAGTGGGTATGTACCCCCTCTGTCTCTTTGTGGGGTTATTGGATGCTCAATGCTTGTAATTCAGCTGGATCATTGCTTTCATTCAGATTTCCTTGCGTTGAATTTCGATCAAAGATTGTATCTTTATGTGCCTTTTATTTATTTTGTTCTTGGCGTGTACCATTTGTTTAATGTTTGTATAATGTGGGTAATGGTCAATTAGGGGAGTGGGGATTTGTTTTGGGTTGTGATCTTACCGATGGGAGAGTCCATTTTTCTTGAAGTTCTCATATAATGTCATAGTAGAGTGTTAAGTAGAAACTGGGGAACTGTGTGTATACTTGTTACAGTAAACTTTGTTCTGTGTAATTATCATGAATTAGTTAAATCGTGTGATTCCTGCTTCCTTTAGTGAGGTTCTATTGTTGGAGAAGTACTACACAAGAGGTTGCAGATGATATTATGATTGTGGTTTTATATTTCTATGGGTGGGCCTCGGTTCTGGAGCCGTGCTTTGTTGTTATGATCTGAAAGGAGGGTTTCCTGTGAATATGAATTGCTATAGTAAACAGTAGAAGGAATGTGAAAGATCATGGATTGTTGATACAAATTTACAACTTGTTTGATTGTGGAGTTGTATTATACTATTTTTAGCTTTGGTCACCAGAAGATTTTTTTTGAAGTTTGATGTGTGTTACATATTAAAAGTGCAGTTTCATTTTTGTCTGAGAAGTCACATTTCTATGAAGAAAAAGTTGAAAAAGTTTCTTGTAAATCCTTGAATAATTCACTTAACTTTGTACATTCAAACCGTTTAAATTTGTTTCTTTGCTGCTTCTAGCATAGTTGTTGGCTAAACTTTCTTGTGCAAGCTCTTCTTCATTCAAATTAGTTGTTGGGCTGTCAAAAGATTTGTCTAGTTTAATTTTGTAGCTGTCCTTAGCTCATGAACAAGTCTTGCCATTTAATGCCTAGTACTCTTGCTAACATTTCCTTAGTCCGGCAATCAGAGATTCTCATTAGTCGTAAATATGATACTACTGTGGTATCATCTATTAATTTCTTCTGAAGTTAATAGATGTTAGACTCCCGGAGCTAATTTTTTTGTTCTGAGCTTTTTTAACTATATAAGTAAGGGTGTTGTGGAATCATGTACAAGTTACATGTGATAAAAGTTGAACTTTTGGAAGGTAGGGGTTGTACTTTTAAGAAAGGATGGCTCTTTGAATGTATACTTGTCCATAGCTTCCTTCTTTTTTTTTTGTTTGATGGTATCTGTGATGTCAGGAACCTAGTTTAACCACTTTGCTTCTGTTACAAGAAACTCGGTTTCTTTATGGAACTTCTGATTTTTCTCATACATATTGCAGGTACTGAGTTGGCCAATCTTGTTTATGTTCAATCCTATATTCCTTTCTTGCTCCCTGGAACAGCCCTAGACATGCCTGCCCTTCCTTGGAAGTTTTCTACTGTGGTGATCCGGCATCAGGGTTTTAGGTTCTAAATCAGGCTTTTCTTTTTGTTTTATAAGAAAACATCAAAATGGCTTCTTAGTGCATGCCATCAGGGGCTAAAAAAATGGCTTTCTATTCAGAGGAGGGACAAACTGAGGATTACCTTTTCAAGATTGTCTTAATAGGTGATTCTGCCGTTGGGAAATCAAACTTGCTTGCTAGATTTGCTAGAGATGAGTTTTATCCTAATTCAAAATCGACCATAGGAGTAGAATTCCAGACACAGAAGGTGGAAATCAATGGGAAAGAAGTCAAGGCACAGATCTGGGATACTGCCGGGCAGGAGCGATTTAGGGCTGTTACCTCTGCATATTACCGAGGTGCCGTGGGAGCTCTTCTGGTGTACGATATCAGTAGGCGACAGACATTTGATAGTATCGGAAGATGGCTAAATGAGCTCCACAGTAAGCAATATCTGTCTTCATTTTGCTAGTTGTTGATTTCTGGCATAAGCTTTAGTTGATGTGCTCAGGATCTATGTGATATATAACCTGTAATAATTCCTTATAGCTATTTATTTCTATTGGGAAACATTTGCTAGATTGGATCTTCTATGTGACCATTTATTTGGTGTTTGTTAGAAAATAATAAGGGTCAACTTATATTGTTCTACTATTTAGTTTTGGGTCAATTATGCTGCATAGTTTATATATAATATTTCCATTCTTTTCACTTAATTGCGACTATGATATATGAAGGGTCCAATTAAGGTGAGAACAAAAATTATGTGAATTTGAATTCAAAGAAAAACAGTTTGATCATATGTCGAACCCCTTTCAATTTTCTGTAAGGCAATGTAACTTGATCATGTTAAAGGCTTTTTTGTCTTTCTAATAGCCCTTTGTTGACAATGTTATTCTGAATCCTACATTTTTCTTTTTTCTAGAACACCAAACTGCTGAATAATTATGGGAAGGGTAGAAGTATCAGGATAGCTAAAAAAGTAGTAGCTTCCAGAGCTAGTCTGCCATTCAAACTTTAGTTGTAAAAAAAAAAAGGTGAAGGTGGATTGTGTGAGGATAATACTGTTCAAATGACAAGAATCAGGTCTGCATGTTTTCTCTGGGAACATCATCCGGAAACTACTCTTGTTGACACTTTAGCATTCCTGCATTTACGCGAAAATTTTCTTTTGCCTCAAAATCTAAGATCGAAATGTTAATAGTTGGTATCCAGCTTATTTAGAAGTGTTCTTGAGCAATTTGATGAGTTGTTGTTTGCTTTGTTGAACAGCACACTCGGACATGAATGTTGTGACGATATTAGTTGGAAACAAATCTGACCTCAAAGATGCCAGGGAGGTATCAACTGCCGAAGGGAAGTCCTTAGCAGAAGCGCAGGGTCTTTTCTTCATCGAAACTTCTGCACTGGACTCATCTAACGTCGCAGCTGCATTTCAGACAGTTGTGAGGGAGATATATAATATACTGAGCCGAAAAGTCATTCAATCCCAAGAGCTGAAGCAAAAGGATGGCGGCAGCTGGATGGGTAACGGAAAGACTGTCGTATTGCAGGCCAATGGGAATGAAGAAGCCGAGGAGCAAGTGAAAAAAGGTTGGTGTTGTTCCACGTGAAAGGTCATCGTTCGTTACGGGTAACTGTAAAAAAGGCATTTGATCTCTTCCTCAACATGTTGCATTGCGTGTCCTCGGTTTCTTTCTTCGGGGACTTTCCGACACTTGCATTGATTTCGTTACTTTCCTTGATGGATTTGTAAACCCTATTTTCTTTGCTTTAGCAGTGGCAAGGGAAATATTGGCTTTTGATTCTTGGTTTACAAAGTGGGAGTCTGGTACAAGAAAGTGTAAATGACCTGAGAGGGGGATAAGGTTTTGTAATATTTTTTTTTTTCCCTTTAATTTGTCTTTTTGGTCACCCTAACTTTTCTTCTGCACCGGAGGCCGTTCCTGGTTTTGACTTCTTTTTTTTCTTTTTGTAGATTGGTTAAGTACTGTACTTGTGGTTTTTTGATACAATAACGTTGTTCTCCACGATGAGTTCCTTCTGAGTTTAGGAGAGAGAGATACATCATTCAATATTGTGTTGAGTGACGGCATCATTCAGGCTGGTGATCCTTTGATAACAGAAAAATTGCCTAATCTCATCTGACTCTTATAGGAATGGTGATGAATGGTGATCATCAATGTGTTTGTTTTTTTTTTGGAAAAGTTTTCATTCTTTTACCTTTCTTTCTGGTAAGCAAAGTTTTCGTTTTTCCATTAAAAGGTGGGAAAGTTGAATTGAAATGTAGAAGATGTAATATTGAAAATATGACAATATTAATTATTAATTTATTTTTTTTCCCCAAAAGAACAAACAACAGCCTGGGGCAGATGTCTCACGTGCACATTACCACCAAACATAATCAAGAAAGAGATGTCAATGCAAATGAGGAAGTGACAGATATTCATACAGAGTCAATGCTCATAATTACTGTTTTAATTAGAAAAAGATGAGCACCACTAATTTTATAGAGGCCACCATCTTATCAAAGGTAACATCATTCTATATATTTATTTATTTTTAATGTTTTTTTAGGAGTTTCTGAAAATAAAATAAAGAATATAGAAAGGATAGGAAAAGGACCGGGCAGCAAGCAAGGGGATGTGATTGTGACAAAGAATAACAAATGATTTGAAAGGATGTATAAAAAACAAACCAAGAAGAAGTGGTATGAAAAAAAATAAAAAACAGAAGCATGTGGAAATGGGAGGAACGGGGCTTCTCTCTCAAATCGATACTCATTTCATTGCAAAAACAGGTACAAAAATTCACACCAAGCTATTACAAAACGCTCTATCTAACTCTTCACTCTTCCACAGAACACAAGATTTTGCAAAATTGGATTTGTTATCCACCCAGAACTGCCCACATACATATTCACCCATAAACACTTCAACCTCACTCACATTTATTTGGTACTACTCCTCTATCACGTAAAAATAATTTATATAATAAAACCACAAATTATACTTTTTCTGTCTCCAAAAATTACAATTGCATTAAAATAAAATTTATAAATTATGATGTGGAACGGAGATAGTAATTTATTTTATTGTCCTTTAGCAAAGAAATTGGTTTACATTGAAATGATAAATGTACAAGACAAATTTAACCAAGTGAAGAAAAACTGAAAAATTGCCCTCGATGTGTGTTTCCGAACCTCCCGGTATATATATATGACACCATAACATAGAGAAAAGTTGGGAACTCATTTGAAAGAATTTGGAAAATTGAAACTTAATAGAACATTTCTTTTGCTATTTTTGTTCTTCTAATCATTTGGCCCAATAAAGTAAATAATAAATAAATAAATGTGAAAATGGGAAATGTCAGCAGAGGTCCTGTCCCGAGTATGGATGGATGGATATTCAGTGGGCCATTTCAGCTGATCCGATAAGGCTTCAAACTTATGTTGTAATATAAAGAGGACTGTATTGTGTCTTTTTGATCTTTTCTTTTTTATTTTTATTATTATTATTTTTAAAAAAAGAATTATTTCTCACCTCATGACTTATTTACATACTGTATTTCACTTAATAAACGCACCCCCCCCCCCTGATTTGCAAGCCTTTTCAGCTGAATGGTTTCCCCTTGTGCCACGAGTATTAAAACAAACATGTATAACAACAGTGGAATTGCATTTGTAAAAAACGAATTGCATTTGTAATAATTATTCTTCAAGAAAATAAGCTCAATCATCCTCTGCAATGATACTCATTCTCTACTAAATGAACCAAGTTTTTCTTACAAGTTTCCAAATACTCATACCCTGAGAGGTGGGTAAGCAGTAAATCCTAATAACAACAGGGAGGGACTCAAGACAAAAATAATATTAAAAAAAAAAAAAAAACACCAGAGATTTTATCGAAATATTACAGCAGCAAATGGGATGTGGGGAGAAAAAAAAAAGAATGTTGTCGGTAAATGGAAAAATCTGCGCCTTTTTTACGTCCTCACCATGCCACTACAGATGCATGACACAACAGTTTCTTTGTCTGTATATCCCGCAATCCAATTTTACAACTCAACCAAAATGACCTAGTAAGATAACCAAAACCTATAAAATATTGGAAGAAAACTCAAATTGTTTTTTACTTTTTTGTTTGCAAATCTTACACAACCAAGTCCCTTGCAGAATGCTCATCTTGAGGTGTTGTCCTATAGAAAACAAGAACCAGTAGTAGTAGGGGGTTATACTTCCAACTCGAACCTAACTAATGCGCCTGCCAGTAACACCAAGATGTATTCCCTCCACAGAAACAAGCTAATCCACCTTTCTGCCATGGCAGTTCAGAAACTTCACCTACAACTTAATAAAGTCTTCCATATTGAATGTCTAGGCAGCAATACCTGAACACATATGAAATGCACATAAATGATCATACAGAAAAATGTAGAAAGACTAACACACTGCTACGGAAAAAAAAACAGATGTGTTTGCACACAAATCAACACAAGTTATTGCGGCTGCAGGCTACAATATATAACAAACCATCGGGACTAAAATAATAGAGCAGGCAAGTTCAAATATGCAATAGACAATCAATTTCCCACTATTACCCAATCAAAAACAGTGAAAAGTTTACTCCTTAGTAATTACATGTTAATATAAGTGTGTCCCATATAATTATTGATGATGGCAAACCCAAAAACAATTGTCGGGAAAGTGAAACAAATAATTTTGTTTATTCTCTACTTGGTAAATGTTTATTACAAATTTGCAGAGTGAAAGATCATTCATTTCCAAACAAACTCTGTTTTACATATCATGAAGAGATGCAATAAAGCCACCAGATGACTTAAATATGGCTGTCCACGCAGAAAAGGTGAATGTGAAGCTCGACTTAGTTTCTCAATCAATTTTGACTCATGGAACTGCACCAGTATCACCACGGTTCACTTTAAACTCAATCACAATCATGGCATGCAACGAATATAGGAGGCACGGAAAAGGAATCACTAAAGACTTCACTATAGGAGATTTCTAAATATTCCCCCGTGAAGCATTTTTGTGTAAGCACAACATGATTATGTTCCAGTCCAGAAGCCAGGCACATTGGAAATAGCAAGTAAACAAATTCCCATGATAATGACCTAACATTTATAGATTCATACATCGACGGTAGAGCATCTTCAGCACTTTTGCTCAATTTTAAAAACAGCCTCTTACATTTATAATGCACTCCTTTACATTCCCAGTTTTACTAGTTTCATTTTCTAGACAAACTTAAAAACCAAAAGACCAAAAAAAAAAAAAAACCAGGTAAAGTGAACTCACAACTTTCATGAGGAAAATTGTGAAATACAAACTATTGCATCTGCTAACTCACAACTTCTGTTCCTCCATCCCAAACCAATGGCACTAACAGAAGTAAATAAAAAGAAAAATGCAAGACTTTCATTGTAATAACAACCAGACTAATAGGCAAGTGTGCTTCTATACCAAGGAAAAACACCCAGGGGAAAAGTAGAGGAAAAAAGTAACCCTAATAAAATCTAAGCTCAAACAAGTAACTAGGTGAAAGAATTTTGAACTGAGCACTTGTACGAATTTCTTGTCCGAGAAATTAAAAAAAATTAAAAAAAATAAAAAAACCCAGAAACCACTGAACATAGACTTCTTAGTTCCTCAATCACCATATTGAACTAATTACCATCTAGAAAGCAAAGCAGATAGTACCACACTAAAAATAATTGAAGCCGAAGTTAGAAGATGAAAAGAAAAAGAAAGAACTGTTACCTCTATTAGTTCTATTGGCAACACTGTAACCACCAACATAACCAACTGAGCTATTTGGTGTAACATTAGAAGTGGCATCCCCAAGTCTATAACTAAAATTTCCAGTGTTTGCTACATCAGGAGAAGATGATGACTGCCAAGTTGGGTCATCATAAACAGAATTCCTGCCATATAAGTTACCAAAACCCATATTATCACGGGAATCACTTCTAGAAGCATATGAAGAAGGCATAGCATCCATGTTGCTGCTCCCACTGACTTTTCCATAACCAACTCCCCCAGCCATGAAACTATCATCACCATTTCCATAATTGCTGCCATAAGAAGCACTTCCTCCACCTTGACCGGAGCCATGAGAAGAACCCCATAATGCTCCGATATTCCCAAAAGCACCTAACAACTCTGAAGTCCCATTTCCAGTTCCGATAAAATCATTGGGATTAGCAGATTTTGTATCATAATTCATGCTTCCATTACCCCACATGTTTCGACCATTTGAGTTCGCCAGTGAACCACTCCCACCAATGCCGACACCATATCCCACCGGACTGTTAAACCTGTTTGAATAGGCATTCTGAATAGGATTCAAACTACGTCCGTAGCCTATGTTAGGACTGTAAGTCCCACTTCCGCCGAATTCAGATAAACTTGAATCCAAGTTTGGTCCCATAGTGTAATTAGAAGAACTGAACGGAAGATATCCACTCCTGCCAACAGTAACTGGACTGAATCTTCCATCCATTCGTACTCCATAACCAGCTATTGGACTTGGATTATACCCTTGAGGGAAAGCGTTGAGGAAGTTGTTAACTCTATTCAAACCGTGATTATATCCTCCTAGTGGACTGCGAGTGGGGCCCGGAGATAACTCTTTCGGAACAGCACGCTTAACTTCAACCATTTTACCATTAAGTTCATGGAATGTTTTGAGCAAAACCCTGTCTACAGCTTCCTCTGAATTGTAAGTTATAAAACCAAAACCTCTAGGTCTTTTTGTGTTGTGATCATACATAACAACCACATCTGTGATAGTACCAAATTGCTCAAAGTATTTCTTGAAGTCACTCTCATTGACTGTTGATGCCAAGCCTCCCACGAAAATCTTCTTCGTGCGAACAGGACCTGGAGAACCCTGATTGCTGCCATTGCTTTTGCTTAAATTGTTTTGATCATCTCTAGGAACAGCTTTCTTTGCCTCCACCTAGCAAAAAGAAGAACAATTTCAACTGAGTGGATCCCAAGTCTCATTATCTGTATGCGAATTGGATCAAATGTAGATATTCAACTTTCTTCTCTGAGCTCAAACTTTGAAGAGAAGAGATAACTCAACAATAAGGATACCCACATAAAAAGAAAACATATATATCTCGAACATAGACATTGATAATCGATAAGTGAAAACCATAACATCTAAACCTCAACTGAAGAAGTCACAATCATTAAACCTTGCCATGTTCCCTAGGACAATATTCTTCTCACATGCTAACCAAATTCAGAAACTACAATTTTGTAAATAGAATGTGCTTAGGATTGCTATCATCTCAGAAAGTGGATTGCACATTAGATCACTACAGAAGAGTTGCAAAAATTCAGAATAAATATGAATTAAAAATTAAGAGAAATTTGATCCAGGGTTTAAACCATTAGTTAGCCTCATCGCAAAAAAATTCCACCATACCAGCAATAACAATTACAGAACAGAAATTCCACCCTCATCATAATAACTACAGCTTTAGCTTAGCATTAGGCAACAATGTCTCGCATTCAACAATGCTCCAAATGAAGTAGGATCCCAGTTAAAAAATTCTTATATAAAAAAAGGTAGTCTGCAGAATCAACCATTCATTCATTACTTACAGTTCTACCATCTATAACATGTTTTTCCTTGACAACTTTTTCAGCAACATATGCATCTGCAAACACAACAAACCCGAAACCACGGGCACGCCCAGTGTTCCGATCTTTCATGATCACAGCCTCCACCACTTCCCCAAATGATTGGAAATACTCCCTCAGTCGATCTTCATTTGTGTCCCAAGATATCCCACCAACAAACAACTTTCCAGAATCCATTTCCATTCTGAAAGAAAAAGAACCACCACATTTAATCATTTCCACAGTTACTGCAACACCTACTCATTCATATTTGTAATTTTAACACAGACAGGAAACAGTCTTGCCATAACCCATTTCATCACATTCTAAAATTTACTTACTAAAAAACTACTACCCTTTCTAACTCGATTCATTGTGATGTTAAATACTTCCAAAAAATAAAAAAGGAAAAATGAAAACTGAAAAAGGATGGGATTGCTTGAACATGAAAACTTCATACAGATCTACATAGTGATCGAAAAAATTCCAGATGACTGAGTTTCCAGTTCCCAAAACTAGTATATATAACACTACCCGTTACTTAGAATCAATTGCAAATCAGCATTTTGATGCTGCCGCAGTATCTGCGGCAGCAGATTATCGAGTTTGAATAAAAACGAACTAATCAAGTGTAGTTTCTTCTTCATCAGAGAACATTAACTTCAAGCTTAGACACCAGAAAATTTTGTAGTGAGTCAACTAGATGAAAATTTTTAACAACAATATCAGATCATCGGATGATGAACAGATCAAAATCCGATTGACCCACAATCCAAAATCTCCTCACAAACCAAGAAAGATTCAAACTTTGTGGCTGCCCATAGCCCACCATGTATGGATGGATGGATGGCCAACTTCCCCACATACTCGAAACCATCCAAAAAAAGAAAAAACAACAACAACAACAACAAAAACTCATTCATTTCATGATATTGCAGAAGCAAGCTTAAAAATTTTACCAAATGAGAAAAAACCCAGATGAGATAGATTTGGATTAGAAATCAAGATCCAAGAGGAAGCATATAGAAAAGCAAAGGGAAAACTTAAAGGCCCCCTCTTTTCCTCTTCCCCTTTTTTTTCTTTTTTCTTTTTTTTTTTTTTTTCTACACAATTCACTGTTTGGTTCTTTTGGCAGAAGGAAGGAAGGCAGAGAAGATATGTCTGTGAATTGTGAATTTATATATACACACAATATATAAAAAAATTTTAATCTTAAATTTATATATACATTGTGTGAGGGACAGCAAGAGCGACTGAGGAGGTAAAGAGAGTGGTGGAATGATTTGTGTATATATATATTTCTTTCAAAACTCTAAATTTGGAAAGTAATTTAATTGCAATCAACTAATCTGCATTTCACTCAATTTGTGGAAATGCCCCAATTGGAAATTTATCTCTTGCCTTTTAACTCCCTTAAGTATCTAATTTGTAATAATTGACCCTATGTATGACTATTGTGATATGTGATGTGAATCTTGATAGATTGCGTGGCTTTGAAAAGTGAGATATGGGGAGATAAAATAGCGTGACATCTATAAAAACTTTAAAAAAAAAATATCGCACTTTGATTAGTTTATATTTCTATTTGAGTCATATTATTTTAGACATACGGCTTGAATTTTTATCGAATATGGTGAATTTTCTTTATGCTAACATTTGTCATTTTGATAATAACAAAATTAAAATATTAATAAAATATCAAAACATATGTGAGGACGTATTATAAAGATGACCGTAATTGGTAAGAGATGACAGTAGTTTATATTAAATCCGAGTTATAAATTTGTGAGTGAGGTTTAAAATCGAGAAATAAATATTGAATACTAAGACATGAAAAAATTTCATCCTACATAGCGGTAATTGAACAATTTGAAAGGACGGAATAGTAAAGTGGAACTGTTAAGGATACTATGGAAATGAATGTAAGTTTAAGGTGATTGTTTGCAAATAAGTCTTGGGAAAACTGCTAGTATTATATTTCTCTATGCTACTTCTGTATAGAAACCTACTTCTACGTGTGCCTATCTTGGCCGCCACTATCAAGTATCAACCCTTTTGGCTCTTTATCGATTTTCTTGTTTTCTTCTTCTTCTTTTTTTTTTTTTTCCCCTTTTAGTTCTCTGGTGGTAACTTTTTTTTTTTGAAAAAAAGAAAGTGATAATTTGTGTAATGTTGTGGACTATAAAAGTCTAATCCAAAAAATGATACACTTACAGAAGTAAATTTGAACACAGTAAGAATGTGAAATTCGCATGTGACATGAATTAGAAATGAGACAATGGTGTCTTATCACACATTGCACGTATTGAAGTTTGGGATTATAAATTTTAATTTTCACACACACACACACACACACACTGTATCCATCATTGTGTTATTCATTGTACTGTCTCACTTTTTGCTATGGGTGCTTCTTATTATTACCAAATATAGTCAATTAATTGTCTCGCAAATCAATCTGAAGAGACGAGTTTATGAAACAATTTGTAAATCAATATTCAATTATCACACACCATAAACATCATGATAATTGAAATAATTTTTTACCCCATTTTTACGAGATATTTGAAGCACAATTCATTCAATTGTCTGCTTACTGTTGTCATAGAAAATAAGTATTCTTTCTGTCCAGCTTAGATTTTCACTTTTAGTTCGATTTGTATTAAAAATGAAAAATCTAAATTGAACAATAATTTCGGGAGGAATATAGTATTTATTAAATAATTCAACCCCCTAAAAACATTGTTTCTTCATACCACGGAGTTCAATACTTTTTACTTTGTTTACATCTGCATGATTGTATATGAAAAATGACCCGAGGGAGAGTACGAAATATCCCAAATGGAGCTAAGGATTTTAGGGTAAAGATGTTGAATGAGTAATCCAAAATTTGGAAAGAGTGATGTAAGTATAACTCAGGCAGCTGGCGTTGGGAGAAACATGTCGCGGTACTATTTTACCTCATATAAAAATGCCCTCACAAATTTACCACATTCGACGAAGCCAAGTCACAAACCTTGTCAAAAGTCTTTGTGCATAACTTCTACTTGACCCACATAATCTACACAGCCAATCCTGTTAGTATAAAATAGTAATTATTATTCTTTTTTTTTTTTGACCGACAATGTACACGGCACATTGTTCTTTTAATGTTAATGTACAATAATCATTATAATCTACACGACAATTCTAGAATAAATAAATAAAATTATTGATATATATAGTATAAAGTGTAATTCGTAAGTAAAGTTATTTTTTTCATAAAAAATACTCTAATAATCCATTTTATAGTTTTGTGAATTGTTTTAAAAACACTACAATTTACAAATTATAATGAAAATTATTTTTTTCGATATGAAAGGAAGGAGCAACAATTTGAAAGATAATGCCTCCACTCCATGAGAAAAGAAAGGTTGAACAAAAAAAATATTCTTTCATACTAAATGTTTGTCATAGCATGAAAGGAGAACGTATTAAAGTGTGAATTTATATCAGAAAGTGCGGTAAATCGGTATATATGTCTTTGTGTATGTATTAGAACATGTTAAACAAGTAATATTGCATTAAATAGAAAAAGGAAAGAAAGAAAAGGAAGATGCATTAATAATATATACAAAAATACCAAGCAGTATATGATTGTTTGCTTCATGTGGAGGCAATAGAAGAAGAAGAAACATTAAAACCAAAGAAACATGGAAAAAAAAAATAAAAGAAAAAGAAAGGAAGAAGGGATTAAATGGAAAGGAAGTAATGTTGTTTTTGGGGTTGTCGATCACATGATCATATGATTCATTACCTCCCTTCCCCCAAAGTCCTTTTTCTAAACAAAACCCACTCTGTTTTTTTCTTCCCTCTGTTTCAAAATTCTTGTCCACTTTAAAATTTCACTTTTAGTATAATTTGAACTAAAAATGAAAATCCAAACATGACAATTATTATGGGACCGAAGGAGTAATTTTTGTGCCTTCCAACTCTCTACTAAAGTGCCTAATTGGTGGAAAACAAAAAAAGAAATCAGACGAGGAAAGCTTAATGCATATGCTAATTCCATTTATTCTTTGTTAGATTTATTTTTATGAGTAAAAAATTGGATGGAAAAGTAGGCATCAAAAAAGGACAGATGGGATTTGCTAGTTTTTCTTTTTCTTTCCTCCAACTCATCATCATCCTCCTCTCTCATCTCGTATATCTATCTATTGTCTAACAGCTAACATTAATTTTATTAGTTTGGTATTGTGGTAAGTAACTCTTCACAGGAGAAAGAGAACTTGTGCTTGCTCATGAGTCATGAATGACGTCACAAATTGTTGTTTTCATTTTTAGATTTAGTTATTCCTTTCCATATATTCTTCCCTTCCGGAAAACTCCGCCAATGATATTATCATTTGGAATACTACTACTTCCAACTTCTATAAATTAGAGAAGAGGGGATATATAAGGGTAGGAGGGTTTTCTTAAGTTGAATTGTCAAACTGGTAGTATTAATTTCCTCTATTGGGGCTGTCCCAATACTACAGTACATCATCATGTATAATAGTATAGGGTCTTAGGGTTACCATTTCATTTATGGTATATTGTTGCATAATTACCTGCACATAAAATACCATCGTCTCCTTTCCCCACCAAGGGGTCCAGTCCTGACTTGCGGAACCCTTTTTAGCGGGCCATCATACCCAAACTTCTCTGTTCAAAAGTGCCTTTTTTATTTCTGAGTAAAACGAACTAACTCCTCATTGTTCTTTGAATGGAACCTAAATACAAACATCTGTGCCAGCGGTATCATCAAAAACAAATAATTGCCAAAGATCAATGTATGTATCGATCAATCATACAAAGTCCTGAACTTGAAGCAAATTACCTGAATTTCTTGCCTGAGGTTATCTTGTGCTACTACATTCCTACCAATCTCACTAACTTTCTAACACAAACAACTACAAAACAGCACCCCTGCATTCTTGAACCGTTTGGGTTTCCTCCAGGACACTCTTTGTAGCTTCTTTCACAACTTGTCCACTCACATAGTGTTTCCGACAAACCGGCATGTATACCTCGGCTCCCCCAATCAGCTCCGTCTCTGTCTCCTGTGTCTTTCTCAACGTGAAGAAAGCTCTCTTACTGCACAGCTCACATCGTGCGGTGAGCTTAGTCACGGTGTCCGCAAGAGGTATTATCTCCAGCACCGACCCAAAACTTCTCCTGCAGTGCAAACAGGGTGAGGTATGGAAATTATCACCGCCATCTATGAAAGAACCTCCAAAGGTTTCACGTTGTTCCATAATGTGCAATGCAGGAGAAGCAAAAAAAACACAAAGCTATATCGACCACAAGAATCCGGTGATCTGTAAGCTGTGTAATACAGAAGAGGAAAGCTTGGATCATCTGCTCTTTCAGTGTAGTTACTCACAGCAACTTCTGAAATCACTGGCAGAATGGTTGGATTGCAACAGAATTCCTGATCGGATTGGCATGTGGACGAATAGGCTGTTACGAATATGGACTAGAGTAAATGGAAGAAAAAGCTACTGTATGGCACCTTGGCAGCAGCTGTTTATCATGTTTGGCAAATGAGAAATAATGTGTTTTATGGAAAAGATTGTAAACCTGTTGATGTTCTTGTTAATGAAATCAAGCAGGAAATGTGTTGGAGGCTTAATATGTGCTGTAGGGCAATGAGACAGGGTGAAAGTAGGTATTTTGATAGAATCAGTGTACAGGGGAAGTTGATGTAATAGGGTTGATTAGATGTGAAAGAGTAAACATTTTTTCTGTTTTGAGAAGTTAATACAAATTAACCTTTCATCTAAAAATATATCGACCACAAGAACTAGCCCTTAATCTCATAACATGGTGCATGGACCTGCACCCATGTTGGGTGCGGATGCAGGATCCGAGGGTCGGACTCGGCAAATTTTAGGAAAAAAATGGGCTTTTTGGTTCAAAGAGGGGAGGATTCGTGCCACACCCACACCAGTGCCAACACGGATCCTATCGGATATCCGGGGAAAAGTGAAAAGTCCATGTAACAGACACCTACTTTAATCATATGATGCTGCTCTATTTTATTTTATTTTTTCTAAAAAAAAGAACAAAACATATGCTCTCATTCAGGTTCAAGGGGGCCCCCCAACCCATAAAAAAAACATCGCCCTCAAAGAATATCTGGCTGGAATAATATCAAATGGCAAAAAATATACCTCAAATAGTCACCATCCAAGCCGGCAACAATTACAGTCTTGCCATCGTGGTCAGCAGCTCTACGGCAGAAATCATAAAGGTCCTCGAAGAATTGGGCTTCATCTATACCAATAACTTGTAGCTGCTGATCAAATACCAGTTCATAAATATGCTAAAAATAAGAAATTGAATTACAAACGAGCAATAATGAAGGAGAATATACCTGATTATATGCCTCGATACCAATCTTTTGTCTGAATGACAAAAGATCTGGCAGGGGCCAGCATGGCAATTTCTCTCCGTCATGTGTCACAATTGAATCCAACGCATACCGTGAATCCTTACTGGACTTTATAACGGCAACTTTTCTGCATGAAAGCAGCAAAGAGCGCATGATTAGATATGCAGCCTTACTTGTGCAGGTAGAAAAACAGGACACACATAATGTGAGTTCACTTCAGCTTCTGCTACACACATAAGAAAAGCTATAATCCGAAATATAAGGTCATGACATCATTTGCCCAAAAGGCGACAATCATTTGAAGACAAGTGTTATTTCCAAGCTAAATAGGAAGTGAAATAAATGATGTATACACACTCGTAAATTTTCTTTAATGGACAACAATTAACCAGTGAGTAAGAAATCTGAAAGCCCACCATTTTCCAACACCACAGAGTCACAGAATCTTAAATGCACTAGATTAAGAGGGAAAAAAAAACAGCACTGAGAACTCAAATGCGGGGCAACAAACTAAGCTAAATCTATGGTAATTAATAAAAGCAGAAAGCCAGACTGTCCATAGTCTACAAATGACTTACCAAAGCGACAATCAGTAAGAATTCCAAAATATTAGCCTCGCAAACTAGCCAAACAATGACACTTAAATGAGCAATCCTGAATCCTGAGTGACCTTCAGCATCACTAGACTTACTATTCAAAGGAGATTTCAAGTGGCACTAGATATAAAAACACAACAATTCCTGAATGTTTCACAGGAATTAAAGCAGCCCTGATTCAACCACACATTTCAAGAAATTTAGGGCCTCAGGCTTAGATTTCGTTGATCCTCAGAAGTGGGCCTGTGACATTACCACACATATCCCATACGTTTTGCCAAAGTAATCCTTTGTCAACAATCTACATCAGGGGCATAATCCACATCTTTCAAAACACACAGCATATTTTTAACCAATTCGCATATCTCATCAGTCTTATCATGGGCATTACGTTCCATAAAGAAAAGGTGCAATTCTCTTTGAATCTCAATCATGCTATAACTAGGTTCCTTTTTCAACCCGGATTCGTTCATGAAACTCCTAATCCTGGCAACATTATCCCACAAACCAAAGGAAGCATAAGCATTTGCCAGGACAACGTATTTCCCTGAATTCCCTGGTTCCAGTTCAAAGAAATTTTCTGCTGCAAGCTTTGCTAAGTCCATATTTCCATGAATCTTACAAGCCCCAATTAAAGCACCCCACAAAACGTGGTGCTTCTTGAAAGGTGAATTCAATACCAAGTTATAAGCATCTTCCAGCTTTCCAGCACGACCTAACAGATCAACCATTGCTGCATAATGTTTTCCCGTAGGCTGAACTCCATAATCCCTCATCATCGAGGTGAAATGTTCCCAGCCTTCATTGACCAGACCTCCATGGCTACAAGCCACAAGAACTACGAGAAATGTTACATGGTTTGGTCTAAAACCTTCATCTAACATTCTGTGAAAAGAGTAGAGAACCTCTAACACTCTCCCATGCTGTCCATATCCAGACATTAGAGCAGTCCAGGTTATAACATTCCTGTCCAAAGATTTCTCAAATACACGATGCCCGTCAGAGAGACTACTGCACTTGAAATACATGTCCATGAGAGCACTATTAACTACAAGGTTTCCATTCTTCTGGCTCTTAATCCACATGGCATGTGCTTGCTTTCCCTGTTCCAGGAATGCTAAAGAAGCACAAGCCCTAAATACTGATGCAAAGGTATAATGATCTGGTATCAAACCAGCCTTCCTCATCTCACTGTACATGCTCAATCCCACTTCTTCCAAACCCATCTGAACATAGCCAGCAATCATAGCATTCCACGAGACCAAGCTTTTGCATTCTAACTTCCTAAAAATTCTATCGGCTGTGTCAAGATCCCCAGACTTGGCATATAAGATCAGCAGTTTTATGTTCAGATATTCATTAGGAACAAATCCAACAACAACCATTTGCCAATGGATCTTTTTCGCTAACTTAAAGTCTTTTCGAAAAATACAGTCTTGCAAAAGAAGAGAATACGTTCCCGATGCTACTTGGAATCCTTCGTAGCATAATTTTCTAACAGCTTCTCCTACTCTTCCTGAAATACAAAGACACTTCAGCACATCATCCAAATGAAGGATGCCCTCTGCATTGCCGGCCTGAAATCTGGCAGGTTGATCGACGTGAATTAATTTTGACTGTTAGAAACTGCTGCAGCCTGCAGCTTCCCTATTAATCCTCATACAAGAACAAAAACCCCGCAGATGAATGTGTTTACTTTTTAAACTGGAGTAGAAGTAAAATGGGCAGCCCACGACCCCGGTCGAGTATATTGTACTAGCTAAGACGAAAGAAGAATCACAAGAAGCTCAAGCTCATCATATTTACCAAAACAAATTCCACAGTCTAGCACACAAAATAACACAAAAAAAAAAGAATCAAATTTTAACTCACATCACCCAGTCCAATTGGTTCATATCTTCGGAGCACAAACACGGAATCTATACTTACATATAGATATAGAAACAAAGATCGCGCAAAAAGCTACACAATATATTAGTAAAACAAAAAAAGAAACGGATGGAAAGAAGCACCTTCCGTTACTGCTCTCATTCTTGATCCTCCTGAGAAGAGTAGTGGTTTTTCCGGCGAACATTGGGCCCACGATGACGTGAATTTCACCGGAGGAGGAATGAGATGAAACCTCGGAACTGAAGCTCCGAGTTTGAGCTGGACTAGGGTTTTGCATCAGAGGCGTGTAAGGGGAGGAAGGAACAAAAGCCGGCGAGGGTTTCCAGATGGAAGAAGAAGAAGAAGAACTCATTGGGCTGCAGCAACCCCGAATGTTCTGGTAATTATGGAGAATTGGATTTTTACGAAGGGATTGAAGAGAGAGAGCAAAAGGGGTAGTGGGTTTCACCAAAAGGGAAGAATGGGTGAGAACAGATTTCATCGTACCCGAAAATGGCCACCACCTCCGCAGCATTAAAACAGTATACCCACTGTTCTAAGAACTTAGGATTAAGCTCAGATTTCTCCGTACATGTTCTTCTAACTGGGTGGCGGTCCGGCGGAGTAGCAGGGGATGAAGGGTTTTGACTTTTGACTTTTGGGCGGGAAGGAAGAAGATATATAGCCATATTATAGGTAAGTAATTTTGCGGGGGAAAGAAATTCACTTTTAGTCCCTCATATTTATAGATTTATACTTTGTGGTTTTTCATTTTGATCTCGCAAGATTAAAAAAAGGTATCTTTCTCTCTTTAAAAAAATGAATGTTTGATATTCCACGCCTTCAACGCATCTTCAATACTCAATTCCCTGCAGCTCACAGAGACAAACTCTCGAGCATTTTGGCGGCATCTCTCGCGTCCACTGGTAGCTTGAAGTTTCTGGGTTTTAACACACCATTGCAAAAGTTGAATGGATGATTCTTTGCACATCAGCATTGAATGTTCTCCCACTCAGGTTAGAGTTCCTGTTTTCTCGCTGTTTGATTTGGAGTAATATCATTGCATAAAGCTTTTAAGGAAATGTATACGGCTGTTCCTTGGTCTTTGAATTTAGTTCTCTGAATTTAATCTGCACCGTATAGCCTTTAGCTGTTAATGGAATTCATTTTTGTTGGGAAAATGTCCTCCCAGCTTGCTCTACATGTTGCACTGCTTATCATGCTGTTCTTAGTCTCTTACTTTCTCTGGTGTGAGATTTTGATGTCCCGGATGGAGTTCTGCTGAAAAGATCATAACTTTTACTTTGTAGAAATTTCCGGTCTTGCTCTAGAAAGAAGAGTCCTACCTGTTCTGTGTTCCGCTAGCATTTCTTGGGTCGATGGGATACGCAGCTGTAGAGCCAATAGTGCCCAGTTGATAGGTCATGCTTAGCATTCTTTTCTTCCGTGTCACAATTCGCCACTTTTGAGCTGTTCTGCATAGCATTATTATGAAAAGTTTAGAACATTGGGCTTGTGTTTATGGAAAGGTTCAGCCTTGGCCCAGGAAGAAGAGTCCTGTTTTCCCTGCATTTAGCATTTCTGGTGTTCCTGGGATATGCAGTGGCAGTGCTAATAGTGCCAGCCAGGAGGATAACGAGTCGGAAGAATCTGAGAATGAATGGGTTAGTTTGCTTCAACCTTTTGATCTCAACCAGCTTAGAAAAACACTCAGCAATAAAATGACCCCTTATCAGCTCAACAAGTTTCTTACACTTCCTCTTGATGTGCCCACATCAATTGAGCTTTTCCGGAAGGCCGGTGCACAGAAGGGCTATTGTCACTCTTTTGACGTGTACTACACTTTGATTGATAAGGTTGGCGCTTCTGGGGAGTTTAAGATTTTAGATGAATTGTTGTTGCAGATGAAAGAAGATGGGATACCTTTTAGAGAATCGCTTTTCATCATGATAATGAAGCATTATGGCAAAGCTGGTTTACCTGGGCAAGCAACTAGGTTGCTTTTGGATATGGTAGGAACTTTTTCTTGTGAACCCACATTTAGATCGTATACTGTTTTGTTGGGAATTCTAGTGGATGGCAAATGCCCTAAAGTAGCTGTTAATATATTTTACGAAATGCTAAATAAAGGTGTTCCTCCCAGTGTTTCTTGCTTTGCCAAAGTGATGAAAGCCCTTTGCCTGGTCAATGAACTGGATTCTGCACATTCCCTTATCAGAGACATGACCAAGTATGGGTGTGTGCCCAATTCCATAATTTATCAGACATTGATACATTCTTTTTCTGAGGCAAATAGAGTGAACGAAGCCTTGAGGCTTTTGGAAGAGATGTTTCTCATGGGATGTACACCAGATACCAGTACTTTCAATGATGTCATAATTGGCCTTTGCCGGTCAGACCGCATTCACGAAGCTGCGAAAGTAGTAGATAGAATGCTGGTTCGCAAATTTAATCCAGATGCTATAACTTATGGAGTATTGATGAATACATTTTGCAGAATGGGGCACTTAGAAGAAGCCAGGAAACTTATGAATAAAATACCTGATCCCAATATTATCATTTTTAATACTTTGATAAAGGGATTCGTTCAAAATAATCGTTTTGATGAAGCCAAAGACTTCATGAATGGCAGCATGTTGAGTGCCGGCTTTCAGCCAGATATTTATACTTACAACATTCTACTTGACGGCCTTTGCAAACGGGGGTATTTGTTCTCTGCTTGTGAAGAGGTGAAAGAGATGTCTCTGAAGGGCTGTGTGCCCAATGTAATCACTTACACCACTTTGATTGAGGCCTTCTGTAAAGAAGGTCGGATAGATGAAGCTCATGATATATATATTCAGATGTCAGCTCAGGGTCTGCACTGGAATACTGTGGGATATAACTGCCTTGTCTCTGCATTTTGCAAGGATGGTAGGATCCAACAAGCGCTACAAATGGTTCGTGAAATGACGAGCTATGGATGTAAGCCGGATATATTCACCTTCAACTCTTTAATTTATGGGTTTTGCATGGTAGATAAGATGGAAGAGGCGCTAAGAATCTATCGCAATATGTTCCTTGAGGGAGTTATTGCCAACAATGTTACGTTCAACACCCTGATTCACGGTTTTATGAAGAAAGGTGCAAGTCAAGAAGCGCTTAGGCTTGTAAATGATATGCTATTTAGAGGATTTCCCTTGGATGAATACACATATAGCAGCCTCCTACAAGCTCTGTGCAGAGACCGGGATGTTGAGAAAGCTTTGCGACTTTTTGAGGAAATGCTGAGAAAAGGACTCTCTCCTAACAACATATGCTGCAATATCATTATTAGTGGTTTGTGTAAACTTGGTAAGATACAAAGAGCCCTTGAAGTTTTAAGGGAAATGATTCATCTTGGACTAACACCCGACATAGTAGCATATAACATTCTTATTAATGGTCTTTGTAAGTTGGGTTGTCTTCGAGAGGCATTGGACCTTTTGGAGAAATTGCTAGCAGAAGGAGTTAGACCTGATCCTATCACATATAACACACTGTTGAGTTCCTATTGCCATGCAGGCATGTTCAGTGATGCCTTTATGCTCTTGAATAAAGGCGTGGACCGGGGATTTGTACCAAATGATGTAACATGGCATATTTTAATTCGTAGATTTGTTAAAAAGGGTAAAATAGAGAGCCACATATTTATTTGATATACCAGTTTAATGCTGAATTAGATAATACCTTTGTAGCTGTTTCCATCATTGCTTCCCTGAAATAGACGTTTCTCACCTTTGAGTAATGGTACAAGTAATGAGTTTTTTATTGAAATGTGGGGAACAAAGAACTCACTGTGATATCACCAGTCTGTGTATATGTATAGGAGAAGTATCTTCATTCCAAGCTAGAAGGGACAAGGTGATCAAGTTAGCACGCATAAAAGTAAACTGCAGTTTGTGATTTTTATACTGATTTTCTGTTGCTTTAGCTTGCCTCGCCTTCTTGATCTTTCTCTATTTTTATTTTTTTAAAATTTTTTCTGCCTGTGAGTGAATGACGGATTGTCAGATTCAAGAATCCTTTGATCCTTTATGCTCTTTCAAAGTTGATCACCATCATCTCTTATTACAAAGATACCATCGTGCATCCCAGTGCCTGTTGCATTGGTGTTGGAATCCAGAACGGTGGTCAACTGCATCGGCGTTTCTCCTATGCAAGCTATTGCCTATCACCATGGTGATTCTCTCGAAATACTGGTAAGGTGAAGCTGTTTGATGCCAATGCAGACATGATGAGGCTCTCATGGGTTCTGTTCTGGGATTGAGGTAATGTATTCTTAGTTAAAAAATCAGCACTTGTGTGCCCTCCACTGCTGCTGATACCAAGAATCATAGGAGATGAGGGGCTGCTCACAAATGAAGCTATCAGTTCTAATCTTTCTGCAATTCTGTTTTGACTGTTTTCTATCAGGCTATCATTCTTCTTGATGAAGGGGTGAAGAGCTTACTTTCAGGAAATTTGAAAAACATTGAGCCGTCTTCACTTTTGAAGCTCAGGAAAGACTCTAAACCTTGGGGATGGCCTTTACTAAGGAATGCAAAGATGTGAAGTACCTTTCCTTCAGATAATCTGGCTAAGGTAGGCAACATCTTTAATGTTGCTTGCTGCTATGCTCATTGAACAAAATGGTGGATTACGTATCCGGATTGGGGCAAAAGGTAATATGCATCTCATATCCATTTAATAGTAACTACCATTTATGGAAAAAGAAAGTTGTGATTTTGATTGACTTGGAATGGTACGCACTTGGATTGGTTTGTTCATTGATTGCAGATTCTTATTGCTGGATCACTGAAAAAACAAGTATTCAAGATTAAGTTTTGCTTAGTAGTTTTTGATGTTAATCCCGCTATTGATCTTTCGCATGAAAGGCATCTATCTAATGTATGTTTTAGCGTTCTGAAATAGTTCCTTTTGGAAGCTCAACAGATACCGAACGTGTAAAAATTCCTGGTTAGGTTTTAGTCGTTGCAGTGTTCTTTGAGTCCCTTTTGAATACAAGAAAAGAATTGTCTGTTTCGAAAACCCCGTCAGTTCCACATAATTATGCGCGTTTGAGGCTCTGAAAAGTGTTACAATGGCTTACTATAGTACACTAATATATGATAAAGTATAGTCGACTTAACATAGTGGGATATAGACGGATAAGTTATTGTTGCCGTACGTAAAGTTCTAATTGAATCCATGCTGATAGAATCTCTGGAAATCAAATCTGGAATCTTTATTTCAAACTGTGATAGTTATGAAAAGTACAAACTGAAGTACACACCCGGGCACGTAGGTACTGACATAGCATTTAGTTTGTCTGGGAATGTGTTTCTAATGAAATAACATTGCCAAACTTATTTCTTCTTGAAGAGCTCTCTCATACGAGTCTCTATTGATTGATACACACATTGGAGCAGATGTTGTGAGTGAATTTTTAGCAACAATTATCTCCACAGCAAACTTGGACGCAGCGAATCATCGGTTTCCACTGGAACATGCAGCATCTGCAGCCTGTGTTTTTTTTTTTTTTAAAACAAAAAAAGAAGATTGTCAGCAGAATGAAACAACAAAATTTTCAAATATTAAAGGGATGCAATAAAGTTTACGTTTCGGGGAAACTTGAGAGGAAGAAGGCTGGAAAGCTCACAACCGGGCTGGATTAATTACGATCAAAACCTTCTGTAGAATTCCGATTTATGCCAATTTCTAAACTCAAAATTAACCAAGAAAGGAAGAAGAATTTGATCTCTTTTTTTTTTGGATACCTCGAGCAACCGCTGCAGGGTCAGAAGTACGGACAGGAGCAGTGGTAGCTGCGCAAGTGACAGCAAATGCGAATGCTACAAGCAGCCACGCAAAGGCTACAACAAGTGTTTCCTTTCTCGGCATATTTACTAGTAACTTTTTTGCTAAATTTTTTGTGTGTATCCTTATTGAGTTTGATATCCAATCTGTGTACCCCCTCATCCTGCTTATATACTGCTGGAACTTAATCCAAAGTGGAGCCATTCCAGACAGAAAATCAAAACGGGCATCCCACAACGTGGATTATTTTGGTTGATAGTAGACGAAATATATGACCTTTGACCGATTCTGATTGCTTTCCCATTTCACATGTAACCAAAAGTAATCAATATCTCAGAATTTAAAACTGTATATACTGAAATCATTTTAGAGGGAGGATCCTTTAGTGAATCCAAAAGCGGCATGCTTTTATGATAGAGAAGACTTTAAAGTCTTCCACTCATCCAAGAGCACTTATCTGTGTGGAACTTGCAAGTTGCAGGCAAAGCTGCACAGGGGTCTGGTCTGGGGGCTCCATTGTTCCCCCCACATCACTCGCTTGCAAAGCATTTTGAGGGCTGATTTTGGGCCTTATGCTTCCGCTTCGCCCTCGTTACCCCACTGTGATTGCACCTCATTCGTTCAACTACTCAATTTAAGAGAATGTAATACAAAATAGAAGTCATCCCCTCTTATCCTTCTAAATATCATCACCATTCAACTCACAGTTTCAAAAGTTTTGCACATCTAGTAAGAGTTTCTGGCCCCGGGTAGGAAAGGGCACAAACTCATCTCCATGCTAATCATGAAGCCAGATCGGATAATGCTGCTAAAATCTTAATACGCATATTCAATAAAACTAGCTTCCCTAATGCAAAAGTCTGCGCATTTGAGTGAAAAACCTAGGTCATTTTGATGTTCTGAGGGTGGTTCAATATTCTTTCTAAGCTGAAAAGCATCAATCGGCAGCTTCGTTTCAGAAAGCACCTCCGTCACCTATCATCTCATCATTCATCCTTGAAACAATATCTTCTTGTCCTGATCAGAACATCTCATCATTCATCCTTGAAACAATATCTTCTTGTCCTGATCAGAACATAAACATTGATTTCAATGTATTGATTACTAAATATTGGTTGGGGGTCGGTGAGAAGGGCAACAAAACTCTGTCGAATGCTGAAGAAACTAACTCAGTTTAGTGTGGACTGACCTTGAAATTGTTGCTTACAATCTTTTCCCACGCTTGAATTCAGGGCCCGCGCGAGATGTTTGACATGAACTAACCTAATGTTGTTTCCAAGAAAAGCTGAAAAGAGAAAAGAACAGGTTGGTGCAGAAGAGAAGAATTACTCAGTATGCATGATAAGGTTTTGTCGGCATTTCTCCTCAAAATAATAACATCAATGTCAGAAGAGAAGATTTGATTCTGCACTCAACCTTGTTTACTAGTCAACTCCGCATCTGATGCAAAAGCATTCAAGCCTCCTCTGGCGAGCTTTTTGATTTGATGTAGACGCGGCAGTCTTGGATATCTGTATGGTGAATGAAACTTCGTTTTGCCAACTATTTTTCATGAAACAAAAGCCAGCACAGTCCATGAGAAAAAAAAAAAAAGAGGAAACGGGTTAATGCAACATAAAGACATATCTGCAATGAAATTTAATTGATAGTTCTATACCAATGTCAACATCAGCGCCGTTGTCATCCTCATCAAACCTCATCTCTTCTAAGGCTGCTTCATCGCGTTGGAGGTGTTTGACATCTGAAACACAAACGATATCCAGATTGTTCTCACTCGTGAATGTTTCTAATTCAATACCTCGATTAGTCCTGCTAGCAAACTCACTACTAATATTAGTTTGGGCTCCAAAGCCGAGTTGAGCTGTGGCAGTGGCTGCTCTTTGCCTTCTCAACTGGTAGTTCTTACGCCGCCTGGCCAAATGTTTCTCCCTCTCCTCCACACTCATGGATTGCCTTCTTTGCCTATCCCTCATCCGTCGTCTCTCCCTTTCTCTCTCTTTCTGTCTGGCGCGCCAATCAGCATGTTCTTGCGACTGATCTGCTGATGCCATCTTCAATTGATCATATAAAGTAGAAGAATGCTACAACTTATAAAAAATTTCGGCTCACTTCTCTGTTCATCATCTCATGTCCTGCATTGGACTCATTGTTTCAGATCAACATCAAGACTTCTCGAAGAGTTAACTAAATGAAGCAATTTCAGCTTCAGCTGATAAAATTACAAGAGTTCTGGACATTAATTAACCTAAACTAAGGAATGAATGTAACAAGGCAATTTTTTTTAGTGATCTACTGGAGGCCAAAATTTAACATGGGGGTTTATTTAAACGAGTTATGATACACAAGGTAAAGAATATTGACAATATATCTGTTTCGCGACTAGCTAGCATATATGATATCTCCATTCTAGTAAACAATCACTCGCGCCATAAATATTGCTGGAACGCGAGCGCGTGAATGTCACTATAGAATGCCACTTGAAAAATCCGTTTGATTTTGTGTGACACATGAACGCTATGTCAATCATTTACAACAGACACTGAAAATTGCAACTATGAATGCCATTACTCGATTTAACCTAACGTACACAACATCTTCTTCAAGTACCAAGCACTAGCTGAACGAGTTATGAACGCACGTGGAATTCCCCTCTATATAGTAATATCCCCTTCCGCAAGACCTCACTCATATAATAGGTCAGGTGCTTAATAGTGTGTATCAAGAAAAGAAAACCCTAATGTAAATACAACCAAATTTAACCCTTTTTTTTTCCGGGACCTGCATTGCTTGTTTATGAACACATTATCAAAATTCAACAAATACTCTTCACACAAATGAACCCTCCTGCTGATTCTTATTTTTCGCATGTCCTAGGTTCGAAACATTAAAAAAACAAATTAAACTGACACAACCAATCAACTGAATTCACCAACGGAAGAAGAAGAAGCGAAGACATTCACCGGAAAATTTGACAAAGGAAAACAATGCAAAATCAAACCCTTCATCCAACATGAACACAAACACACACGCACATAGTCGACAGAAAGCAAAAAAAAGAAAGAAAGAAAAAAAAAAAAACCCTTTGTATAGTCACCTACAGATATAGATTCAGACAAGGTTTGATTTTAATCAACAATAATCAGGACCCATATCTCAGATTTGGAAACAGCGGGGGGAAAGTTACGACTTTCTACAAGCGAACACAATTTATAATCGGACGCAAAAAAAGAAAAGCTTTAGGTATCATATGACATTTACCTTAAAAATGCTACGAGGTTTCGAGGGAGACAACATAAAGGGGGAAAAAAACATGCATAAGGGAAGCCTGGTCCGGTGTCTGACGACCTGCAACGCAAAATGAAGATTCTGATGGCTGATAAAAAAATAATTGATTTTTTCAGATCTGATCCTTTTTGTCTTGATTTTTGTTGTGGCTGATAAAAAATGATTGACGATGAATGAGCATCATTTCACATGCTATTTCTGGAAAAAAAAAAAAAGAGAAGAAAAAAAAAAAAAGAAGGAATTCTCAAGGTTTGATCCTTGTTTGTTCGAGTTTAGGTCGACTTACCACTGTTTGCCAACCTCGTATTAGTCGAAATACTCTCCTCAGTAGTGGTCCCGCCTCCGACCAGAATTTATGGGATTTTAGATTTCAGTTTTGCTTTGATTCCTATTGATCGACTGTCCAACAAAATTCTGTCTTACTCTGTCGGACGGTTTTTACGACGCCGTTTCTGTGGGGGTGGGGGAGAAGGCCAAGAATGAGTTCAATTAATTTTCCATGCTTACTGCTCAGATCCTCCAGACGCAACCGGCCGCGTAACCCTTTGACCTTCCGTCTTCATCTCCGATGCCGAAGACCAGATCCTCTGTTGTCTTCATCTTCCCTATTGGGTCTTGAATCCCGCTGAGCTCGGTGGAAAGCCTAAACCAAGGTTTTATCTTTTTCTATGCTTCTATTATACTTATGAATCTCGTTGAGCTCGATGGCATTAGGGTTTCCTGCAAAGTTGTTGAAAAACATGTGGAATTTGGAAGTAGTTGAGCATTTTTACTTGTTTTTTTTTTCCAGGTTCTCGGCCACTATGCCCCAAAAAAAAAAAAAAAGGAAATGGAAAGAAAGTTATTCAATTATTTTATGGTTTGCATCAAATTCGCCAATGCTGAAAGGAAGTAGCCCATCATCTTTCTCCAGTTTTTCGGGTTAAGGGTTTGCCTATATAATATTCATTTTCTTCTTGTATAGTAGTTTTTGTGTAAAAAGAAATTGGTGGTTTGTGAATGTGAATTGTGTCCGTTCCCAAAACAAAAATTCTTGGATTATGTTTGAATTATTTTTGAAGAGCAAACCGAATTCTTATACGCTTAGTAGACAAATAAATTAATGTTTGCATCTTTCCCTATTGCATTTGATGCGTCCGCAATTGGGCTTTGTTATCATTCCTCCCCGTCAAGTGACGAAGAATTGACTCTGTAAAAGTTGTTTCCTGTGTGCGCTTCCACCTATGACGAAATCAAAGCTCAATGGCGGATGATGTGATAGTAAGCCTCGAATTTTGATAATTACCTCAAATCCTACGGTCTCTCTCGCTTGTTTGAAATCATTGAAATTTTCTCCGACAAACACTGGAACTCGGAAAAATAATAAATCTATTGAGACGCGCGCGCGGGAGACGATTTAGGCTTGTGTCTTGTGTCAGGTGGAAGGATGCAACGGTCGCATCCTGCTTGGGGTGATAAAAAGAATAACCGTCCCCACAGAACCGGATCCCATCCGGCGTTGACCCGAAACAACACTCTTCGTCTTCATCAAGCGGCGGACCTTTGTGACCCTCCTCCTCCTCCTCATCTTTGAGAAGATGGTGGTGCGTGTGATATTCCAGAGTTCGCCGATGTTGACACCAAACTCGGCTGAATTGAGTTTTACTGTCGTATCCTAGCTAGTCCACTTCTGATGAGTATGTATCATCAGCTTTGATTGTGTCTTCAACTTCCGACTCGGAAACCCTAACATAATTCATCTCCTGAGACCAAACCCCCGTATCTGTACGTTAGGGAAGCGACAATTTCCATTAGTCATCATCAATTAATTTTTCAATCAGGATTACAAACAAATCACATATTCATATCGGCTGGCACGAAAATCAGTCACGCACACAAACAAATTACGCAATTACCGGACCGCCTTTTAACAATATCAATCAAATCTATCTAAGAGAACAAAACTCACCAAAAAAAAAAAAAAAAGTAAGTAAAAAAAGAGAAACGTACCAGTGCCACTTCTAATATTGATAACCACACCCTCACGGACCTCAAGTACCTGGATGGTTACAGTTGCATCATTCAAATCGAAGTGTTTTTTGAGATGTTCGGCCAAGAAATTCAGATCCAAAGACAGTGAGATCGTAGCATCACCGAAATCGGGCGGGATCGGGGACCTCCGATCTGAGATGCCACCGTACCGTCTCTGTCCGTTCCTCATTGATGGGGTACAACTTTATCCCGGTGGAAGAGAAAAGTAATTTCGGATCTTCCGCAATACCACAAATATTTTCGATCACAAACTTCAAAAATTGAAGCTGAAACCTTAAATTCAACATTGTAACAACCACCTACAGGGGAAGGGGTTTTAGATTAACAAAACTACCAAAAACATTGTGGTTGGGTTTTAGGCTGTGTTGGTGGTGGCTGCCTCTATAAACTATACATACACTACTAGTAATTTTGTATCCTACTTTCGAAAAAAGAATTGGAATATTTTCTAATGCGGCCAATTCGGTTCGGGTTTCTTCCTCCTTATTTTGTTTTCTTTTTTTCTTCCTTTTTTTCCAAATGAAAATTTCCTCTTTTCCTCATTTCTGTTTGTCTAATCTACCAGCCACTTAATATAATAGGTGACAATCATTTAATGATCACTTATTAGAAATTTGATAAGTATTGTGCCAGATTTTAGTCATGAATAAAATGCATATGCACCTCATATCAACTCATAATATAGGGTAAAATCTCTTACTAGTATATGTACAATATCACCTACCCATCCATGTCAGTTTGGATTTGGTTTTTTCTTTAATATTATTGTGTTTTAATTCAATTAAATGGGATAGCCCATCCTCAGTATAGATCTCGGATTGATTCTTTATTGAGTAAATTTAGTGTGTCAACAGAGCCGAGTCCGTTAGTCGAGTCCGAATTTGATGTGTTCTGTTCGTCGTTAATCACGATAAATTTGTGCTTCAGTTTGCGGATTAGTGACATATTTGAGTTCAGAATTTTTATTCTGTTCCGTGATATGTCTGACAATAGAATTATGGCATTATAGGATTGTTAACCTTTTTATCAGTTGTATTGGTCTAGTCATTGGTGTAGTGATTATACCGTTAGTACGTCATTAGGACGGTTCAAGTACGTTATTTTGGATGGTCTGTTCTTGCATCAAGTGGTGCTGGACCATTTCCAGTAATCTTAATGGAGTATGTTTTTCCTAAAAAAAATATATTCGATGTCAAACAAAAAAGAAGTAAATTCATTCAATTCAAATATTATAAAGTTCCGAGAAATCAAAGAGACTGATGCATACAGATTAGAGAACACCATCCTGTGTTGAGAAGCACGACTTCCGAGTTGCAGAATTGGTAGCAGCGGTAGAATATAAGTTCCGTGACTAATGGGGGTTTAGTTGGGAAATCACCTTATCACTTTGGAAACTTTTCTGGTTATAGCTAGTCACAGGGACTTACATTGGTAGGCCTTTCTACTATGCATACATGATACATCTATCCGTTGTTTTTTTTTTTTCCCGTACAAATACATCTATCCTTTCCGTTAAAAAAAAAAATAAAAAAAAAATAGTGCATACTGTATTATGATTTGTAAATGAATTATACTAAAAGCAGTGTCATTCAAAAATTACAATGAGTATTATTTTTTTTGAGGCGGACGAGAGTATCTTTTAAGAGCATACTTCACACATTGGAGATATTGGCCTGGCTTTTTTGAGGAAAATATCTTTGTTTGCCATCTGAACGAAAGCTACAGTAATGAATTGGGATATGGATTTTTGGACAGCAGAAAAACGAGCAAGTTCCTTTCTTTTGATTACATAGATTTTTTTTTAAAAAAAAATAATAAAATAAAACAAAGGGAAAAAAGAGAGTATATGGTGATTTAACGTCATCACAAAGCTTCTTGTAGGTTTAATCTAAATTCTGTTTGCTATGGTACAATAATACTAGTCAAAACTTATATACCTGTGTTATTCTCTATATGAATTATATTTTTTAAAAACATATTTATATGATTCATATGGCCAAAAATATAGTACTCGAAAGTAGTAGTAACTTCAAGATATTAATCAGTCAAATGAACAAGCAAATAATTGAAGTTAAAGATAAATAGTGTGGAGAAGATGGATATGGTTACTCCGGGGAGATTCGTGGGTGATGACTGATGATCATTTAATGATCATTTATTAGAAATTTTATAAGTATACGTTGTGTTAGTCATCAATAAATGCATGCACCCCCATATCAACTGATTTTAGGGAAAATTCCAAAATCAAAATCTGTAATACATAATATAGGCAATAGCAATATTAATTCTGAAGGAGCAAAATCTCTTATATATATATATATATATATATATATCACCCCTAGAGGGATCCGTTATTTTTACATAAAAATAGAATAGCCATTATTATACCATTCAACCAATTTAAGCTACTTCTATGAGTCATTTCGATTATTCATTTATTACGAAAAAGTAAATAAGGAAGAAAGGAAGAAAAAGATCAGTGCGGCTGTGTCTCTCTCCCCAAACGTTATACTCACATTTCAATACATTTTTTGTCTAAAATTTCCAAAATTACCCTCAAAAGAATTAATACTATTGGTGGACATTGTTTTAATGGGGTTAGTTGAGGATATTCAAGTAATTTTATTATCCTAATTAATAGTTTCTTAAACTATGTGCAAAGTGTAGGATGACACTTATTTTAGAATGGAGGGAGTACAAAGATTTCCAGAAATTTATTTCTTTAGCGGCAGCTGCAGCCTGCAATCCCGCCCCAAGATTTTGGTGACAATGGTAAATTCACAAAATTCATCATCATCTTCTTCTTCTTCTTCTTCAATTCTCATCGTCTATGCTTTGTTGGTTATTATATGTGTATGTTATCTTTATATGATGAATTACACAGCCTGACTCAGTGTGTGTGTGATTGAGCGGGTGATAAGTATTGATTCCCCTTTTTTCTCCTCATGTTTTTAGGACATAAAATTTCTTTTATAAAATTAAAAATTGTGTCAAAGTGGAGATAAATATATAGTACTACGCATAGCGTTTTTTCAGATTCGATTTGTGCCCTAATTGTGTTACGAATTGCTTTGATGGAGTACGTATTCCCGAGCTCTATAGGGAGAAACGAGGGGGACATTAAGTTGATAATTCACAATATATATATAAATTGAGATCCCATTCCTGAAACAGTACACTCTTGGGATTTTCATTTCTTATTTTTTGGAACTGAAGAGAGATGGTAACTAATTCCTGATTCAAATCTATGGATGTGTATGCATAATACATTATCGTAGCTTTTTCTTTACATCCTTCAATTGATTAATTGTTTTGTGTATACACACACACCCAACCTTCCATTATTTGGACGTAATTGAATTGAACCACATGCATATATATATATATATATATATATATATATATTCATTGAGATTTTTTAGAAACTATAAGATGATGTATGACCTGTATATAAATCAATCGAACCACTATGTAATTCAGTGTTGACATTGAATTTGTGCATAATTAATTTGAGATACTCCCTCCGTCCCATAATTATTGTCCAGTTTTACTAAAATGAAAGATTTTATTTTTGGTCAAATTTAACTATATTTTACCTTAAACAACCGGATATACCCCTACATAAGTAATTGTTTAACCACTAAGATTTTATGGATAATGATTTTTACTAAGGACAAATGTGTAACTTGATTCATAAAAAGTCAAATTGGACAATAATTTTGGGACAAAATTTTTTGGGCAAAGTGGACAATAATTATGGGACGGAGGGAATATTAGTTATTGATGATATGATTTGATAGATATTGGTGATCTAATTAAAAAGTTTTTTTTGCTTTCTTTCTCTTTTGTACTGGTGGTTATGCGCGGTGGCAGACAACCTCAAAAAGAATAGCAGAAAGGAAAACAGCAAAGTTTGAGAAGAACATAACCAAAAGGGGATTGGTGGCTGATCTTTCCACCAAGAAGTCCTTAGAACCTGCCCACATTGTGTTCATCCTCTTTGTTCTACTCATCATTGCTTCGTGTAATTCCTCTTCATCATCTTCTTCTAATCTCTTTAATCATGCCCTCTTCCTCCATCCCTTCAACTTTTTTTTCTTTTTTTTTTCATATGTATCATTTTCTCTTTTTCTTTCCATACATGCTAATCTATCGGTTTGGTGTCCTTTTCTTTTGTGAGATTACAAAGAGTGCCGGGGATGTGTGGTTTTTAGTAAATGTGTTTAATATTTGGTAAATTATATAAACGTCCATTGATATTTGTAAAGTCATAATATCATTGTCGCGTTTAGGTTTAGGTTTCACGAAATTACATATCACGTTTCTTGACTTGTAAGGCAAGCAATACTTGATATTCGTCGACAAGAGTCAAGTTGATATATACATAAGCTTACATTTGCTTTGATTTGGTTGTCGCCGCACCTCGAAATTCAGTCGAATGTTGTTATACATGATAAGTGATTGCATTGTAGTCTTTCGCGTATGTTGTGGATGCATGGATTATACAATCAAAACCTTTTCTTTTTTTTTTGCTTTTCTTTGAAAATGTAGTAGTCAATTTTGTGCCTACAAGTCTTTGGTCCTTTTTGTAAAATCTTTCAATATGTTTCAGTACTCGCATTGAGGTCTGGACTCATGAACAAAGAGCTTGTATTAATATATATATTCCTGACAAAGTTCTTTCCCTGTGGGTTGTATGAACAATTATTTTCCAAATTATCAGGATGGCGCTAAGAGGTGAAGGAAATTCAGGTTCACCAAGATGAAGATTATTACCAAACGAGAAAGAAAAGCAAGTGGAGGGGAGAAATACATGTATGCAGATGCTTGCTAGTGGCCGGTGATATTCAAAATTGTACCAAAACAAAGTCTCCTGTTGCAACCAATGACCATGTTTCCTTAAAAGTTAACCAACTTGTGAATTTTCATTCTACCTATAATCTGGTTTTCTTTTTGACTAGCTAGCGTCCCAAACAAACCATTTTTCGGGAGCCTTAGACTTGAGGGACGCAATGACGCTATTCAAGAGACCTGACATTTTATTCCTTAATTAAACATTTAGTTGTGTTCCATTAATCTCTACTTTTAGTTTTAGGACCAGTAGCAATGCTCCAATAAGGCGGTCTAAAACACTATGTAGTCTGTCCTACAGCTTTTAATTTAGAAATGTCTTGAGCAGCGAAATTCCACACATATAAGTTTCGAAGCTGCTTTGTTCTCTCCACTGATGACTGGTGTTCTTTAAGAGGGAGGGCTAGTACAAAAGCTACCATTATCACACTATTAACTACCAGCTGAGCTAAATTACAACATCATCACAATTAAACTGCATTTTGTCGTCACAAAGAAGTGATAAGAATATGATTCCCTCACCAGTAGAGTATCTAATCTATATGGTGTATGTAGTTTAGGTCCTCCAACCAAAAAACTAATGATTTAAGTCAGCCGGGGCCGGGCTCCCACATTCTTCTTCAACTCCAATTGACAGACTGATACTCTAACTACCATTATCACTTTAGTAATTAGCAACGTACACACACACACACCCGCACAAGGAGAAGAAGGGGATGATGAACATGGATAATCAAACTGCATAAACCTCAATCTGATGATTTTATTTGTACAAACAACAACAAACGAGAAACACACCCCCACTCTAGAAAATGGAATGACCCTTCATCAACATCAACTTGAAACAAAAACTAAAGGGCCAAAACCATGCAACCAAGACTACTACGTCATAATTTTCTTCCTCCCTCTACTTCTCTGGCTAGCTTTGGGTTGAGATACAGTTTTTTTCATTTCTTTTTTTCTTTCCTCTACTCGAAAACTTGTACTACCATCTGGGAGGATTGGCCTTTGCTTTATTATGATTGTTTCCATTATATAAACGGAAGAGACTAAAAGCAGAAATCCCAGACAAAACACACAAGCTGAGACTAACAATGAGGGCACTGGCAATGCCTTCTCCAACTTGGTTGCAGAATTTGCCATACATGGTGCATATCTTCATCCACTGCATCTCTGTCTGCCCAAATTTCGCAAACACTGCTGACTGTGCCGCTGCTGCCACTGCCCCCATGCTCAAATACGCCATCAACTGTATCAACACGAAACACACAAGGGATTCAGGACATGCAGAAAATTAAAACAAAAGATTCAGTTTTGATCATAATTGTAAACACAATCTTCTCTTTCTTTCTTGAGGGTCAAAACTTAAAAGTGTGAATTCTCCTGACACAGAGCTAAGGCAAATTACGGGGGTGCAGAGCCGCTGTTAAAATCATAGTAATTGATTTGATTTACAGAGGGCTGTGAAATTCGTTTTCCATATTCAGGGTTAATATTAATATAAACAAATTTACAATCTCTTTTGAAAAGGGTCGCTTTCAAGAGTTATGATTCACAGAAAGGGGTTGGTGTAAATAATTGATATCATGGTGCCAGCTTCATCACTTCATACACCAAAAAAAAAAAAAAAAACATTGTAAAAAGATGTAAAAATTAAAACACGCACGCCTACACATAGATAGATTCATACACAGTCAGCTAATTTGGTTGCATTAGTACTGTTGTGATGACATCTTAACTAAGTAGAAAATAATTATTTGGATGGCCACCAATCAGAATTGCATGCTTAAACCACCAAAAATCAGGCGAAAGTAAAACAGAGAATCCCAGTTCGTATTGCAACACAACAAATTGAGCTGAAAAGATGGGGAAAGGAAAAGAAGAAAAAGATGCATACTTGATCTCCAGAGAAGATAGCCCAAGCAAGGGACTTGTTGAACAGAATACTCCCTCTAATCATACTCGCAATACACCTCAAGACTTGCGCCAACGAGTATGCAGCAGTTATCCCATTGGCCACTACCAGAAATCTGCCCAACAACAACAACAACAAACGAGAACCAATTTTCATCGATCAAAATGGTTGGTTTTCAATAATGGAAGGAAAAATCAAAAAACAGAGGAAAAAGGGGGACTTTTTAATCTTACAAAAGGGCTTTCATCTCTGTGAACTTAGCTTCCTTCTTGATGGTGAAGATTTCTTTGACCTGAGTATCTGTCCCAATTAAAACAGCAGCCAACACAGCCAGCCCAACAATTACACATCTCAAAACCAATTCAGCAATCCTCACTCTCCTGTCCACTACTTTCAAGTAGCTCCCATGATAAACTGGCACATTTCCAGGACTCACTCCTACTCCCAAATAACTCATCTTTTCTTCCACCTCTTTGAGGATGATTCCAAAAGGAAGAGAAATCCCGAAAGGAAGAGAGAGCCTTTTTGTGAGACAGTCTCTTCAAAACAGAAGTTCAACGAAACTGGGAAAAGAACTATGCAGACCTCTGGTTATATAGACAGTCAAGGCCTCAAAGGGTCCTACTTTCTTCCTGCTTGACTAATATTAATTTCATGGTTAAAAAAAAATAACATAAAAGAACAAAAAGATAAGAGCTTTGCTGCTAGTTTGTAAAACTGCCAAGTGGCCCAAGAAATTTCTTGTAGAAAATATCAAAAAACTGGAAAGAACTTATTATAGTGGTAAAGTTTTAGGCATGACATAGTTTTTCCATGTGTAGAAATTAATCAAATTATTAAAAGGGTTGTCCTATTCTTTTCAGCACCTCACCTCAAACGCTGCAGAATTTAATTCAAAAGGCATTGAATGCAAGGCCCAAAAAAATTTCTGACATCTGGAGGGCAGCAATTAAGGAAGATTTTTAGGACTAGTTTTTCTGGGAAGGGGCACTTGTTTTTGGTCCCAATGCAAATGGAGGAAATAAGAGAGATAATTGCAGTAAATCAAAGTGGAAGTAGTAATTTCATTGAAAGAGTGACAAGGGATAGATGAGATGGTGGAGGTGTGGTGTGGCCTTTATTGATCTCACTGTAGGGAAGGTGTGGGTGAATTTAATGATGACCCATTACTCCTTGTTGCTCTCCTTGCAAAGACCACACATGGCTTCCTTGATTAGTAGTAATAATTAGTATTATTACTTTTAGTACAAAGTGTGAATCAAATTCAAGGTTGATTGATAGAGATAGAGGGGATGAATGATGATGAGTTGCAAAGACTTTTTGTGGGATGAATTATATGAAATAGATAGATAATAGAAGATGACCACTTCTTGATGTGGAATTTCTTACTTGATCAAAGTGGTGTGGGGGCTTTGATTTGATGATTGTGTTTTGAATTCTAGTGATCTCGTCCATCAACATTCACTAATGATCAATAATGATGAACAATTAAGTTAACTCGGCAAACCCGTGTTTATGTCACTAGTTGATTAGTTTGTGGTTGCTACTTAGTAATAATAAGTCAATCAGTTTATTGTTCGCTTCTTGTAGCAGTCTTAAATATTCTTATATGAAGTCAATTATGTCATTAACCCAAAAATCTTCCTTGAGGAAAAGCTCAGTTGCATAATGTTATTTTACCAAAAAAAAAAAATGAAAATTATCTCATCAAATTACATATACATGTTAGAGAAATATAAATATATGAATATTATTCTTTGATATAATTGCGAATGAATGAGAAATGAATTGAATTCACATATTAGAGATGCAAAGTGATGGTTCCACAACTAGTAGGTACAACTACCCGAATCCACTATGAACTTGAAGCTTTGCGTCTTCAGAATGTACACACAGCACTATAACCATCCAAATCACTAGATTTTTTTGAAGCCCACTCACTATGAGATAAACAAATTTCAATTGGGACATGACAAGTGATACCTTTTATACTTTGAGAAAGTTTTTTTTCTTTAAGCAAAAGAAAAAAAAAAAAAAAGAACAAGAACAAGATAATGATGACGAAGATGGACCATGTTTAGCTGAGTTCATCTGTGTATTAATTGATTCAAAATGTGTGATTAATCGGGACATATCAATTCAGAGGAATAGAGAGAAAGAAGTGTGGTGGTTTGCAGGCCACTATTATATTTGTAGGGTTGTACACTCCCATTTGTGGAAGGGGAATTGGGGGTAGGTTCCAAATCAATTTATTGCAAAACAACTTCAAATTGCGCCTTATTTAATTTTGGAATAAAAACCTCAATTTTGCTAGTTCCATCCTAGTAATTTCATAATACAGGCAAAGCTGGTTTGCTAAATGCAATGCATGGATTAGGGGTTGAGACTCTTTGAAGTGCGGAGGCGAAGGTTCCAGCATGCACGCTATAGGAGGAGAAACTTCTCTAAAACTACTGTTTCAAGGGTTTTTCCGGTGCTCGGATGAGTTATGTTTATTGCATGAAAACTCTCATTTTATTAAGATATACGATTTTTTATTTTTATTTTTTTAACAATAAAAGAGGCGGATGCCTTCGAGAATCTAGTTTATTACAACACTTTGCTAGGAAACACCAACAATATCATATTGTAATCATGGTTTAACACTTGACAGAGGCTCCCAAATCACAGAAAACCCCGAGGTTGACATAACTAAGCTTACTAACGAATCCGCAGCGAAATTTCGTTCCCGATATATATGTTTCAACTCTACGGACCAACTCCTTTTCAGTAACAAATATACGAAATTATTAATGTCTGCTAAAATTGATAGTATTAATAAATAGATTCAGTCCTAAATTGAAAAAATATAGAAAGAGACATTTTCATGTTGTAAACCCAGATGATATGAAAAGCTTTGGCCTCTCTTACAAGTGATCTGCCCCCTAGCATAATAGATAATGTAATTTTAAGTAATCTCCATCAAGTCGTACACTAAAGTATGACCACGAACGAGAGGGTATGGTCCAGCTCAGTGTGGTTACCATCAAAATTCACAATTTTATGTATATTTTTACTATCCTCATTATTTTTTATATTTTTTTATATATTTTGACAGAATATTATCATTATTATTACTACTCCATTTCCCAGAATTTTGCCGAAAAAATAAATTGGGATGCGTGTCAAAATTAATAGTAGTAAAAAAGATAAAAACGATATGAATACATTGTGATAGCTGGTCTTCTTTTTTTTTTTGTTCCGGCCACTTCAATTCCTCCAATAAATTTGGGATGGGAATTACAAAAATGATTTAGGCATTTCAGTCTCAAGGGTTTGTTGTGCCACGTGAATGTGATTGAGTAATTGCAATCTCCAGTTTGATCCATATCTCTGCTTCTGGTTCTTTCCATCCTCAGACAATGGCTAACCAAAATGGCCAGTGTGGTCCAGAATCAATATATAGCAGTAGTATAAAATTGTCACTTTTTTTTTGTTTTTTTTTTTCACCCCAAGCTTACAGCTGCTGCTCAGTGGGGGAGAAAAACAAAGATTCTTATTACCCAGTTTTGAATTCTGTCTGAATCATGATGCAGTCATACCAACACATCCAAGCTAGTCTGGTCGAATGGAGGACCAAGTGATCCTAGCAAATTTATGTCCCGTCATTTTGGGGGTTCGTCACTAAACCAATAGGACAATGATTTTATTATGTGTTCCTTTGAAACTCCAAGTTGAGAATAATAAAACAATCATCAAAATTAAACAAGTTGTAAGAGCGTTAAGTGAGTACTGAGAGCACTATCTTAAGTTTTATTTGGTAATCATTTCAAAAGCCCAGAGCTTACTATCCAAAATCAAACAGTAACCCCTGATAAATTGGGCTTCATATCACCTGAAACTATCGTTTCTCTGCTGTCATCTTGGGATACCAATAAAGTCAAAATTGGCAAAGAATCATTTTAAAGGTGCCCAAAAAAATAAAAAAATAAAAAGAGACAAAGGCACCATAATCAACTGGAAAATCCCATTATTAATTATATAAGAAAGTCGGCAAATCCACTAAACGCAATTGTACTATGAGATACGGACCATTTTCCTAACCCAGAAAAGCCTGTTCGAGGCCCATAATACCATATAATCAACCATAGAAATTTATTGGCTGTCTTTTTTTGGGGGGTGGGGGGTGTGTATTATTATAAGGCGATGAATACACACCAATATCTAAAGTAAAATCTCACAATTCACAAAACTTGTACAAAATTATGTGGAACTAACAACAGGAATATCTCACTCCCACCACTGCTGAATACTGAAATCTGTAATTTTCTCATAATAATAGTGATCACAAGTGATGATGTTCCAATCTCAAGTAGATGATGATGTCTTGTTGATGGAGAGAATAGGAAGAGTTCAGGGGAGGGACTCAAACTTGCATGATCCATGGCCTGTAGATGCCAACATCAAAATAAGTCACACCTCATTTATTTATTTATATATATATGAGAGTTGCAAAATTTGGCCTTTGAAGAGCATAAGATTACTCAAGAAGTTCAAAACGAGATCCAACGTCCAAGGTATGAAAACAAAGAAAAAAGAAAAAGGATGTTTGTTACTGCATCTTTGTCATATTGTTCCCTGACTATCTGGATCTAATCAAGGACCCATGCATTTGACCATACTATAAATGGTAACTACATCTCATCATGTGCTAGCCCACCACATTATCTGCTGCTAACATCATCTAAGTCTATCACTCCACATTCTGCCTACCCTCTGATTAAATCCAGTCTGAGAAAATTCAATATGAAAACTTGAACTGTCTAATGAGATTTAGGAAAGAGTTGGATTATTATGCTATCATGATTGGAATGAAGATGATGCTTTTTTTTTTTTGGCTTACTTGGATCAAGGCCAGTTAAAACTGCGGCAGCACTGAAATAACAACTCCCTCCCTTGTGTTTCATCTTCTGGTAGTAGCTATTGAATGCATAGGAAGCATGGTCCTTGATTGTATTCGGCACGAAGCATGCTTGATTCGGTTGCAACGCAGTGCAGTCAGCCCCATTGTTACAAGCCCAATTCATGGCATTCTGCAGTTCTTCATCAGTAAACTGCTCATCTGCTATACACCAGTAATCATCTTCAACCTGCTGCTCCTGCCCGTCTATCCATTTGCATCCAAATATATCAAAATCATCATCAAGATTGCAAATTTATCTGAATTTAGCAGAATAAATCAAAACATATGAGCATATCAGATTGAAAATTAAAACAAGTTACCAGATTTATGCAAGACTAATGACAGGATCACGAGGCCAAATAGGAGCTTCTTCACAGAAAACCAGGATGGAGTTCTGTGCCTGAACCAGATGCCGGACTGGGAAGTAGTATTCATGGCTGTGGAAAGAGTGTTATGGCTGAAAATTATGGAGCAGCCAAACTGCCAGTGTTAAATGAAAAGTTTATGGCTTTATACACAAGTTGGGATAACACGTCCAAATCTAGCATAGTCATATTATAACTAAAGAACCAAACTTGTGAGCTGAAATGGCAGGATTATCCTTGTCATTGCATGCTATTTTGTTGTTACTTTCCTTCTTTCACTGTTAAAAAGAAAGAAAATGAATGTGAATTGAGAATTTTTGTTACTAGGAAAAAGTATTGAGTCAATCTGAACATGATCTGTCTCATTAAAATAATGAGTCTGAACATAAGAAAAAAGGAGAAATGAGATTGGGAGAGATACTGCTTCCCAAAAAGCCATGTTATTCAACAGTTTCTCAGAATGTTGTCAAAAAATAAAGACTTTTTTTTTTTTATTATCTGGATATGAAAGATCGAACATGTTAGTATGACAGTAGCACATAATGGTCATTTCATGCTTGTCACTCAATCAGGGATGGTGAGAAATAGAAAACCTGGCAAAAGAAGGAAAAAAGAAAAGGAGAGCATCAAGATCTGCAACCTCCTGAAGCAAAGTGGCAACTAAATCAAATAGAATAAGGAACCTTCATCTTCCTCAGCTTTATTCTCCCATCATAAAGCTGATTGAGAGAGCAGCATAATACTGCCTGATTGGGGAAAAAAAAAAAAAAAGTGCATCTTTGACATTTGGCCTACAATCAGAATTTATTGTCATGCTCTAAAGCTTCCCAAATTAAGATATCCAGTTTGGATGAATGGGAAATGGAAGTAATGGTCAAGCTGTGAATTCGAAACTGCAACCAGCCTCACAGCCACTACTATACCTTAGGGGAAAAGAAAACTAAAGATGCTGAAAAACATGCAAAATGTCATTTCATATACTTTGAAGATCCCAAAGCAAGCACTCCAGTTGATACAAAAACACAAGAGGCAAAAAATGCTGAGCATGGTACCGAAGACATTAAATATACATTTACAACAAGAAACACCCAGGTGCAGGTGCAACTGTTTCACCCGGCAACTACCAAGTGAAAAGTCTTCCAGAAACACAATTGTAATGTGCGAAAAACTAACAATAAAACTAGCAAGGACAAAGTTAAATATACTTGTAATCTAATACTACAGGTCTACAGGACAAAATAAAATACTACCAAGTGAATGGAACATGTTACATGTTGTTAAGCAGGTCTTTTATCTTGGAATACATCCCAGCACCTGCAGAACTGCTCTGTGATCCTCGCGAACTCTCCTGAAGCTTGATTTTCTCGAATAGAAACTGCTTTTCTGCTTCCGCTTCATTTAACCGTTGTTTAAGATACCTGCTCGCGTAATCCTCTTCGGATGATTTCTCAGTCTTGGCGAGAGCGATCCTCTGCAGCCTCTCAGCTTCCCTTCTAGCCTCGTTCGCCTTTAACTCAAACATATCAGCCTCAGCCTGCTTAAGCCTCACGATGCTTTCAAGCTCATCAATTTGTTGCTTCTTTCTCTGCCTCTCCAATTGCAGTGTAGCTATTTCTCTTGTCTTGTCCTTGAGTTCTTGATCGCAAGCCTCAACAGCAAGGCGGGCCTTCTTTACCATCCTCATCTTCTCTTCAGCTACCATTTCCATTTTCCTGATAGCTTCCTGCACCACATCTGCAATCTTGTTGAATGCTTCCTGTGGGGCTATAAGACGGCTACCCTCCTCACTTTCCTGGCTCTTTGAATTAGGGTCGCCCTCAAGCTCTGCCGAGGTAACAAAAACATTAAAATACTTGAAATAATTGAACTAAATAAGGCAAAAGAAAAATTTACAATTCAGATCCAGGAGGATGACACACAGGCATAATGACATACACAAAATAAAGCAATGAAATCAACTCTTTCTTCAAACACACCCACAAAGTTCATTTTAGAATCTCAGATCTTTTCAATTTTGCATCTCTTACCCACATGTTCCTACCTATGACTTCTAACATTCTATCAACTGCTAAAATCATTTGTTAGTGACCATAATGTCAGAAACCTCAACGCCTGAAACTGGTATACCACTAATAAGAAAACAAAGGTCCCATTCTCATTGGACAACTCCAATGACCAAATCTAGAAAACATGCAATGGACTAGCCATGGACTAGCATGTTTGCACATATATTGAACATAAAACAAGGACTAAAGCAAAAAACCTTTGATCTTTCCAAAAGCTATAAATATAGATACATGTATAAAAGTTTGACAAATACTTTGATGTTCAATAACACATCAGTCTACGTCATTCAAAGGCAATCTCACACAAAACCTTTGCCTTGGAAGAACATTAATAGAACCTTACAGACCATACCCTTATTGAAACCTCTAATGACTACATCTATAAAAGATGCACTGGACTAGCCATGGTAATGCAAAGTAGAACCACTAGTACACAACAAATCAAGGACTAAAGGAGAAGCACTTTATATAAATACATATCCATATAATGCAGCTAAATATGACAGGTACATCAGTCATTAATGCAGCTAAATATGACAGGTACATCAGTCATTCAAAGGTAAATATCACACAAAAAACTTTTAGCTAGGAAGAACATCAAGATAACTTTACAGACCACAGACTCGGCCAACCCTGCATGCAGTTTTCAACAGAACCTTACAGACCATACCCTTATTGAAAACTGTAATGGCATCTATAAAGATGCAATGGACAGCCATGGTAATGCAAAGTAGAACCACTCGTACACAGCATATTTGCACAAATAATGAACACGAATCAAGGACTAAAGCAGAAGCACTTTATATAAACAAATATACATATAATGCGGCTAAATATGACAGGTACATCAGCCATTCAAAGGTAAATATCACACACAAAAAATTTTACCTTGGAAGAACATCAAGATAACTTTACAGGCCATAGACTCGGCCATCCCTGCATTCAGTTTTCCAATGAGTTCTTCACATTTCCATAACAATTTTCTGCCTTTATTATCCTCGCTACCACTGAAAATTCTTCGTACAAAATCAAGTTCCCTTAAAAGAGCATCCCTTTCCCAGCTCGGTGCACAATGTAGGAACACATCTTTCACCCACCCTAACAATTCAGATGTCCGGCTGCAAGCCCGACAACGGAAAAGCATCTCTGCTGATGCGCTGGTAGCTCCATTTTTCACACTGGGGCCCATGCCAATCTGCCCATTGCGAATGGCACAATCAGTATGAGTCCAATGAGAGCATAAGTCACAACCAATCCATCGACAAGTGTTGACTTCAAAATCGAACTTAGTGCAAATCACACACATGCAAAGGTTGCAGAATCCGTTTCGTTTTGAGCAGATTTCACAACTGCAGTCCTCCGCAGGAAGTGCACTCCCACATGCTATGTTCCGGCACTTCTTGTACAAGAAAATGTCGATAAGAGAAGCTTGAGACAAACTGACACTCGGATGAAGAAATGCCTGTATTCCGGTCTTAATAGCAACTAAGATTTCTAGCTGGATCCTATGTGCCATGATAAGGGACTTGTCCGTCAAATCACCCCTACCCTGAACCAGCTTCTGAAGAAATAAAAATTCCTCTCTATGTTGTGAACCACCAAGACCTTCAAGCAATACACGAAGCTCGTTCTTGAACTTCTCTAGGTACTCATCGGGTAAATGTTGCATTCTTTCTGCTATTATATCCACTCTTTCGCGGGCTAAATCACGCAGGGATATCTTATCAGAACTTGATAAATGACGAACAACAGAATGCTCAGCGAACCCATTCTCCCTTTCCTTCTCCTTTTCCATTTTTTTCCCAGCAAAAGCATCCGGAGTTGGCCAGGTTTCCCGAGAACTGGCACTTTCTGATGGGGACTCACGGATTTGATCGGAATTAGAGCCTCTCTCTTGAAAGTTAGGAGATCCACAAGCATCGGGAGATACAAGAGATAAGTTAGTATGTAGACCACCAGATCGCGGCTGTTGACGAGGAGGTAGCATTCTTGGCGAGGATTGGTGATTAAAGTGAGAACCTGAAGATGTCCCCATAAACAACTGGGCACATCCCTGAAAACCAAGGGGAAAACACCCATTATGACATTCCCTTATTCTAAATATTAGGTTTGCTCAAAACAACACAGTTATATCCACAAAATGAAAGGCAAAGAGCACGAGCAACACATAATCACAGAGACGAGACATTTCTGTTCGCAGCTACCATGTTCTGCAGTTAAGTTCAAGCCAACAAACATCATTTCAGAAAATCCTTTTCTCAATATAGAACGCTATATTACATTTTAATAAGATTTTTATTCCACATAATACTACATGAAGCCACAAAAGCCACATTTCTTAACCTCACTAAGCAGAGTCCACGTTAAACCATCTTCAGGTAGCAACAATCAGCTAATTTAACTCAAAGCCAGAGAGTTTTCTTCGATTTTTTTTCTCTTCTCCAACAAAACACAGTAAACCAAAAAGTCACCAATTTTTAATTTAAGCAAATTCAACAATCAAACCCTTTGGAGGGAGCAACAACATCAAGCTGAAACACTCATTCTTTTCGTAAGAACCCAATATCACAATGATCCAGAAAAAGCATCAACCTTATGCATCACAGACAAATTCTTCCATGAAGTTATACCACAACCCCCAAAGCCCAACCCCCCAACACACACAACACACACACACACACAAAACCCTGATCCCCAATTGGTCCAAGCAAACCTCTACTTCATGAAAACCACCATTCCACACTTACTTAGCACTTGAGAAAAAAAATAAAAACCCAAGTTTAACTACGAATAATTTCAACTCAGCAGGAGTCAATGAACAACAGATCAAGTAAATTAAGCAAAAACACGAAAACCAAAAAAGACAAAGCAAACAGTAGAGATAAACTGCAATAATGCAAGAATCAATTCAATCGAGAACTCGAAAAGAAAAACAACAAGATCTGAGCTGATTGAAATAGAGATGAGGTAGCTTACCAAAGTAATTAATAATCCCTCAATCAGAAAACCAGCACATCAAAAAGGGTCCCCCAATTCCCCAATAAAATTCTAGTCTTGAAAAAATTCAGGAAATCAACAAGTACAAAAGGGCAAGAAATTTCCCCCTTTCGATTCAATCCCTAAACCTAAATGAAGATGATGAAGAGAGAGAGAGATATAGAGTCAAGGGTTTACCTTTTGTGCCGGTTGAAATGTGAAAGAAGGGGAAGCAGAGGGAATCAAAACGAAATGGTGTTGACAGGAATAACAGGTTGACGGTTGTCCGCTTTGACTTTTGGTTCAAGGTCGTGGGGCCTACGGCACATACAGCAACGTCTCATTTCTTTTTTCTTTTTTGTTTTCGAGTCTTTCTTTTTTTCTTTAAGAAAAAAAAATAATGGTTTTTCCCGGCGGGTTTGACTTACATCGTTGGTTTCATACTGCCACTTACCTCCTGTCTTTATTATAAGGTATTTTGATTTTAACTTAAATTTAACTTAAAATATTTTTTTAATTAGAAAAGAAATTTTAAAAATATTTTATACTCGTTGTATTCTCTTAATTATTATAAAATATTTTAAAGTTTTTATTTCAATTAAAAATACATCTTATGTGATACTTAAAACAAATGAAAATGTCTTATAATAAAGACCGGAGGGAATACTTCTTGAGGGGCTAGAAAGTCAGTCATGATAAGAAGTTGTAAATTGTTAAGAAGTTGAAGGTTGATATAACATAGGAAAAACAGTCCGATATTTATCTAAGTCATCTTGAGTCACAACACAGTTCCGATTTCCTCCCATCATATGCTACTTTCTTATAATTGAGAGATCAATTTAACTTCTCATTTATAATCTTGTCCATTCCATTTTCTATCATTTCAGCAATTGAGAGTTTCGAGTGTGTTTCGTAAATTGTAAATTGTAATATTGAATTAATTTATAATGTGACAGAGGACAGAGGTGGTACGACTTTTATGAACTAAATAATAATCTTACTCGGAGCAATTGTATGTTATTTGTATTCTGTTCACTAGTATTGTTTGAATGGAATTGTTTTGTTTAGAATTAAAAAAATAAATTAAAATGTGCAATTATACTAAAGAAGAAGACTTTAATAACTCAAAAAAAAAAAAAAAATGGATTAACGCTCGGCCCACCGAGTCTCGACCAAAATTGTCGGCGGCGCTGGCCGAAATGTTCGTTTGGCCGGCATGTTCCAATTTCTTTTCTCCCCCTAGTTGTTTCAGGGGCAAAGAACAAACCTTGGTAGGCTTTAACATGCCCCTTCTTGTTAGCCAATATCATCTTTTTGTTTTTGTTACCATTCATTTTACGGAGGACTCATCGAATGTGGGCTTTGTTTAGATTCAACAAAGAAGAAGCCCATTTTTTTTTTTTTTTATCTAATCATCCCATCCGATTTGTTCAATTTCTTCCAGTAATAGCAATATCTATCTATAGTATTATACTCCCTCCGGTCCTTATTATAAGCTATTTTAAGGTATTTTGATTTCGTCATAAGTTTCATTTATGATGTCTTTTTAATTGAAATAAAAACCTTAAAAACATTTCATAATAATTAGGAGAACACAACGAATGTGAAAATATATTTTTAAGATTTTTTTCCAATTAAAAAGACATCCTAGGTTAAATCTAGGACGAAATCAAAATCTATATTATTATACTAAGAGAGAAACCAGAGAGAGGGAATCAAATTTCTCCTCCCGTTGACACATAGGACAAAATCCTATGTGTCATTTTCTTATTGGTGGGCATAAAAAATATTTACAACAATTGCAATAAAGGTCCATTGAATTTTCAGAAAAGTAATAGTTACTTCATTACACAATTAATGTATAATAATAACATTCTGTGGTCAAACTCATAAACGTATTCGGTAAGAGGAAAGTTTTTAAAAGGGATTAAAATTTGAAAAAACAACATTAATTTGAGAACAATCTATATTACTCTATTTGGTAAGAACTAATCAACTTCAATGATAAGAACCAATCAATTTTTATCTATATTACATTTCCCTGGAATTTTTTTAATTTAATATTTAATTCAGTACAAATTTTTAGAGAAAGTAATAAATATTAACGTGATCTCTGATATTTCAACCAAAATAATTCCCAACATTAAGTTTGTGTGAACGAGACTAATCAATCAATATTAATTTACTTCATTATTTTTAATCCGCCAATTCAAAAACAATTTCCCCAAAAAAAATATCTTCCCCAAATCAATCATCATCAATAATCCAATTAACATCTTGGTAGTCATCACCATCAACGTATCACATCTACCATCTAAATAAGATTTGGAAAAATTTTGAGAATATATGTCATTGATAAGCTAATTGGATGAGTATTATAAAATCAATCTCCAAATCAAGGAATTGAATTAGGAAGTTATCACTATTGTTATTAAACTTTGAACCAGTATAAATATTGATCCACCCAACACCTCAAGGCTATTGAGGCTCCATTAAACCCTAAGAAACTATGCAATCCAACTTACTATATACATTCAAACCTTTTCTTGTGGTATAAGCAATTTTTCATGGCAAAAGTTGGAGACCTCCTATTGATTTTGTCAATTAGAGATTGATAATAAGCTTCATGTTTGCATCTTGAACGGGTTATATATAGAAGAGCAGAAGATATTGATTCTCATGAAGTATGGCAGAACGGATTATATTAGTTTACATAAGACAAGGTACTATCAAATTAGTTTTAATTTACTTTTAAATTTGGGGTTTGTAATATGCTTATTCTGTAATAGTTTTTCAAACTAATTTTTAACTTAATGCTATAATTCATGTCTCTCTACAACATTGATCTATCATCCAAAGTACAAAAAAACTGTCTCAGGTTATAATTTGTAATTTGCAAATTAGACATTAATCCCAAAAATCAATATTATTAACTATTCTCTCATGCTTTTACACAAAAAAAAAAAAAATTAATTTTCTGTATCAAAATAATTATTCACATGAAAATTGTATTGAATGTGAAGATTCAAACATGGCATTTATTTTGAAACATAGTGATTATTTGTCTAATTATTTTATGTAGCTTTGATCCACAATCAAGAGGTCCAGCCACAAAAGAAGACATCATGTCGATCATCATCCGGAACGGATTCAATCTTTAAAGTTCGCAAAGGAAATACGTTTTAGATCATCAAGATGAAGACAAAATAATACACTACTGGGAAGAATTTAGTGTTTTTTAAATTACCTTTGGATTAGTCTGGGATAAGGAGATTGTTGAGATTTTGTTATCTTCAAGTATTACATTTATAGTTATAATATATCATTAGTTTAAAATAATTGATTAATTGACATCATTATTTTGCACTGATCAAGGCTTCAACACGTCAAAATTATTAATCTTATCTATTAAATGTGTATATCCAAGTTTTGTTGAATTATTATATTTATTGTTTATTTTTAAATTGGTGTAAATTAATATGTTTACGTGTGAAAAATAAATTCAAAGTTATAAGAGAAAAAAAGCCTAATTATAAATGATTTTCTATTCCATTGCTAATATCAAGTTTGTGCATTTTTAATGAAAAATTTCAAGATGTATAAGACACACTTGAAGCCTTGAACCCATGCCACTCACTAGATATCCCTAGAATGTACGTATGCATAAATTATAAATTGTATTATTATAAAAAAAAAATCAGTGTAAACATAATTTTTCATAAATTATACATTTTATTCTTATACTTAGTGATTAGTCTCGGGAGTCATTTGTGCATAAATTAATCTATACTTGGTGTTTTATTTAATTTTAGTTGTATAAGATGTATATTTATCGCATTATACATTTTTCCTGTGCAATCTGTGATCTACTGTCATTTTATAGATGTAATATTTTTATTTATAGTGATGATGTAATCTGTGGTCATATAATATCTATCGCTACAAACAATTTTTTTTTATTGTATTTACCACATTTGAAATTTAAAATGTTTTTTTATAAGTGTATATGAATAAACCCCGCACATCGTGCGGGTTTAACAACTAGTGTCTTATAATAAGGACTGGAGGGAGTACTAAGAAAGAAACTAGAGAGAGAAACTAGAGAGAGAAAACAAAAACATATTTGTAGAGTGCCAAGTAAGCAAAAATCCTACATGTCAATTCCTCAAAATTTTGAGAAAAAATAGTTTCAGACTGACTTTATGTTAATAATCCTTGAAGTATATGAATAATATCAAATCACCCCAATGAACATAATTATTCCAATTAAATTAATTTTAGTATTAAATGCTCTCATTTTTTAAAAAAGAAAATAACCTTAATTTGATAACAATATTTCCTTTAATGCAACGAAATAAAGGCCAAAACATGGGTACATTCACGATTTATTCAAACTTAATTAATTATATATAAAAAATTGCATTCTTAAATAATAATAATTTCTTTTAAAATTATTTTAAACTAAAATCAATCCAAATTTTCACATGACTTCCCAAGAATAAAAATAATCTGGGAAAAAGAAAACCTAAAAAAACCCTATAAATGATAACATACTTCATCATTACAGTGACCTCATAAATATTCTATAGTCATTGCAAAAACTTTCAAGCAGTGCTCATATTTTAAAGAAAAACCAACAAAAGACTTGGCGTCAATTGGTCCAATTTGAATTTAACTAAAATTGCGTTGAAATTCATTGACCTTAAAATACTATTTTTATCTTCTATGATGCATCCCCAATTAAGAATGGTAAATTTAATTTTTCAGATATAATTGGACATGATCAATCTTACAATCAATCATCATTAATATTGCAATAAACTCAAAATGGAGAAACCTTACACAATCCTTGATTAGTGAAAATTAATTAATTAAGTTTCAATGTGATAATATAATATTATCTTAAATCATACATTACGACAAATTAACTTCGAGGTTATCACTCTAGCATTAATCGGTACCACTATATAAATTTCTCTAGAGAGATTATTTCGTTCACCAGCCATAATTTCTCTAAAATGGCCACCTTCATGGCTACAAACATATACTACAACCCAATTTCGAGTAATCTCGACCTTCCACAACAGTCAGACCATTGTATTCATCAAATTCCTGAAATTTCTTTTCTCATCTAATTGTTTTTTTTATAACAATTATATAAAAGTGACTTCTTTTCTCATCAATTTTTGATGTTTTTGTTTTG